GAATTTACTTAAAAAATTCATTCTACTCCCCCCCCCAAAAAAAAAAAAAAAAAAACACCCCAACGTAGATGCACTGAGCTAGAAATACAACAGAAGAGCACCGATACGTCAACTCTGCTGTCAAATTTCGTTATGTTGGTGCCAACTAGGGGAACCAGTCCATTGGCTCATGGCTTTGTACGTACAACCCCATAGCTCAAATGTCAAGTACTTTATCCCCTTGTAAAAATGGCGGCCAACATCTCGCAATTCTCTCAATACCTCCAGTTGTATCTTTAGCTCAGTGCAAAGTAAACCTGTATGAAGAAGGATCCTGTAACCCCAACAAGATCGAAGAGCCGGCGAGATGCAAGATGAGGATGAGGGCACCGGTGACGTCACGTCAGGTGCGCGTGACCTCTGGGTCCCAAGGTCATTGACAGCCTCCCTTCCTCCTCCCTCGGCGCCGCCTCCGGCCTGAGATAAATCAATGTTTGTTTGGTTGGCCAACCTGGCATTGTCTCGTGCGCAGGAATTAACCGCGCTCCACGCTCATTGTTACAAGGCGTTTGTTTCCGCCGCGCTCTCAGGTGGCTTCTTCTTCTTCTCCGATTGCCGACACTAGTCTTGGTTAACCCGAGTATTGTTTACCGTGGGATTGTGGGATTTAGATAGCGGTGAGTTTGCTAAGCGTGATCGGAAACGGGATTCCAATGGTTTGCGTAGTCATGCAAGCAGTGGCGGTTCTAGGACCATGACATGGGGGGGGGGGTCCTGGGGGATGTTCCACACCTCCAAGAAGAAGGGGGTTACCAGGGGTTGCTTACTGTAAAATGTGGTATTTTAAAAGTAGTTTGACGGTTTTCTAAAGGAATTTTTAACGTGTAGAACTGTGTTCAAAAAACCTCAGTAGGACGAAATGTATGTTATATATAGCTCCCCCAACCCTTGGAATCGCCACTGCATGAACATGTTTTTTGGTATTTCATTGCAAACTTTTTGGGAACTTTTCTAAAACATATGTAAAGACACTTGTTGACTAAGTCACATGCCATCGTTTCTTCGTAGGTCATAATGAATATTAGTCGATTGTCTGTTCTGAACAAGACATAAAATGTTCGTACAGCGAGAAAAAAAGAACTTAAAATAACTTGAAAACTGCATTGACAGAATAGGAAATAAAATGTCGAAATGAAAAGGAAATCGGAATCGCCCCAAAAGAAAGCAAATCCTTATGTCGTTGTGATGCCATCATTAAAGATCACGGCAGCGTAGGGGTTTTTGAAACAAAATTGTTTTTGTTAGTCCGGTACATGACGGTAACAGCAGTAGTTAAAACAGAACCACGAATTCATAGTTCGATTTGTAAGCTTTTCGCCTTTACGTAGCCATAAACTTATTTACCTAGCAGTAGGCTTAGCTGTAAATCCTCCCCGTTTTACTAATGTGTTCAAAAAAATCACCGCAGAATTGAACTCCTTGCTGAATTACACCATCGCTAAAGATAACTATGACCTAAGCCACGCTCTAAGCTGTGTTTACAGGCGGATCAGATCTGATAACTCCGTTGATTGCAGGGAGGAGAGCAAGAGTTGATCATTGATGCCGTGTGTGATCCTGATGACGCTCGGTACATTAGCATTCGAGGAGGGACGCCGGAAATGATCGCTTGGCCGAGGACCAAGGTCCATCTCATCATGCAATGATACAGGGTTCTCACAAAACGTGTGATCTTTGATTTGAAAAATGTGATGTTTCGTAATGTCAAGCATTTTTGATCTTAAACAACAATGCAACGATTTGTTGAATTAGGAAAATTTACCAATGATGGTTACTTACTTACTGCTGTGGCTCAACAAATCTCAGTCTATTCTTCGCCTCGTGTACCAGCACCCTTATCTGTCTTCTGCCAAGTTGACGTTCGCACCCATCGTCTTGTCGTCGTTCAATACTTTAGTCGGCACGGTGTTTAAAGCCCAAAAAATTATTAGTAATCCCGATGGCCAACTTGTTTAGGCTGTTTGATCAAAAACTAATGCAATGCAGTCACATTGAGAACTTATTCTTGGCTGACGCTTTTGGGATGTAGAAGGGAAACGTAGTTTTAAATGACGGTGTGCTCTTTTGCGATTGTTATCATTAGTCATCTTTGCAAGCTAGTGGAAATAATTAGCTGCTGAACACACGAATGCTGACACCACGTTTTTGTCACCTGCCATGGTCTCTACAATTAAAGGAGTGTTTGGATTAAAATCTTAATCCAGCAAGTTATTATTTAAGATCCATTTGGAACAGGGCTCAAAAGGATATCCGCAGACTTCTAAATTTACATTCCTGAGTAAAAACCGTGACCTGCTTGTTTCGAACACCTCTTGTAGTAGCTCACTAAACTAGAAAACAAAAAAAGATATATCAGGTGAGAAGATTTTCCACTATTAGAGAACACATCTGATCTAATTGACGATTTTTGTAATCTCACTGACAAATACCACGGATATTATGGTTTCTTTATCATCAATTAATAAATACTTATAAAATTGCAAAAGCTGGTAATAGTTATTTCCCTATTAGTCCTAATGAAATCTCAGCTATAAACGGCGACTGCGCTTGCGAAATAACAGATACCTTCTGTGGAATGATGATGGTTCTGCAATGTGATTGAGCGATCAGCTGTGTGTTTGAGGCAATTCCTCGGATGATTCTTTTCTCGTGAGCTCATGCATGATAAAAGCGTTGCTGACGCGATCATTCGAGGGCTTGGTTCAACTGGGTGTGATCGTTTCGGAAAAATTCCCGCAAAGAGATGAGATTAGAATTATATTGTACCATTAATGAGCTATAGAAATTGTATTTGGATACTTAAAGTGGACTTATTCTTCTCATCATATTTTAAAATCCGAAACCTGTTTTGATGTGTTTTGTGATCGGTGACGCTTGAGTGCGCTCTAATCTCTGCTGTATGTTTAAAGGAATTCCTCGAATGATTATATTCACGGGAAATCATGCATGGTATTAGCTTCGCTAAATGAATTTTTGCGCTCCAATGGATCGGATCGTTTAGCAAATGTGCCCGATGTTATGATAGTGTAATATAAGTTCAACTTTATTAATTTTTATTACTAAGGAAATATCCCATCTATATGGATCAGGTTGTAGCACGTTTTTATAGAGAAATCCCAGAACCTAGGTTCATAGAGCCTAGTTGAATGAATCTGCCATATAGTCTGTATGATGGAAACTGTCTTCTGTCAGTCCGTCAGGGACTAGCGCTGGTATAGTTTCAGGTAGGTGGCCAGGAGACAGATTACATCATACAGACTATATGCGTATATTACAACGATGGTTGACAGAAACATAAAATATGCCTAAACGCTGTGCGCTACGCGAAAATCCTACAAGTCGTCCATACTTCGACATGGTTAAAACTAAATTTAAATAGAAGAAACAGAATTTGACTTCAGATCAGTCAAAGGCTCTATTAAACCAAATCTTAACATGGGAATTGAATTATCACGGTAATAAATCTATAGTAAAAGTTAAATATTTTCCATAGTATTAGACAGTATTAGTGAAACTACTATTATATTAAGTATCTACAACATGCCTACTGGAAAATGTAATAGTGTACATCAACGTTGATGATGTAAGACGATTTTAATTTCGCTGCAAGAACACAAGAACTGTTCGGATTCGTCACGGGTGAAGGAAGCTACATTACTGTTTTTTTCTGTAGGCACGAATTAGTCACACTATATGATAACATAGCGTTGTGTGATGAGTTTTTGTTGCAAAGCAACATGTCCTAGTCTAGACTCCAGAGCAACCTCTGCGGTTGCGTTCGCTGGACGTCCACGAAAATAGAGAATTAAGAATACATTGTTTAAATCTTCTTATTGCTTCCTTTTCGTGGGAAGGTTTGTTTGCACTTGGGGAGAGTACAGATAGTGAATCGTAAACAATTGATTTTTGATTGACAATGCTCAAATTAACACAGTGAGGCATCTATAAACGTGTACATTTGCTAAAGAGATAGGTTGATGCTTCTCTACCTTTATAGTTAAGGATTCGCAGTGATTTTTATTTTTGTTACTTTATGCCTACTAGAAAAAACGACTCGATGGTGTTGGAACATGGGTGTTTAAGATACTGCGAATCACCAATTAGTTTTTACAATATGGCAATGCCGTGACCCGGTAGGTCTACCTTGAAGTTGTGGGCAAAAACAGATGATGACAGGACCCAGGATTAATGCATCTCCAAGCATGGGTTGTTTCTTAAATCTTCTGGGAAACAATACATTTTGCCATTAAAGGGAATGGTGTAAAAATGAAGCCACAAAACGTGTCTTCCGCTATATACAATCTTTTTATACGTCCCAGAGGCTACATTTACGTTTTATTAACGTCTTGAGACCTAATTTATCTATTTGAGTTATCTATAAATGATATTTTTTTAGTTTTCTAGATTTTTAGAGACAAAAGAAAAGGAAATAGCTAACAAACGTTAATTCTTCAACAACCCAAAAAGTCAACGTACAATATACTTATAACTGTTTTTTACTTCCAAGTAGTGATAACAACCGATGTTTTCTGGGGGTAGTTCCTTTCAGATTCTGTGAATATTGGGATTTCCCATCAATGAATCGATGTGTTTCCTATCACAACTTGCAATTCCCTACCTAGTCAAATACTGTATGCATCAACTTTCAACACTGGTGGAATTAAAAACAGACTTTCCGTCTGTTTCTTTCTAGCTCCTGTGTAACTTGGGATTTTCCTGAAATTTTTCCTGTCAAAAATGCAATGACACTCATACTACTCCTAATCAGTACAAGAGTATTCAGTCTTTCAACTAGGATAAAACCCTAACTTCTTTTTCCTGCAATTTCCATCGAGGTTTTTGTGCCGATGCTCGAAGCAGGTGGTCAAGACAAAACCTAGTGATTAATCTGCTTCCGTTACTCCTGAGGAGCGTGTAAATCGTGAATGGATCTGGTGAGTGACGAGGGTGTGTGTTCGCAGGAGACGATGCGGAGGTCAGCGGAGTCAGCCAGGGTACCGTTACAAGACCCAGCACCGGCCGCCGCTGACCGCTAGCCGCTAGACCCGCAACACACAGCACGCAACAGGTACATGGAGTACGATCATTATCGTATACGTATCATAATTTTAGTGGTGTTGCCATGTATTGGGCACAGAGAATACGATAATTATCGTATGTACTATTTTTAGTAACCCTGCGTGGTAGGTAAACTTCCTGTACCATATGGGGATTATCGTACCTGTCAATGTACAGTAATTATGGTATATTTATCATAATTTTAGTGGTGTTGCCATGTATTGGGTACATACATGCTGTAGAGAGTACGATAATTATCGTTTGCACTATATTTTAGTGGTAGGTCAACCATGGGGATTATCGTATTCGTACCTGTCAATATATACGGTAATTATCGTATAGGTATAATAATTTTAGTGGTGTTGTCATGTATTTGGTACATACATCCTGTGAATACGATAATTATCGTATGTACTATATTTTAGTAACCCTGCGTGGTAGGTAAACCTCCTGTACCATATGGGGATTATCGTACCTGTCAATATATACGGTAATTATGGTATATGTATCATAATTTTGGTAATGTTGACTAACGGGTGTATGCTGATGCCATGCAACTGCCTACATGCTCTGTGTTGGGTCAGTTAGGAACGCCGGGGCTCAATACCTCATGTAGAGTGTACAATATTTTTTTTGTTGTAACTTTAAAATGTCTTATGGAATTCCTTGTATTTTATGATTTGTTAAGACTTACGAGTGTAATTGAAATTTAGAAACGTTTTTATTCTTTAAATTTTTTTCTAAAGCTACTCGTTTAGGAGCTGCAGTGGGTTTTTAAGTTTACACATTACATACGTATACTCAATGCTTTAGACAAGGTCGCTATCTTTAAACTCTGCATTCCGTAGCTCCTTAACGAGTATTTTTGGAAATAAAATACAAAGAATAACGTTTTTGAATTGAATTTACATTTCAAAAACCGTCATAAAATACAAGGTGTTACATAATAACCATAATAATACATTTAGTCAATGATGATACATAATAAACTTTCATATTAGTCGCCACATAGGAAAATGGTGGCCATTAAAAAAAAGTCTAATTCTTAATTTTTCCTGTTGTAAGAAAATATTTATTGAAGTTTGGGGAAATATTTTTTCCCAATTTAATGTTTTCTCTAAATCGCATGGTTTCTGAGATGCCAATAGTGGCACAGTTAAGTTGTTCACCCTGTATGTATATTGTAGGCCTAATTACCATATACAAGCTATGATTTTAGTGATCCTGCGATGAAACGGATACATACCTTATGTAGACGTATTGTATAGTAATTGTCGTATTAGGTTCATAAAGCTATGTTGTTATATGGCAGGAACATACTGTAGATATACTTCTCCTGTAGAGTGCAAGTTGGTAGAATTGTTGTTTCCATATCTTAGTTTTATAAATGCTTCCATGTAACAGTACAAACAAACCTCAATATACGTTTAACAACACTACGAAATCGCTCCGTAATTACCGTGCAGTGTAGGCCTACAATGTTATTAAATTGGTGACATAACTTAATTTATAGGCCTATAATACAACTTCGCTGTGCCACTATTGGTATCTCAGAAACTTGTGGTGTTAGGTAGCGCCGTGAGTTGATTATGGAATCAAACAATACATGAGATAACCATGGTATCTAAAAGGCCATTTAAGCTACATTGCAAAATGACATATAAAAACATCTTGAACCATGTTCAATAGTTATCGCAAACATCATTTCATGTCACATGGTCGATAATTATTGTAACATTGTATTATAACTTAATATCATTGCCAAATGACAATAGGACTTCCATGTTACAGATATACACGGTTCACGTGTTCACTACTAATTTTGTATTTTATTGTACATATTTCGTAACTATTCATGTCTAATTTAACCCCTTGTACCATTTACAAACACTTTAAACATCAATGATATTTTGCATATGACGAATTATACGGAAATTCGTGAACATATTAAAGGTATACCACAAAGAATGAAGAAGAAAGCCTAAATTACTGATGATATCTGCAAAAGTTCTAAAAATAATTTGAGCGATCCCCCACTATTTTTCGAGAAAATGTTGCTCCTACAATCCAATTTTTACTAAATATTACTCACCAGCGATGCAAGGTCTTCGAAGATGGTTTTGTTTGAGAGAGTTTGTGTTAATTATCCAGTGCAATTAGTGACAAGGGAAATGTTTATTCTGGAAACCACCAACGGTTTCAGACCTTGACCTTTTGTTGTTAGATGGTCAATCAAGCGAAGTGCCATTGCAATTAACTTGTATCATTCTGGAGTAGAGAGTTTGGTCTGTTGAAGGTTATATAGGTCTGTACAAGTGGTGTAGTGAGGGCGAAGTTGAAATAAAACAGTTAACTTATTCCAACCACTTGGAACTATTGTATGACAAAAGTTCAGAACAGGTGAATCGGATTTGTCAATTGAAATCTAGTTGCTTTATTGACTTTTATCCAACCAGGTTGATAAAAACACGGAGACAGGGGCGGTCCCAGGATTTCATTTCGGGAGGGGGGGGGCACCGCGGGGTCTGGGGGTATGGAATATCCCCCCGAAAAAGGGGGCCCGGGGTCCCCCCCGGAAAAATGTGGAGAATTTGAAGCCTTAAAACCTATTTTTATACGTATTTATTTGAGCTCTAAAATATGCCCGAGCTAATAATATTTATGTTAGCCAATGTAATAATGTATAAAATATTTCGGGGGGGGGGGGGGTATATCCCTCCCAACCCCCCTCACCCCCGAGACCGCCGCTGAACGGAGATGTATGTATACTTATTACAACACTTATAAATAAAATTTTGAGTGAACATTTAGATTTGCAGCTAAAAGGAACACACATATCCATTTTTGTTAAATAGGTATTACAAGCCTGCTATTAAGTAGTATAACTAAAATAAATAAATAACTTATAATACACACTTCTCGACTAAAACTTTGATTAAATTTTCCAAAAGGGGAATAAAATTTATAATTATTTAAATTTTTTTATAAATATGTTTATAAATATTTTTATAATTTTTTATAAATATATTATAAATATTTTATTTATTAAAATTTATATAGAAATAATATAATTATTTCTCTTGGTAAGAAAAACTACGTTAATCAATATTACAAGGAGGGTTTTTTATTTGAAAAAGCAGAGTTTTTAACAAGGTACATCCTACCATTTTGGGAAAAATTAACTGAGCATTAAAATTTAAAAAAATCTTACATAGCCTATCGCATTGTATACATTGCATTGTTGTAGGCATAAAATTGGAAACATTTATCTCTGAATTGCAATGTTTGGGATTTTCGGGGCAAGGCTGGTTTGGTGGTCTAATTGAGTGAAAATATGTATTTTTAAAACTTAAGAGAATATTTCGAGCTGTTTTTCTTGTTCAGTTTAAGAGTTTTTGTTAAAATCGATAGTGTCACTCTTCTTTGTAATTAACTTCTGATTTATTTTTAATTTTGAATTGTTAATTTCGATAAACAAAAGTTTATACAGTAAAATAACTTATTCATTTGTGGGATAAAATTGTCGTGTCATGTGTTTCCTGATGCTGTATCACAAATGTGTAAATTCTATGCAACGAATGAACATCTTTCATTTAATTTCTATGTAGCAGAATTTTGCCCAGTAAAAACAAACGATAATTATTATTGCTACATTTATTTATAGTCCAAATTCCATATGTTAAAAGACATGTCCCGCCTCGTTTTTTTAATAAAAAATGCAAGGTAGCTAGCAGACGAGTGACTCAGTTTTAGACGCCAGTTGTGTACAGGTACAACATTGTGTGAACAGCTGGTGTAGTTGACATTGCTAGCTGCTACAGCTGTTAGGCACTAGGTATGTGCCCTCGCTCTTGACAATGTACTGCTACTGCTCAGCAAGAATATTTCATACTGTCACTATAATTTAGATAAGATTGGGTTACTGATCAATTAATGGTAATTATTTTTTGTATGTGTTTCAACTTTTGACTATTGACATTTCATTTGTAAACAGTATTCAAGATGCACTCTTTGAAATTTTCTTGTAAATCTGAGTTTAAAAATATCCTATAGACTTCCAGAATCCCTTTATAAATTAAAATAGGTTCAAAAGTAAGCACAAAAATATAATTTAAAACTAAAAAAATAACATGGGCCTTATGGGTTGCCATGCTGGTGACGACAGAAAATCAGAACAAATGGAAGGATTTCAAATCACAGTTATATTTTAAGCACGGGGTGAAAATAGAGAATACAATACATATTTTTAGTTTTCAGCCACTGTACGACCTCTAGTTTGAGTAAATACAAAGATAATTAGATAAAGAAATGTTTTCATGATTTCGTCTTTTACACTGACTGTCACTGACTGTGTTTTAGTCACTGACATATCCAAACAAATTTGTTGTAAAAAGTACTACTCATGCTCCTTAATTTCAATCACTGACAAACATCAATCAAAGTTGATTAATGCCATTCTCAAGAAACAATGGATAATTAATTGACATTTCCTGATAATTAGGAAGTTTTAGTGAACATAACCTCAATTAGTATAAGCTACTTTAATCTACACCAAAATATATTGTTCATTAACCTACTCCTCAGTAATTTAATGCCATTTTTGTTCCCGTTTTTCCCTTGTCGTGTAAAAACAAAACTGTTAAAACAAGTTTTTCGTGTTCACACTCACTGAGTCACAGTCATAGTAAGTAGAAAGAAGCAAAATGATTGATTTATGTGCAACTTGTCACAAAGAGTCCAACCTCCATCCAAGTTGTTTACTGTTCAATATTGTATTCTTCCCCCACACTGTGCTAAAGACAGGTGTGATCTTGTCATGGAGTTGCCCTAGACCCAAAATGCATGTGTCAGATTGCTGATGCCGATTATTCTGTCATTTACTTGCTTAGATGGTAACATTTGTTACATTTAGCTTGCAATAGTGTACTGGAGGAACAACGGTTTTGTTACTTTTGTGCCTGATAAATCCAACCTTTGGAGTTGAAAGGGTTAAACATTGTAACTTTTGATGCAACTCACTTCGAGTTTAGACAAAAAATCTTGTAAGCTTGTCTATTTCTTTCCCACACTCGTTCACTTTTCACTGTTTGTGGTGAAAGGTAGATACTGGTTTGTAGAAGCTGTATGCCACATTTATTGCCCAACCTGACTAGAAAAACAGGTATCTTGTTTTGGTGTCTGATATCTTAAGTCTTGTTTCCAATTTTAATGAAATATTCTTTCACCTGTATATTTTGTCCACTACGTTGTAACTTTGTATAAGTGTGTAGGAATTGTATTTGACTAAATCTAGATAAAATATTGTTTAATTTATATTGTAGTCAGTTGCTTGTATTTTTTCTCACTCGTTTACTTTTCACATGTATGTGGTGAAAGGTGGAACTGGTTGGTAGATACAGGTACCTCATTACCTCTAGGGTAACCAGACAGACATCTTGTCCTACAGTCTAATCAGACTCAGTTGTGCTGAGTTTAGTTTCCAATAACATGTCTGATAAAAAAAAATCTTTGAAGAAGATGCCCAAGATAATATCAACCGTCTTGTTAAAATTCACCAAAAAATATGTGTCGCAAATTTAACTCGGTATGATTAAATGATCACTATACCAGATCGTGGAAACCTGCAAGTGATTTTCCAAGAATCGTTGAATTTTCAACATGTGTATGCTGGTAGATGCAGGTATGACACATTTACCTCTGCCAGACAGGATTGCACTTGTCCTGGTGTCTGGTATCTCTACACTGACCGGTTCCCTGGCTCGCCCTGACTGCTACTCTCGCTTCCTGATAAAAACACCGCAGTTGAAATGGAGACTTGTTCCACTTATTGTGCAATTGTCTCTCTGCTTCTATTCCACGGGGTTTCTTCATGTTGTGAAAAAGTTGAAAAAGTCTCCATAGTATGATTTTACTGTCATATGTATAAGGTGTATGTGTTATAGATTAGTTTTGTAAGTTGTCAGGTCTCTTAGTTGCATAAAATTTAATTAAGTGGTCTAAATCGATACACAATGGAGCTTGACTTTTGTGAGGACTAGACAGTACAGAACCACTATAAGAGTACGTACACTTTTTGAATTTTCATACCTCTAAGTTGGTGTTATCCCACGAGTAATGTTTGCCTGAATAATTGAGAGTATTGAAGGTACTGTATAGTTACACACTTTACACTTCTTGTTACTATGACTTATATTTTGACATCGTAACAGTTTTTGAGCGGAGTGAATCGAAGCGAGCGAAGCTCTTATACTAAACTCCTGCTTTTGTTTTTAATACTCCTCCTGAACGGTTGAAGCGATCTGCATGGGATTTAGCACAGTCATAGTAACCAACTATGGGAAGGTATAAATCTTAAATGGTACAAATCGGACCACAGGGCTTTTCCCTAAGTGAATTTAGAAATTTAACATGGGCCTTATGGGTTAATTGATCGCCATTACACTATTTGCGAGATAACAATAAAATGGTAAACAAGAGTTACAACACATGTTGGTCAACGAATTACCTATCTAAAACTAGAGGTCGTCCAGTGGTTGAAAACTCGACCAAATAAAACATGTGATAGGGATTTCTTTTGAAAGTATCTTGAAAAAAGCATTTTGTATCAAGGGCTGTAAAACAATTTTGCCTATGTGGCAACAGGATGTGAATACCATCGTATCACGTTGTGTGGCTTTGGACCGGAAGTGTTTCCCATAAAAAAATCTGCATTCTAAGTTCATAGGTCCAATGTCTCAGCCACAAAACTCCCGAGGCACTTCTCTTACGCACATTTAAAACCATCTATCAAATTCGGTATAATAACTACATCTTGTTGATTAACTCTCATATTATAGAGACGGTTACGGTTTCTTCTTTCTACCTGAACAGTTAATCATTGAGTTTGGATACTGGATTTAAGTGAACTAGACATATCATTAATGCAGACTTTGACTAGGTACTGCAATTAGAAATTCCATTAATGTGTGAGTAGGATATTGCAATTAGACAATTAACTTTATTGCAGGATTAATATGCTATTGCTAACCCCGCTCTATATTGCAAGCAGGCAACTGTATTGTACACCAAGTTATAATATTTTAGAGAAAAACTTCTAATAACTGTATGTTAATGATGTAACATGATTAGATTCTTATAAAATTATTTTGAACTCATTTTAGCAATTGATTAAACTTCTAACTAGAATAATAGCTCAATAAATAATTGAACTCTTAAATTAGGTATGCCAAAGGGTAGTCCAAGGTAGTCTTATAATTGGATAGAAAGTCTGTTCATCCAAAATCCAAAGTCAATGACTACTAAATGTTTGTTTCAGCCCATGATGATGACAGGAGGATTGACAGTGACGGAAGACACTCCCCCGGACATGCTGGCTGGCTCTATGGACTTGGCTGTGGTCCTACCAGATGGTCATTCCCTCAAGATGAGCGTGGAGAGAAGGTACGTTAAAATAAAACACTAATGGTATCCATGAGGATAAAGTGCTAACCTTCTAGTCAGATTTCTTCTTCTTGGTCCCATTGCCTGGAGATCAAGGGACCAATCCTTTGATAAGTCTAAATACATTTTGAAGGTTTAAACTGAACTTGGATACCTCTTGTCATCGGATTATAACCACTTAATATTGCTTTTATGATAACTAGTTTGCTCTGCCCGTGCTTTGCAACAGGATGAGAATGCAGAGGATAATAACGTGAACTTTAAATCTACTGTAAAAACTTTTGAAATACACCCCTCATTGGTTATAGGAAGCAAATCTCAATTGTACCGTACTACTTATCTATGTATTAATAGGCAAGCATGTTTCTTTAAAGCTTTTTTATTCAGCTCAAGTGCATCGCAGGGAAAATATACGCATACTGTTAGAAAGATATTTTACTGTAGATGTGCAGAATCTAAATGATTTTTTAATTTGAAAAAAATAACATGGGCCTTATAGGTTGCCATGCTGGTGACGAAATATAAACAGAAATTCAAAACAATTGGAAGTAATTCCAACCATATGTTTTATTCATAGCACTGGGTGAAAATAGAGAAGTCTGTACATTGTACATATTTTTGGTAGAGTTTTCTCACTGTATGCTGTAAACTCTGTACATCTACAGGAAAATATATTTCTAATTAACTAATTTATGCGTAGATTTTCCCTGCTATGCACACCAACTGACAAAAAAGGTGTCCATGAAACATGCTTGCCTTTTAATATATAGGATGATGTTGATGGTATTCTTCTCCTAACTATGTTACATTTTAAGGAAGGAATATTTTAATAAATTAAATCATTATTTGAATACTTAACATTTTTTTCAGCACTCCAATGATGGATCTGCTGGTTCAAGTGACGACTGCCAACAAAATTTCTTCTCCGGCAGGATTTATACTGAAGCCCCTCAATGAACGAGGGCCCCTACCCTACAAGCCTTCTACTCCCATTGGTAATTTGATACACATCTTGTAAATATAATCATTATCACAGAAGTGAGACATGTCCAATTGAGTGGCGGAATTCAATAATTTTGTCCTGGATTTTTACGATCAATCCCTTCTAGTTATCTATAATTTTTATTTTTATTTTCCCTGTCATAACTCTGCTAACTGGTAGGTCAGTGCTCACCACAAGATATTTGCCCTAAAAAAAGGATAGGTTTCATAGGTAAGGAGGTTTATTCAAGATCTCATTGCCCCCTAAATCAAAATTTTTCTTAGCATTTTTCATTAATTTAATTTTAGTTACTGTGTCCAGGATAAAACATGTTCCAATTTTTTAACTTTTAAAGAAAGTACTGTATTTAGATCTCTAGATCCATTAGCAATGTTTATTATTCATTATTACAACTTTAGAAATAGGTACAGTAAAGTATTTACTATAACTACTTTAAGTGGTGACATTTGTTGTTGCAAAACTAGAATGAATTGTTTGATAAGTGTTATCTTTTGTTTACCTGTAAAGTAACAATCAGCAGAAAGAGTTACTCCTATTGGTCACCTGTAACTCTTATCAGTTAAAGATAAGCTACACTAGTCTTTACTGAGGTGGGTTTAATCCTGTAGTTGGAAGCAGATGATTCAGTCAGTATATTTGCTAAAGAGTTAGTTTTCAACATCAAAGTTTCTGTTTGGTGCATTTGTATTTTTGTGATTTTACATTTTAAGTTGCTTGACAATTCTTATCCTGAGTTGAAACATTTGTCTGCTATCTTTGATTTGCAAATTGAATGATGAAATATAACTAGTGAGTATATTTCCTATGAGTATATAACTAGTATATAATTCCTCTATGAAAGTCTTTAAAATATTTATGTTATTTAAAGAGTTTGTAAGGAGTTTTTTAACTAGCTAAGATTTGCATCAAAAAGATATTTAATCTAGCTTTTATGGCAGGCTGGTAATCAGATTTAATTATCTGTCTAAAATTGCAGATCTCACTTGTTCTCTATTATCACTCTAAATGGATTTACCTTTATTATCAGACTTCAAACTGGTACTAAGGTTCATAAAGTAATTACTATGGTATGCTAGGACTATACCAAATTTTCTTTTAAAACTGAGAATCTTAGCCTTGTTCTAAAATTGTTTGTAAGAGCAAAAAAATTGATTTTTAAAATTGTTTTTGTCTTGTTTCATTCACTTTTTTCTTTTGAGCAAAATTTACTTTGCATACTATGTACATTGTATGTAATGCAATGTTGATGAGGGATTTATTGTCAGTATTTTTGTGATTGTCGTTTACATTTATGTTTTTCCTACAATGGTTATCGCTGAGAAGGAAATAATGTATACACTGTTGTCGTGTGTTCGCTATAGCTGCAATCAACCCTTTCGGCCGACCTTAGCATGGTTTAAGTAGGTTATACACCCACAGTAATGGTTTTTGCTGAGAAGAACGAAATTTACCATACACATGGCCACCACCACACACTCCAGGCCGCGGCCTTCGAAGTGGCAACGTCTCAAGTAGTGTTGTTCCAGCTGTTTTGTTTGGAGGCAGCTCAGGATTTATGTATTTTTTTAGAATACCAAAGCTTTTGGACTACGAAAATATTGACTCCAGGTTAATTGCACAGAAATAGATTTTCAATTTATATTGTTTTGGTTTTTAATTTCATAAGTTTTATTTTCAATCTTTTTCATAAATTTAAATGAACAATACACGAATTAATGAGCTGATGTCACCTGTCTGCCATGTTATCTTATTGAATGTCTGGCGCTAAACAACACCACTTGTGACGTTGCCAATTCTACCAGCCGCTGGCCTGGAGTTAAAGGTGACCGAAACCAAGTTCTTACAAGTTATTTACTTATATTGTTTGGATGTCTTTAGTTTTGTACACCACTCAAGAATTGTTTAGTTTCTTAATTCTTTGTTTAACTACAGATAGATATACAGCGAGTCATTCAAATATCTAATTATTCTGCTCATTCTTACAAAACATCTTATTGAACTGTGAATTTTGTGCTCAACAATAAACTAGAAATTTAATTTGACTGGTGAACACCATAAAAGCGGAAAACGGTAAAAGATTAAACAAATAACTAGCAAATTTGTTTGTTAAATTAAGTTATTGATGATTGGTTCATTGCAGGAGCCTTGGATGCGTGGACGATTCATGTTGTACCCAAACAGCTTGGTCAATGTCCAGCGATCAAAAAACCTCTGAAGACGATGAATCAGCCGTTTGAGCAGACCTTTCGTCTCCAGGTATACTGTATTTTTTTTAATTTATCCCAAATATAATTTATATCCGGTAGAAGTATTACAGACATTGAGATAAGTTTGGTTTCATTGTATTTGCTTACGTGACAGGTTAATGTAATGTTTGCTTTAGGTTATGTAGGACCTAGACACATACAACTTATTGATTAGGTTAGACGAGTGTGGCTTCTTTTGAGGCTTCTGCCACTGTGGCAGTAGGGAAGTTGTATCCGCCTTTGTTACACAAACATGTAAAACTCAAAGTAAATCTAGAAATAAACAATCTGATCGTTATTTAACATAATTGTTGGCTGATTGTTATCTTGAACATTTTTACTGTTGTGTTATCCGTGATTCTCGGTTACCTTCGGTTACATCTTAACCGTTGTTGCAGGTTCATCTTCCACGTAACCAACTCTACGTGGCGAGGGTTAGTCCGAAAACCAGATTATCAGACATTCTCCAGCAAGTGTGTTCTGAAAAGAATCTAGACCCACTGAAATATTCACTGAGACATCCTGGTGAGTTGATGCCATGTAAAAGTTAACTTTATTTACGTTTAATAATTTAAAAACTCATCCTCTATGTTATATTGAGTTCCCTCCAAACATTTTTATTATGTTGTATGGTTGGCACTATGTGTATTATGTGAAAGTTTTAAGATATAAAATAACTTTAAACGGACATTTATGTAGTAATAATATGGCTTGATACGTTCCATTCGAGTGACTGTCTGTTTTTTATGTCCAGAAATAATTATCGAGAGTTTGTCAATTTCGTTTGCTGAGTACAGAAAAAATGTCTTATTTCTACAACTTTTTTTATGTCCAGAGAGATTTATCCAAAATAGTTAATTATTTCATAGTATGGCGGTGGTAGTTTGCTTCACATTTTAAAATACTCTGACTTTTATTACTGTGTTATTTATTATTGTAATCATCAAGAGTAATATAAACAAATGTTTACTTGTGTAAACAATATATATGTTAGTATAGACCTTTACTCTTACTCCATTTTTTGTTTCTTAGTTCTAAGCTATTGCTAAATGTGCAAAATGTGTGTTTTTCACTCATAACTTACATATTTGCAAATTTACCACTCTATCATTAATTGTGGTATTGTTTGGTCTACAAACAGAGCTATACCTGACATTTTTTGAAGCCTGTGAATGAAAACTACAGATGTACTTGGACTTTGGGTAAACCATTAAGGATGATAATTAGCCGAGCTGTCAAAGCTGTTGTTTCTCCTACCAGGAGATAGCAATGTGAATAAAGAGTTTGAATAATATCTTGGTCAGGTCTTGTATGATCCACAACCTTTTACAGTGTCCACCAAAAACTTATTTAAAAAAATGTAGAATTTTGGATTCATAAGATGAGAGGAAAAACAAGTACTGAATATGTATGAGTTCATCAATGAACAAATTCACACCTCAAAGGACTAAACAAACACAATTTCTTTTTCAATTAGTAAATTAAGTTCTCAACTGTAGTTTTTATCAAGCAAGCAATACTGCATGTTAGAATTTTACATAATTAGTTAGTTTGCAATTTGACCTTGAGTCGTAAAACATATCACTATTGTGACTCACCTACTAGTACCCAGTGAATGTTGTTGATAGCATGGAATTTAAGTGTTTTTATAGGTATTACTTACTGGAAAGTCCTAAACTAGGTTACTGCTAATGGAATATTTGTTTTTACATGGAAATTCCACTTTGATGTGCATTTTGGTAGTCGGCATCTCTAAAATCAGTGTTTAAATTCTATGTTTGTTCACAATATTGTTACGATAGTTTCTGAAGACGTTTTAAAACCATTTGAAAGGCTCAGACACTGTAAGTGAAAGCTCAGTTTTGTTTTCAATATGTTACAACATAAAAGTATACTCTCACGGCATATTTTAAGGGTTTATAAATAGTACATCTTAAATTTGTGTCAAGTAAGTCATGGTTAATAAATCAGTTGGAATACCGGGTGGATTAAATTTGAATGATAAACCTAGTCTTTTGTTGACATATCAGTAGGCCTACTAGTGGGTAAATAAATAGATCATTTGAGATAACTAAGTAAATATAGCATCTCTTGACACCGAGGTAGTTTGTTAAAAACTTCAATTGTTACGTTATCTTGTCAAGGCCCGAAAGTGTAATAACGTTCTATTGTAAAGATAAGTCTTCAATCCCTTTCTAATCTGTAAAATGGTGAAATTTCAAAGATAAACAGTCGCCAGGTTGAGTACAATCATAAGTGTGTGGGTGTCGAAGAAAGATATTTGGAGAATTTGTTAAACAGGCCTATTGGTGAGATTGATTTTTGAAACTATCAAGACAATTCGCTTTACCGCCAAATATTTATTGGTGCATACCTTAAGTTGTGTTGGGATATCTGGAAATGCTAGGGCGTTAGGTGGGCATAGATGAGAGGACATCTTCAAATGTTTTTTTTTTTAACAGTGTTTTATCTATAAGTTTAATTTGGATATCTACCAATAAAATCATGCGTATATAATTTTACCAAACAAATGAACTATTTCCTTAACATAGGTTTTTATCTGAGCAAACCTAAAAAAAGTAGCTATGCCCTATGCTAGTCAAAGTTAATCACACTGTTTTGCATGAGTACAAAAATAAATTTAAGTACAGTAGTACTGTCCTGAATGATGGATTTGCAGATTCACTCTTAAATTGAAGTAATGAAGTAATATTTGTCACTAAACTAAGGTGAAGCTTAGGTTCAGAAAACTTAATCCGTAGGTGTTATTTAATCAGTACCATTGTGGATTTTCAGCATCACCCTTTCCGTCAGTTTTGAGAGGTATGGTAACGTTTTGTCCTAACTTTGAACATTGAAATGGCGTCCTCAAAAGCTAGGCTTTAACCGGAAACTGAGTCAACAACAAAGTTTAGAAAATTATAATTTGTCAGTCTGTGTCGAAGTAATTATGTTTATTTGTCTTTGATTTACAGTCAATTTGGACCAAGTTCTCAGTCTGCAGTACACTCTAGGTGACTATAAACTGCAAGAGGTGACTCTAGTCTGTAACAAGACTCGGCCAGTAGAAGTGTCCTCAGTTGACATCATGTCTTTGCAGAGGGAAACAACAAATCCTGCTTACAGGAACACCAAGGTAAGCTGTATGATTTGTCAACTTAATTCCACAAATTTATAAAATAAGTAAATTCGCCACTAGATTTTTTTAAGCATGTTTACCTGCATGGAAAGAGTCCATAATGGCCTAAGAAACACTAAAAATTAACAGTTCACATAAAAATTTGACTATTCCACTGTCTCTGACAGCATTCATCATCTAAGGGAGGTTTTATTTTGAGTCGGGAAGATTGAGGAAATCTCTTAACATGTCTTTTGATAGTCAGGCCTATCAACAATCACCCTGAACAATGAAGTGTCCTGAAAAAAAAACAAAAAAAAACACACAAAATTGTCTGTAGTATCTCTTTGACCTACTTTAGTGGTTTTTAAATTCATTACGTAGCCCCTGAACTGTTAAATCATAATCTTAGTAGTATTTCCGCTTTTCTCACAATATCGTTTATTTATATTTGACTGCAGTATACAACTTTCTTTGCTATTTGCCAGATTATCGAGTGTCCACTGTATATAAGATACTCATTCACATTCTTCAGCACTAAAGTCTAACACTTGCCTTGTCACAGTGTGAAGGCAGCGTCAGCAGTGGCAGTCTAGAGGGAAGGAGCTTGTCTCCTGTTCCGTCAGATGAGTCGTCTGCCTCCCCTCCTCTCAATCTTCCACCTAGTCGACCAATCAGAAAAAGGAGGCCTGCGCCCAAGCCACCTACTATACTTCAGAAGTCAACAGTAAGTGCAGTCTTCACTCCTTTTTTTCCTTCACCAGTGGTATTTTTAATTGAAGTCAAAGTTAATTTATTGGAAATGCTTTTATGGGAAAGCAGTCCAAACCCATTAAAGGGTTTTGAATGTGTTGGAAATTGAACCTGTCCCTCCCACACTAAGGCCCTGTACACATGAGGGCGGCAGCCGCCGCGGTAGCCGCCTAGAACCGTACACATGGCAGCGGTTGGAGCCGCGGTTGCGGTGTGAATTGACCGTCGCTCGACAGCCAGTACTATATTTACCCAATTATTCTTCTTTTAAACGCGTAACGCTTGACAATTCTTTTCAGCAAAAAACCCAACTAACTCTTGCCACACAATCTTTTTTAGTTTATGTCCTAAACGTATCTTCTTCAGTTTCCTGGTTCCACAGCAGCATGCATGGCCATTGTAAACTTACACTACGAGCACTACATCAACTCCAGCCACAGCTACACACTTCACCAACACAGAGAGAGAGAGAGAGCGATGTCCACAGCACAGGGCAAGCGCGTAGATGTCTGTGATCCTATAGTAGCAACTGCAGTCAACCGCAGCGGCTACCGCCCTCATGTGTACACTCTCATGCCAACTCTAGTAACTTCAACCGCACGGAAGCCGCGGCGGTCGAAGGGAAATCTACGACCGCCGCGGTTTGTTGCGGTTGATTGGAAGTTGGCGGTTGCATGTGAACGGTCCCATTTGCTCCTTTGTACTTTCAACCGCTGCGGTTCCCGCGCAATGGCAACCGCGGCGGCTGCCGCCCTCATGTGTACAGGGCCTAAAGTGTTGCACCACTAGGCTAGCACCATACCGTTACCCAAGTAGGCTTTGTTTGGGCTGGTAATTTACACCGGGTCGTCTGCATGAACAGCACTAAGTCTTTTTTATAATTGCCATGTCACTCAATGTGAAGCTTAATATCTGAATTGCACAAACTGTACATCAGCGTACTAAGAAGAACAAACTCCTTGAATTATTCTTCAAGGTTATAATCTTAAATTACTGTTGAAATCCTATAATTCCATGAAAAAAGAGCAACCCTACATTTGTTAGGTAATGAAACTTTTCTTAAATATAGGTTACTCTGAGTAAAATCAGGAATGGAAATAAATTCATCAAATTTTTAAAACAAAATATTTACTTATTTAAATGACTGTTTATTCCTTAGAAGATTTGTTCAACTCTCTCAAGAGCACTAGAAGTAGCAAATGTAAATAATATTGTTGTAATTTTAACACAGGAAATAAGGTTAGTTGGGCTTAAAGTCTGTGCCCTTAGGTCACTACTTGTGGACTAATAAACTTCTTTTGGATTAATAAAATAACGTTGAAATGATTGAATGGAATTTGAAAGAGTAAAACATTGAGATTTTTGGTGTTGCAGATCATTGAGAAGCAAGTGAACGGCCTCCAGCCGTCAACAGTCATCAACCACTCTCGTAACAGCTCCGACTCCAGTGGATATCATGAGGCCTCGGTGCTGAGTGAGAGTCCTCAGAATAATAAGTAAGTGGTTTGTTATGTAACAATACAGCTGTATCTACTAACCTGTTGAGTAAAAAATATTTTTCAACCCTCCGAGTGTTAAGCGTCGCAATAGCGATACATAGCACACTCGCTGCGGTGTTATGCGTCCACGCGTAGACTTACAAACATCATTTACAGCGAAGGCTCTGGATCGAGATTGGTATAATTGTTTTTGGCAGATTATATGCTTTCTCTCAATGTTTGTTTCTTGACTCTTTAATTTTTGTTCCGATCTTATTGTAGCAGACAGATGACGTGCGTATTTGTAAACAACTTGGTTAACCTCACATCGATGACTAATAACTAACCTCACATCAGTTTCTGTTGTTAATTCTAGAGAAATCAGTGATTCACATCAGCGGACCCTGTCGATGGTTCAATTTCACTTCACTAATTTTATTCTAAGACTTAGGCCTACTTAACTTGGCAATGGCGTGCATAGTTCTATTCATGGTTAGAGATCCTTTGTAGAGCGCTTAAACTGAAATAGTGCAGTTCCAACATCACCATTATATCATAAATGATCCTTGGTCATGTATAAACTCTGTCTGTTTCCAGTGTTCCCGAGAGCCGTACGGAGGCTGGAGCTCCTCTGACTGTGGTCCTGTCGCAGTCCATGACCGATGTTTCAGCCATCCCGTCGCGGCCGCTGCAGAACAGCACCTCATGTAACTCCATCTCCTCTCTAACGTCTACCACCGGCTCTGCCACTGGTATGATTATCATGCTTCATATTGTGGGGTTAGGTTTAGGAAAGATTCCTTATTATTTTGTTTGTAAAATACCTGGGGAGCCACACGAAAATCAAATTCTTTTAATTCACAAAAATACTGTTGTGTAAACACTCTTGTTATTAATTAAAGGATGAAGGAGTTAGAATTAGTTATAGTAACAAATTAATTACTATTAATGTTTCAGGTCGTAAGAAGAAAAGCGCTCCTCCACCACCGCCTGTTGCCAAGGATGCAGCTACCTCGATCAGATCACCTTCTGTATCCTCAACTGCCTCCTCGACCACCACCCTCGATGGTAACGACCTCAACACGACAGCCAAGTCAGCGACTCTACCTCCCTCGACACGACTCAACACGACCCTCATCCCTCCTCCTCCTTCAGTAACACCTCCCCCCACTCCCACTACCCCTCCAGTAGCTGTCGAGCCCTCCGTCAGTCCTAGAGGTAGGTTCGCTTCTTCCGCCTGTAGACTAATCAGACAAACCAAGAAAAGAGTTGGTATGAATCTTAACAAATTTGGTAACTCATTTAAATTCAAGAAAACTAACGAGACACCTAACGATGGTGAGCAACAGGAATGTAAATTCAAAAAGCTTGTCAGGAAGAATGCCATTAAGAAAAACAATATCGATGCTCCTAAATGTCCTGATAGAGTTAATAATAACGTGAAAGATTTAAATGTCAAGTCCCAATCTTTCATGGTACACCCTAAACAGGTAAATGTGAATACGGATCGGAAAAAGATTTTTGCCAGCGAACGTTCGATAACCGCTAAGTATCTCTGTCAAACTTGGGAAGGCACTAAAGGTATGGGGATCAAAAAAAGAAACAATCTTGAAGGAGTTGATCGTAACCGGAATTTTGTTGAACCAAATAATTTACCTAGCTTGGATTTCACAAATGTTGATAAATCTTCAAATCTGAAAAAGTACAATGAATTTTTCCGATGCATTGAAGCCGACAGTTTAAATAGGAACGGAATTTCAAAAAGTGAAAGTTTTTCAGATAGGAATAGTACAGTGATTTCTCTACCTCAGAAATCTCACAGTTTTAAAGTAATGCCTATGAATTATAATTCAACTAGGGTCGCTGGTGGGAATTACCACGGGGTATGCTTAAAGCTTGAAGACTTCAATAATGGAAATTTGCACTCTTCTATATTTCCAAGTGAGGGTAACATAAGGGGTAAAAGCTCAATTGTAAGGTGTAACTTGCTTGCTCCGCCACCCCCAGAATTGATAGTCACCAGAAGTGAATCTCTTGAATCGTGGAACAAATTCCTGCTTCAACTTGACGATATTTTGATAAATAGAGAAGGCGAGTTTGTATAAGATTTGTTTGGTGTTTAAAAAATCTGTTGTATGCTATATGACCATCGAAAAAATTTGTTTCAATTAAAGTTATTTTATATAATTTTGCCAGTTTGCTTATGTCTATCGTCTATCTTCAGTCATATTTGTCGCCACCCTCATTTTCTTGAGGTAAAATTCTTTAAAATCTGTATAATTATGTAAATATTGAAAGATAGTGACAATTCATACAAAAAGGGTTTCTTCTAATGCTATTAAATATTTCATTCAAGCATTGATTGTAAGTTAATATTTTGTATATATTCATACCATCTGTTTTCAATCTTTCTTCAGTTTCAACTGTCTTTTTCTGTTTTTTTTTTTTTTTTTTTAGTTGTCTATTTATATTTGTTTACTCATTTGCATGTTGGTATTAACCTGTTTAGTTGCCCCTCCCGTGCCCCGGCCCAGATCCAAATTATTGAGCGATTCAGACGAACCACAACTCGTCAAAAAACTGATCAGTCCTAAAAAAGTGCCAGCTCCCCAGCCAAAACCTAGGAAACAGCCTCCAGCTGATGATATTGAGGTCTGCAGTGGAAGCGAAGGAATTGCCAAAGACGAAGATTGTAGTGAGAATAAGAAACACGTTTTCATGAATAAAGTTTTACCCAGTTCGATTTTGAGCTCACATAAGGCTTGTGTGGAAGAAATGGTTTTCAAATTTGACAACACGAATAAACCTGTCACTGATCAGACTGAACAAGAAAAAGATATTTTGGAGCCAAAAGTCGTAGAGTCAGTTTCAATGAGTGATTTGGAAAACCGTGAGGCTCCGGAAGGAGGCGACGAGGGCCAGACGGAAGCTTGGAGTACAACTCCGGTGGTGGGACTTAATTCAGGTGTGCATGTGCATGATTAGATGTTAATATATTTATATGTTGGTATTCTATAGTCAATATAACTTATTTATTAGCATTATACCTGGCGCTATACAATTACAAGAAAATATGTCTTACAACCCTACTTAATATATTCACACTTATTCTGTTAATACTTACAAAACTGTTAATAGCTTTGTGCCGTAATGGTGCTTGTGTAATAATCAGTGTCCACCGGTTTGATCTTGAGAAAAGTCAGTAGCTTCTACCAGGTTGTAACTGGACCCAGCTGCCCTTGATCATTGGGTTTTTAAAAAACGGTCCTGGTCTAAAAAAAACAGCTGATCTTTCAATAATAAATCGACTCTCACATAATTCATATTTGGGTTAATACACAGTTGTGTCCTCAACATAATTTTATTGGTAATATGATTAATATTTTAGAGATGTTGAAACTGTCTTTGATTGAGCCTGAAGATAACCGTTGTGGCTAGTTAAAATATAATTATCCGTTTGAACATCTTTTATATACAGAGGGGTTGTAACTAACAAGGTTTACAGTGGTAGTTGATTGGTAATATCACTTTTTACATTAATTGTTGTACATAATTGTCCTTGTGAAACACTTGAGCTAGTTGTTTTTTATTACAATCAGTGCTATTTGAAATTTTTATAAATTTATATTTAATATTTATTGGAAAATGAAAAGTAAAACTTTGTTACTACCAAGTAATTTATTACAGTATACTTTTTCACCTCTCTGTATACTTAAAAAATATATATACCCCCTCTAAGAATTTACAATACAGTTGAACCTCTATAAGACGAATTCCAAGGGGTACGGGAAAAATGCGTACTATAGAGGTATTCTTAATAAAGAGGGTCGTTTTATCGAGGTTTAATGCCGCTGTTATTCTTCTTATAGAGGTTTCTCCTCGCTCTAAGGTTTTTCCAAACAATGACTGAGGAAGGAGGAGGGATGGGTGGGGATTTCATGTTGAGACAAGCTTCTGTTTGTTTTGAAAACTACGTACTATGGAGGTTAAGATTATGATAAATTCGTCTTATAGAGGTCACGTTCGTCTTGTAGAGGTTTTGTGCTAAGAATATTCGTTGTATAGAGGTTAATCAGTCCTAGCCCATGTCACAAACAAATTCGTCTTATGGAGGTTTTTAACTTAATTACTACGTTGTATAGAGGTGTTTTTAGCATTGACCTATATGAAAGTGTCAAGGGGATAAAAAAAATCGTCTTATCGAGGAATTCGTTTTATCGAGGTTCGTACAAACGAGGTTCAACTGTATAAGTGTAAATATATCGAGTAATGTTGGATGACTCCTTTATTAATATATACAAGTCCTTGAACTTATGGGTAAATTGTTTACTGTTGGATCTCTGTTCTAAATTTGTTGAATATAAAAAAAAATAATGTATGACATTATTCCTTTGTTCAGTGAAAATATTTTTGTTGAACATTATTTAATCAAAGACAAAAAAATTAGAACAAACTTTTGCTACAGACTTTTTTCTATGTAATATCTAAATACATTTTCAATATTTTTGCTATTCTAAATCTAGGTTTTACTTTTGAACTCGCTTTTGAATTAATATCAAAATACAAAATTTGTCATTCAATTATGTATAGATTTGGTAAATATGTTTATAATATTGTAAATAGCCTCTGTACTTGCAGGTCTTTGATTCTTCTATGATCTCTTTCATTATTATTTTATGCTAATCTTATTTTTATCGTGGATTTCTTTTATCCTGGCTTTAACAACTAATAATACCTTTTAATAACTTACCCTGTACTCTTGTTGTATAAAAAACACTAATTTTTATTTAATATTATTCTTAATTATACATGTAAAATATTTAGGTTAAAACTGTTGTCGATCTTTATTTTTCAAATAAGTATAGTTTAGTTTGAAGGTGTAGGTTGACAACTGCCAAATCTTTTATCTTTCTTCTGCTGTCCCAACTTGTAAAAAAGGGTCTAAATTTTGGGGATTTCTAGAGTATTCATCTTAAATATTTAGTATATATTTAGCATGCATCCTTCTTGATCTCCCTAGTAAACTCTCATTTACAGAATATTTTACCATTGTAAATAGTTATTTGTGTAACAAGTGAGCAAAGTGGCACTTTGCTGCACACGAGAGCAACATTTACGCACGAGCCTACAGCAAAGGCCTTTTGCACTCGTGTTACACATTATATTTTTCTTACAGTCACTATAAAGCATCTATATATAAAGCCAAAAGTACCCATGAACTTTTGAGAAAACTACAAGTCACACCCCCATAAACCATATACTTAAAATTGCTCGTAATTGCTTTCCAAAGGGAACTTTCCATTTACCTAATGTTAAAAATACCTCAGCTGTTATTATTTGTTTGTATTCTGCTTTGTTTATTTCATCTTAACTTAACCAATCAATAGTTTTATTAATACTAATGTAGTAAAATGGGGTGGAGCCCGTGGGTAACAGCTAGTTATAAATAATTAGTCTTTCAAACACTATACATCACATTGGTTCAGCTGGCAACACAAATAGGTGCCCTAGAGAAAGTAGTCCCTGGTCCGTATCACTCCGCTATTTTTTCCTCAGCAAGCAATGTGCTCCGCGACTTGAGAAAATAGTTCCGTATATTTTTGTCATTTGCAGTGGCTTCCGCGCCTAAAAAAACACTTTAAAGTAATTTTCTTGTTTATTAAGATCGTAGGACTGTTTTAAAAACGTTTAAAAGAAAAGTCCAGAAAGTTCAGAAATACCGAAAAGAGAATATAAACTATAAACACGTAATGACAGGTTAAATAGTTTTATAATAGTCAATCAGCTGCTCATAGTATTATTATCTTTAAGTATTGCCAACCTATTTCCAAGCGTACATGGATTACTTGCATAATAGAACCACGCTTTTTTGTGTTGTTTCGTTGGAATCCTGATGTGCGCCAAAGTATAAACCGTACGACAAAGTATAAATATGCAGCAATTAGCAGCTTTCTGTACTATAAACAGTACAAGGTAGCCAACTTTGTCGGGTGACTGTAGGAAAAAGCAGTAGCATAATAATTTAGTCATTGAAATTCTATAAGTATTTTTTCTTTTAATCTTATATAAATACAGAAAATAAAGAGACTTTCACAAAGGGGGAGTTGAGTCAAAAAGAGGGGTTTCTCTCCACGTTCTCAATAGTGAGACACTCTTGCTCTTACTGCCAGTATAATACCTTTTTATTTAGCTTTTCCTGATTCTAGCAAATCTATTTACATTACAGGAGACTAAAGTGGCAAATATTTGTTTCGAGATTGTGAAATATTTGTATTTTATGTTGGTTACAAGTCAGCTGTGAGGCCAATACAAGTGGTAGTAAGCCATTGTTTTGCCAATACCTACCTCAAAACAGTCCTTTTCTTGAAGTTCATTTTCTGGGATCGCAAGTTTATGTTATTTGAGGGTTTATTGCGGACATATTCCAACACAATTAACCAAAAACAAGTTTCACAGGCCTGACATCTGATCCCGCCCTCATGTGAAAAAGAACCTAAAAATAGCAATATTTACATAAACCCAGTCAAAGGTGAAAAATCAAAATGACAAAACCCACTAACAATAACTATAGAGAGTGGGAAAAAAATTACGGGACAGTTAAATATTCTAAAAATTAATAGAAATAAAGTTACAAGGACAAAGTTACTGGGTATTAAAATCATTTTAACACATTATTCACTGATACGCTACCTCCTCAGGGGACGGTCTGCTAGTAGTAGAAGAAAATCTTAAATTTAAGCACAGGTGATATGTACATCAAATTAAAAGTCTTTGTTAGTAAAATACAATGCCACAAACCCAAACTCAAAAATTACAGCCAGTCAAGTAATGATGTTCTTTTTTCCGTTTTTTTTTTTTTTTTTTTTTTTTTTTTTACTGACACAAACACTTTTTCATTTAACTTAAAACAGATATCAGGTAATAAACTAAATACATGGAATGTGTTGATAGTATTTGATATAACGGGGATAGGACATTTCAGCAATTCTTAACCCTCTTCCCAGATGGACTAAAGTATGTATACAGACAGTAAAATTATTAAAAAAAAAAAAACTAAAAAATATCTTTTTTACATCTATGGTTTATAGAATTTTATAAATAGTTAACCAATGCAGCACTTTTGTCTACAATAATTTTTTTACTTTTAACTTTTTTTTACTATTTTCATGAAAAACTTTTTTTAAATTAAATTCTTATTCTTCTAGCAAAACATTCCTATTCCTAGTACATCGGTTAAAGATATAATTGAATTAAAGGACATTTTTACGAAGACTAATGATGTTATAGACAATCAACTATAACAATAACTGTCGTAATAATCGGCGGATATATCCCCCTACTGTCCGCAGAGCCCAAAAAGCTAAGCGGATATATCCGCCTACCGTCCGCTATGCACAAAATGCTGGCGGATATATCCGCCTATAGTCCTGGGAGGGTTTATTTATTTGAGGACATAACAGAATTTTCAAATAATTGGTTTAGGACTCATCGGCACTTGTTACTTAATTTTTCTTTTACTATTTCTCGTTATTTCTATTTTTACAACAAATTTACTCTTGCAATTTTTTATTTGACAGTATATAATTTTCAAGATACAGTATGAGAGGTATAAGAGTAAATATATTCCTCTACCACATTTTTTTATTGTTCTTTACTTTAAAGATTAAAATTTTTTATTCATTTTTCAGAAACTGATGCAGAGATGAGGTTAGCAGATGAGGAAATAGATAGGATATTTTCAAACGCAACAGAAAACCATACTAGTCCGGAGATCGAAGAAGATGACGATGCCAAACTGATGATGTCACTTCCTTCCCCTGTGATGCCGGAGGAGGTACAACCAACGTCTGGGGAGGATCAGTTGAACTGGGAGTACAGACTACCAGCCCCACCTACATTCAGGGATGAGAACAAGTCACCCTCCGTCACGGAGTTCGGAACTGTAACAATCGGAAACCTCAGCGAAGTAGTGTGTTCTCAGACTGTCAAAGAGGACCAGCCCAGTGGTAGAGAGATACAAAACGTCGACACCGTAGTTGAAAAGTCAAAGATTAACGAAGAAAAATTTATCAACTCTGTGGAAGCCGCACCAACAATAAATAGTGCAGATTTAGAAGAGATGAGGCCACTGAGGAAAGAAGTAAGAAGCAGCTCTGCATCTTCCATTTACGACACTGAAGCTTCAAAAAGTTCTAGAAGCTCGATACATTCTGTGGAACAAGAAGTTATAAATGAACTGTCATCCACGTTGCACCAAAGATCGAAAATGAATCCGAATGAAAACGTGGAAAAACACAAATCAGATTTGATAAACAATAGCACTTTGGATAATTTCACAATCACTACTTACAAAGATACCAAACCGATCGAGGTGTTTGAGGACGACTCGATAAAAAGTTCCACCGGAGAGAAAAGAGACAAGTCGAAAGACGATGCGGTGTTCAGAGCTCCCAAGCCACGGTTTAAAGAACCGAACTTATCGAGAACGAATTCGTTCAGTGTTGAGAACAATCAGAACGGTCCGGTGATTAAGAGATCTGTGTCATACGTGTCACTACTGGCCGCCAATATGCCTCGTAACTCACAGCCGTACAGAGCGCATCTACAGAGACATCGGTCTAGCGTGGGGCAGGAGCTCGACTTCTACCCGAGGTTACGTAAAACCTCCAGTGAAGTTAACATTGATAGACAAGGTCAGTACAAAGTCACAACACTTTCATACATTTTTAACAGTTTTTATTTGTTTTGCATTGTTTTTAATCGTATAATAACTTGGACCTGGGTAAGGGCACAGGTTAGTTATCAATTTTTGGATGAGCGCTAAACATTGTGACGAACAGTATAGAGGCGAAGGTAGTTTCAGTTCGTACAATAGTTGTTGCCAGGTAAAAAGTAAATTTTCTACAAAGGTGCAGACAACTATGCAGAGTGTACAACCACAAAGGTTGTGCAGATTCTATATTCTGGAAGAGAGAATTTATCGCCTTTTTCTAAATAAGAGGACGAATAATATTACCATGATCTAAAATCGCTTTTGTCAGTACTGTAATAGTATTTAGTATTACATGAAAATGTCTTTTAATGGTATCTTTTAAACCACATCTTTAAAACCAGTTTCTAGGTTGGTTATTTAAATAAAAATCTGTACATTTTTTTGTCATTCACTTTCCTTAGTTTGTTATTTTTCCAAATCTTTTTATCAAATTTCAAATTTTGACATATTTTACTATTGAGAAAAATATTTTATTAAAAATTGTCATTATTGTTGGGTATATTCACAGTGAAAATAATGAGTGTGTTCTGTATTTGTTAATAGACAATGGAAAAGAAAACACGCTTTGGCAGGATGATTCAACTCAACTTCAGTCAGTTCAGGTAAATTAATGTGAAACAATATTTTTTTAAGGCAATAATAATAATGGTTACGTGCATCAATAAAAGTACATTTTAGTGATTACATTCTTTTGTGTAATATTTTGGGTTTATTTGGCAAGGCAATGAACGGTAAAGGTATATTTGAATATTGGATTAAAAAAAATTAAAATAGCTTTAGACACCAACTAAAATAGTATTTCAGTTTAAAGTCCTTGCTTATTTTTGGGGGGCTTTTGGAAATACATTAATTACTTAAAAATTAAAAATCACCGATTATCTTTGACTGCTGTTGCCAAAAAATATCAAGAAAAAGACATGCTTAAAAAATTTTTTCAAAAAGCAAGCTTATTCACAATGGTATTGTTTTTTAAAAGTTGGTGTTATCAAATACAATTTGTTTTACATCAGGTAGTACAAATTTAAACTAAGGATGTATAAAACTAGAATTGAACTAAAACCAGTTGAAGCAACTCTTTTGAAACGGGGACAACAAAAATAATAGTGCTGTAATCTGTTGTTTGTTTAATTGATACAGAAGTTTCTTTGATTCTTAAAAAAAGTTTTGGTAAAGAATAAGATTTTCTCCACATGGGGAAACTTCAGAGCCACTGGGGCTACTGGCCAAATGGTTTTTTGAGATAAGAATAAGCCTATATGTTAATGTAGGGTAATATGAGCTGAGCTATCATTATGCTAAAAAAAAGATTTGACCCTATTTATAGTATTGCTGTACATGAAAATACCCCCGCCGCAGCAAACCTGCAGACTAAGCGAATTTCCATTAACCTGATTGGATTTACACTAAAATGCCTCCATAAAAATAGCACATTTATTTCCTATTTAAATAGAATTAGTTTAACGAGTACTTAGGTTTGCTGCAACAGGGATGGTAAAAAAGATTTTTGTATAAAATGATAATAGTTTAGTAAGAAATAAAAGTATTTTCCAAAATCGATCAAAATATGTTCATAAACAAGCAAACTACAACAGTTGACTTATTCTCCATAAGAATAACATGGGAATTTTAAAATTAAAATTTTTTTGAATTTTCTCCGTAACGATTAGGCGCATAATAACGCTTCAATATACTAAATTATTTGTTTTTTTAAGCTCTACAAAATGGTTTAAAAAGAAATTGTGAAATTTTGTGTTTTTAGGGTCAAAAATGGGAAAAATCTATTTTTACCCCATAAAACCCCCCATAAACATCCGTTCTCATAGTCCGATCATGCTGGTTCGCGAACTCATTCAAGTTTATCCCGCCTTACACCTTCAAACCAAATTTTATCAAAATTGGACAAAGATTACTCAAGTTATCGTGCGGATGGACACACATATATATATATAGATATATAAAAATTTGAACGAATGGTGTTTTTGGCCTCTGGGGACATCAAAATGAAAAAGTAAATCGGTCCCGGGCCAAAAATAAAAAAAATCGGATCGGGGGGGGGGGGGGGGGTCTTACCATGAGACCTACGGTAATAGCTACTTCCCTATAGGGAAATTCGCTAAAAATAAAGAAGTATAAGCCAAATTTTGCCCAATCCGACAATCACACAAACTGTTAGTTTTATAATATTATAGTATGATAATTAACTGAAGGGATAATTTGATTTTAAAAATGTCAATATCTATTTCTTATTGTTTTCCAGGTTCTACGCAACATACTGAGTAGGTCCCATGCAAACTTGTCATCCAGCATTGAGGAAACAGACAGTATTCCAGATCACCACACTAGGTTAGTGCTGTTACAGTAGACTCCCTCTTATCTGGACACCTACACTCGGAGTAAATGACATCTCTTTAACCGGACAATTTTTATCAGCTCGAGCTCATTGGTTTAACTGGACTAGAAGACTAGATCGGCAGGAAGTGTGCGGTACTAAAACGACTGTTCTCGTGGGAAAGATTTGAGACCAGTGATCACGTGTCTAAATACAATGCTCTCCCAAATTTATGTCAAATACTGTATACAGTATGCATTTATATAGTCCGTTTTAACGAGTTTTTGGGGACGTCGGTTCAACCGAAATAACTGTTATCCGGACTGGCGGAGTCCGGTATTATAACTTTTCAACCCGATAATGTTAAGTTTATCTTTATCAAGCTGAAACAATTACCCAACTTTATATTTTTAACCCTTTGTCAGTGACACCACGGATTTTTCCCCCGGGAGCATTTGTTTTTATAGAAAAATATGTTTTATTGTCAGTCGGTAACTTTAGGAGTAATAGCACCTTACGTGCATCTTTCTAGGAACCGATTGAACATAATTTTGATCTCGCACCTCCCCCGCGAAACTCGTATTAATCAGTTGAAGCCCGAAGAAATCAGTTGAAGCCCGAAGACTCGCGTACCACGGAGCCCGGCTCCATGTGTCACCAATGGTGTTGTTGTTTTTGTTTGCTATATTTGTATAAATATTTAAAGTAAGAGTTTTTATTGATTTCATGCACAATTTTAATAATCTTATGTGACAGATTTCTGATACCGTTTATTTATAAATATAAACTGAGTTCTGAATTTGTGACCAAAACTAAAACTTAGATCTCAATAAAAGAACAAGTTTGCGTAGTTTAGTTACTGAAATTAAATTAATTAATCATCATTCAATGATGAGGATAACAAGACCAGAGTTAGAACCATTCCTTTAGATAAACACAAACACACACACAAATAGGTTGCTCTTTATACAAGAAACATAGGTTATTCATATTCATATTCATATTCATATTCTTTATTCATATTTTTGTACAAAGGTGGTACAATGAATAGCGTCAATAAAAAGAAATACAACTACAATGATATTAGTAAATATTAACAAGTAAAATAATAACAACAAGTCTTTAGCTAGTCAAGAATGAAATACAAAATCAAAATAACTTAATGCTACCTATGCCAGGGAGGTGGAGAACTCTTCCATAGAATAAATAGCTAAATTTAATATATAATCTTTGAGTAATTTTTTAAACTTATTAAAATCTGTTTCTTTTTTTATATTTTTGGGGATAAATTTTAAAAATCTTTGGCCTGCATTGGACGGTTTTTTTTCATAAAACTTGAGCCTATGAGGTTCAACAACCCCACTTTTTTCCCTAAGCTTATAGTTGTGGCTTGTAATCGGTTTTTCACTCAAATCTTGTTTTCTAGCAATAAGAATAACTTCATATATATATTGTCCATAAACTGTAAAAATTTTTAGATGTGTAAAGTGTTGTTTGCATGATTCATCCCTCTTAAGCTTGAGCATTATCCTGATAGTTTTTTTTTGCTGTTTTAAAATAGAGTCCATATTTCTTTGTTTTGTTGAACCGTATAATGCTATGCCGAATTGGATATGGGAATGTACATGAGCAAAATATATATTCTTTAAAGTGTTTATATTGCAATAAAAAGACATTTTTGATAGAGCATAAACTCCAGAATTAATCTTTAGCAGGATCTTTTTAACATGCTCATCCCAATTTAGGTGCTCATCTATCGTTAAACCTAGAAAATTTATACTACTTTCCCTGTTGATGTTTTGTGATTTATATTCTAGTGTTGGATCTGAAGATTTTCGGTTTTGTTGTGTTTTAAACGTTATGAACTTAGTTTTTTCAGAATTTAAAATAAGGTTATGATCATGTAAGTAGTCCCCAATGTTATTAAGTTCATTCGAAGAAAAAATTTGTATCTCCTCCAATGAGTCAGCTGATAAAATTAAATTTGAGTCATCAGCGTAGAGACATAATTTTGAATTTTGTTTATGAATTATCATATTTTCCATGCCCCTCAAGTAACACAAAAAGAGCAAGGGCCCAAGAATAGAACCTTGAGGCACCCCAAATTTGACTGGTCTATAAGCTGAGTTTGATTTCATTACTTTATTTTTATCCGTTAGATGAGATATTTCTACATATTGAGACCTATTTGTTAAATATGAAGTGAACCAATTAAGAGATCTTCTTGATACTCCCAGAATTTTAAGCTTTTCTAGAAGTTTAGAGTGTTTGACACTATCAAAAGCTTTTGAAAGGTCCATGAATATACCTGTTGTAAACTTACCGTGGTCAACTGAGTTGATCACGGTTTCAACAAAAGATACAGCTGCACTGACAACAGATCTCCCCCTTCGGAAGCCATGTTGATTTTCATCCAGCATTCTAAAACTCTCCAAATATTCATAAAATTGTAGATACACAGCTTTTTCATATATTTTGGAAATGGACGGAAGTATAGATAACGGTCGATAATTTGATACATTTGATGTGTCGTTTTTTTTATGTAATGGAATTAATTTTGCTTGCTTTAATTTTTCTGGGAATATTCCTGATACAAATGAAGAATTTATCAAATGGCACAGAATTTTATTAATGTTATTTTTAACACCCTTAATCACTGTGACTGGGATTTCGTCATGGCCACAAGAATACTTGTTTTTTAACGTATTAATGATTCCTTCCACCTCCCTCTCACTTATTGGTTTAAGTTCAAATTTTTGCTTAATGTACAAGTCATCGCTAAAACTATATGTGGGTATATCACAATTCACAGAATTATTATTACTAGTCAGATCAGTTACAATATTACTAAAATGCTCATTGAACATGTTTGCAATTATATTTGGATCAGACACAATGCCAGAATCTTGCTTTAAAGTTATATTCTGTGATTGTCTCTCATTTTGACCAACTTCAGAGTTAATTATAGACCAAACTGTTCTTTGAATATTAGTGGAATTTTTAATCTTTTTCTGAAAATAATTATGTTTTGCTTGATTTAGTTCAGTTTTATATAATTTTTTTTCTTTGTCTAGATAACATTTTAAACCCCTGCTCTTTTTCTGCAGGTTCTCTATAGAGTGTAAAGTAAACTTAGCAAGCCAATTGGGGGAAAACTGTGTTACCAATGATAATTAACATAACAGAAGTATTTTCCTGAAATGCCTCAGAAATATATTGTGTTTATAAAAATTCTACTTGAAGCAGAATTTGGTTTTAAAAGGAATAGTATATGAGTCTAGTAATGAAGCTAGACATAACTGTGGATTGACCCTCTCAGATCATGCACTAGCTGTCTATTTTTCTTTCTTATTTGAAAGGTCAGATTTAAAGTGTTACAAAATTGTTAACGATTAGCTTTATTTGTTACAGAGATTCTCCACCACCTAGTGAAAATTTTATGGAAGAAAGTTCAAAAAGCTCATTGGGAAGATCACAATCTGAAGAAGACAGCAAGACAAAGAAAACACCCAAACCGGTATTTGACCATGCCTCATCACTCGGTGATGAGCCTGCGAAGACCTTCAGGGGACCACCGTCCATCAATCTGTCAACTTGGAGTGAAAGACCAAAACGCCAAATCTCAATCAAAAACGATGGGGAGTATATTTCTGGCTTTGGTAAAAAGCCAAATGTACAAGACGTTCTGACTAGTCCGGAAAAGAAGGAAGAACTTCACTCATCTGTGAAAGCTGTTGTTACTAATCCTAGTCTCCCGAGAAATGACTTTGCTTCTTCAATAAAAAATGAAAGCTACAAATTGGAGGAAAAATCAAAAAGTATCAGTGATTTGTCTAGAATACCCATCGTCAGGTCTGTGGAATTAAAGAAACCCTATGTCAACAACAACTATGACCAAACAAGACTGAAACACGTGGAACAGCGGGATGAAGTGAAGAATTATCCACACACAGAAGATGTTTCCAAAGCAAGCGGAGAGGAAGAATTCATCGGTGTAAACACCTTGGCGAGAAGATTTGGTGTTCCGCAGAAAAGGCCGGTCTCAGAATACTACGGCACTCAGAAATTCAAGGATTTACAAAGCACCGTTGATGCCTCCGCTAGACACAATCTTATCAATAATGGTCCAGCTGTAGTAAGTGTCTCCACTAAAGTCAACAACACTCCTTACCAAACTAGTGAACCACATTTAAACAACATTGTTGGAAACAACAAAACCGACTCTACGACAGAAGTTAAAGCTCAATCTAAAATACGTTCAGGTGGTGCAGTTGATCATCCCCCTTTTTCGATAACTCTGAAAAGGACAGTGTCTCAACCTTCTCATATCAACTCAGTTCTCCACAGTGAGCCTACTCAAACTAGCTATTTCAACACAATTGGTGCTAAACAATCAAATATTTCTAGTGTGTCAATATCTTCTAGCGTAGATCAGAAAATACCATCATCAAGCATTTACATCAAACAAAGTCAAACTCTTGATAGAAAGTTTCCCGTTAATATTCAACCGGTTGTCAAAGGCTTCAGGGTTCCAACGGAAATGAATTCAAATTCTTCACTAACTGTCAATTCCTCTTCAGCCCAGAATGATTCTAGCAATGCATTGAATAACTCAGTAAATTCTTTCACTGTTCATAAGTCTTCAGCTGTTAATTCTTCTTCAGCACCTAAAGTTGTTAGTAATAATGTATCCGATAGTTCAGTGAATTCTTTTACTATTCACAAATCTTCAACTACTAACGCTTCCTCAGTAACGAAAGATGCCAGCAAAAATCTATCGAATAGCTCTGTTAATTCTTTTTCTTTTCAAAAGTCTCCAGCTGTTAATTCATTCTCAGCACCAAGAGTGACTAACAATAATCTACCAAGCAGCTCAGTAAATTCTTTCTCTGCTAAGTCATCATACAGCAGGACCTTCAGCACTCCCAGCATATCAGTGACGGCAGCTGTTAAAGATAGACTGCGAGATGATGTTGACAACGTTCGCTTGAGGTCTTCCAGCACCTCCATATCGCAAGCCAAGGCGGAGGTTGCAGGTTCGATTCCCCCACCTCCCCCAATGATGCCGATGCTGAAACCTGTCGGGGAACGGAAAGGTGTCAAGTTTCTTCCCCCTCCAACTGCCGACCCCAGGGATCTGTTGATGGAATCAATCAGATCGTTTGGAAAAGACAGTCTAAAAAAAGTGTAGTCTAAACCAAATCTAGTAGTTAAGATTGAAAGACTCAATGTGAGGTAACATCACACTTTTAAAATGGACAATTTAAAAATTAATTTGAGTCATCATCACGATTTTCAATAGCTCAATTAGAAAGTAATCCCTAGTACAATTAATGTAGGATTAAGTTTAAAAAACCAAACATTACTTCTTTTACAAGAATTTTATTTATTTTTAACAATAATTTTACATAAAAGGTTTTTTGTTTAAAAAAGTTTATTGCATATATTTTTTGTTTTGTTTATTACAATGTTTTTATTTTTTGTAAATGAAGTAACCTTAATGTTACACTTAATTTACAAGTCATTACAAAATTTGTGTTTTGTTTTTCATATTTTTAAAAGTTACACAAACTTCTCATAGTTAAAATGTTTTAAAAATTAAGCCTACATTTTTATTTTTAGCTTCTGCTTGCTTTAAATTTGTTATGTATTTTTTATGTATATTTGCAACTAGTGTAAATTACATGTACAGCCAAGTGACGTCAAAGGCTTTCAAGTAAATGATGTCATTGTTCTATAAAAATTTCTTCCTTGGCTACTCCTTTACATTTATTTTTATCAAACAATAGAAAAATAGTAAATCAATTAAGAATTTTATGCTTTAAATATTTTACTGTCTGTAAATATGAATAATTTTTATTTTTGATTGTTTAATTTAAATTACACAAGTAAGATGTATTAAGAATGTTTTACTAATGCATTTTGTCACTCGTTCACCTAGTAAAATACTACTTGTTTCCTCAAACTATTTACAATGCTATTAATTTATTTATAGTTTTACAAAAAGCATAACCAATTTTATAACTTGGTGTTTTGTGGATGTTTTTTCTAGTCCTTTAAAAATAAACTGTTAAAATTTTGTTTGGAATTGAATTTTGATTAGAGGTTTTATAACAGGCTGGTATTTAATGATGTTTTTTCAGAGACCAAAGATAATAATGGATATAATGATATGAAATAGTACGCTTTATGCTACAGAGCTAGTTTTTTTAATAGATTTAGCAATTTTCTATCCATCCACTGTGTTTATTTGTGGGTTGAATGAAGATGTAATTATAATCATTTTTGTATTCCTTAAAATGTATGTCAGAATCTTAGAAACCTTGATTCTCATCCGAACCTGGTTTGGTTACATACAGAACGTTAAATATATTTGAATTATAATCAGAATATTGTGATAAAGCCTTAGTTTTAACAATTTTACTTTTACTCTATTCTATTGTTTAGTTTTTTTTAATTTATCTCTGTCAAAGAAATAAAACTTACGCCTATTATTTTGATTTTTAAAAACTCTTTTCCCTTCATTTGTATATTAGTGTATGTCTAATCTTCAAGTTTCAAATATGATGGGAAATGGTATTAACAGCTTGGTTATTTCATAGTGTTGATTAATTATAAATCACATTTTTATTTCCTTAAACCAAAAACTATTTGTAAGTAGGGCATATTTAACTTTTACTTGCATCACGTAATCACATTATTGTTAATGTCTCTGTTGACGCCTTGTCTCTTTTATTAACTGTTTAATGGAACTTGTATATGAATTGTTATTAACTATTTATTTGTTGACTGATGCGGGAAACCTGAAGGAATATATTCTCTAAGAAATTTATGATATAAATATGTATATTATGTGTTGTATAAACTATTAAAGTATATTTATTTAATACTGATTCTCTTTGTTAGCCCAGCATATTTCGTGTTCTTAAATATTATTATAATTGAGAACAGGTACTAGGAATTAAAAATATGTTCAACAGGTGACAAGACAAAGAATCTTATAGCCAATAAAAAGGTAAATCTACATTGTGAATGTAGAATGTATTGATGTTTTATAAATTGAAATTAGAGATGGGCGTTATTTAACGTAACAGGGTAAATAACACTGTTAATAAATTGTAACCTGTTATCAAGATAACACGCAACTCAGAATACCCTGTTATTTTTGTAACGCTGCGCTCATTGGCTTATGAATTGATCTCCTGTACCGGTTCCGTCAGGTTTAAAGTCCTGAAAGCAACAAAAAGTCTTTAAAATAATAAAATGTTAGAAAACATTCCATTCCAACCGGAATTTAACGTACTTGAGAACTGTACATAGTGTGGCAACATTAACACCAACAATAATTATGGGAAAACTGGAACGAAACGTCCAGCTTGTCCAGCTAGGTAACACCCATGCTAGAATTAAGTTACAGTATATCCGGGCCGAAACGAACGAACACGGCCAGTAACATTATACACGGAGCAATAACACCCAGCGAGAATTTCGTTACATTATGGCCAAACTGGAACGAATAAACTACCCACAGAGAGTAACGCCAAGCTGGAATAATAACGTTACAGCCCAGCCGAGCCAGAACGAACATACGGCCAGTAACAGGGTAGAGCAATAACACCCAGCGAGAATTTCGTTACATGCCCGCCGAGCTGGGGCTGGGATGTCACGGTGTGGTGGGGGAGGAACGGACCGGTAACAGGTTACAAAATTAACAGGTTACTGTAACCTGTTACCAAGTTGTAATGGAACGGTGTAACGCGTTTCTCAAAAGTAAAGGTAATTCCCATCTCTAATTGAAATTGTTTGATATTTGTAATAATAATAATCAAAATTACGTGAATAAAAATTTCTTTATCTACTTTGACTTTGCTTAACCACAGGAGTGTCCAAAAAACTACTCTTTTCATATAAATAAATAACTTTATTTGGCATATGACATCATTCATTGACAAACAGTACACAGTTAGATGAACTAAGATGTTTGTCAAACAAACATTTACAAGAAAGTTGAATTTGGGTTTATTGCACAAATTACTTATACAAATTTGTCAAGCAATTAAGATATTTTGCCATTACAGTTCCAAAGCACGGTTTACATTCTTTGGAACAAACAAAAATACATTTACTCAAGAGAGTCGAAATTTTAAGTAAAGATTTTTAAATACATGACAACGGTTTATTGAGATCTCATCTTTACTTAAACTGATTGTAAAATGAGCTAGTTAAGTTAAATAGAATAACATTGGTTAACAAACTAGCTTACTCAAATATATATTAACACAAGTACATGCTATTTTAAAAACATAAGTGTACAACATAACAGTGTATGTACAGACATAAAAAACATTCATTAAAATTTTACTGATGATCAATTGTCACCCTCAGAACAATGCAATTGCTCACTGGTCAATTCAGAGATTGTGCATATTGTGATACAGCTATGAGATACAGTTTAAGCCATATTTATTAAAAAAACTATTAACAAAAATTAAAGAATAAACATCGTTAGGTAGATTCTATCATAAGACAAAAAGAATTAAATATAGACCGTCAGCTGTGCTGCGGTTACCATAAGGTTCTGGCGCACACCCCTGGGAGTGCCGTGTAGTTACGGCGTACATGCTATGTTACTACACGGTGCTCCCAGCAGTGTGCGCCAGAACCTTAGGTAACCGCAGCACGGCTGACAGTATATTTAATTCTTTTTGTCTATGATTCTAGTTACATGTCTAGTGGCCACTATAATTTAGGTTACTTTATTTGGTCAGGGATTTTTAATAAAAAGATGTTATAGATTTACCACAGCTGTATTCTAGTAGTCAATAATCATTCTAGTTAAGAGTCCTTGGAGGCTAACAGCCATCTTGGATTAATTTCAAACAACTTATTTATATTACAACAACTTATAAATTAGAGTAATTTATCACCCCAAAATAATTTTTTTCAAATACCATAGTTATTCTAATTAATTTCAATATCTAGAACACTGTGTGAGATTAGAAATTTTCTTTGTGGTTTTAATTTTTTTTCCAAGGGAGGCTAAAACCTAACGACCAGTTTGGATTTGCCCGCCATAAGAGCAATGTTAATTTTGTTAATTTCAAACAGCCGCTGAAGAGTTATTTACCATCTCAAAATATTTCTTCGGATACCAAAGTGATTGTAATTAAAATATATAGTGCACTGTGAGATTAGAAATGTTCTTCCTACTTGTGTAATTGTTTTATGAGTTATAACGTCAAGAACTCTTAAGGCAGGCGTAACCATAGACTACCCAACACAATAGACAGCTTACATCTCATTTACATTCCGTTGTAAAATTTTAAGCTCATTTTTCATGTATAGTTCATGTTTGTGACACTGGGCGCTAGTGTCAACAACATTTTGTTTATATTATTTTAAGGTTAAATTTTTGATTTGTGCTTAACTGTTTGGTTATATAACAAGGAGACGAGTTATTGTTTATGATTAGATTGTCTTTTATTTGGCTAAATAAGATTTTAAATAACTGAAATAACAAAAAAATGTAAAAAAAATACAATCCTAGCGGCACCGGACGTAACTAACAATAAAATTGTCTTCAGCTCATCCATAAGGATAACAAATGTACTAAGGGAGTACGTTTTATCCATGGTGTAAATACTAAAACTTCCACAAGGGATTTTAACTAATAGAATCGTATCTTGATAGCTGTACTGTAATTTTTATCTTTACTGTAATTGACTCATTCAGTTTAAATGGAAAACTGTTGTAACAACTTTTAAGGCAGCAAACTGGTTAGAAAGGCCAATCTTGAAATTAATTTTCAAATAACTTAACGTTGAGCTTCATTTCAAATAACAATGAAGAAATATACAGACAGTGTTCATCAAAAAACAAAACGCGTCTTAAAATCCCAAATCATTAAATCTGGGAGTTTTCAAAAAGTCTATTTCAGTGTATTAAATATAGTTTTTTTAATGTCTAGGAACTGCGTCGTTTTTTACAAATATGTTGCCACTTAATTGAAATTGTTTAAAAACTACTAGTGACCTACTATTTATTATTTATACAGTTTATCCAGTCTTATTGTATTATTTTAAAGTCTTATTTTAGTTTATTTATCTACAAATGGTTGCCTACGGCTTTTGACAATATTTTTAGGCTACTATAAAAACTACTTGGTCACAAACGCTAAAAAACAAATTTCAAACAAAACACTTGAACAATTCAGAAAGGTAAAATGGTACAAGAATTATACATTTGTTGTAAAAAAATATTATTTACAAAATACATATGTACATACAAGTTACGATTTTACAGTTTAAACACTGATAAATTATTCATAAGATATAGCAACAGTACGTTTACAACTAATACATTAATATTTTCAGTGCTAAAATAAATAAGTTTTTCATGCCTTAAATTTGACTCAACATCAGTAGTGTGGTATTGATTTATAAAGTCTATATAGCACCGAAAAACAAAGAAGAATAATAAAACATATAACATCGATAATTCTTATAAGTTCAATGTATACATTCATTTTTTTTTACGTTTAATAATCATGGTCATATCAACTATGTGTTAGGCAACTTTTTTAGTTCAGGCATCTTAAATAGGTCGGACCTTTGACTAATGCAACAACTACACATTCAATCCACATGTTTAAGTTATTACCAGTTTAGAATCAAAATGGACGTGTGAATGGATCGTGTGAACATGAGCCATTCATGTAAAGTACTGATTTCAGTCGAAGATGTCAACTTCTTAATGGAGTCGAACTGATAAAACAACTTATGGTAAGCAATAGAAATTTGTATGTCACCTCAAATAGCCCAGGAGCATAAACTAAGCAAGAATATAGAATTTTGGACACCAGTGTGCTCTGAGTGGCTCAAACTATGTTATTTTTCGTTAAAAAATAAGCCACAACTGATCCATCTAGATATGATGTCTACATCAGTATTCAAGAGTCAATATTACCTAAACTGGAATAAATGTGAACTGGCAAAAACATACAAATACGATACCTACAATGGAAATCACTGAATTTCAGTCAGAACACCTGATAATGTTCATTGAAACTTGACAAATTTCATAAAATCTACATAAAAATCGTAATTAACCTGTATTATACATGGGCAGAAACCTCTTTTCAATTTAATGTATTCTTAAAGAACAAAAAACTCATATGATTTTACCCCTTTCGCTTACTACGTAATTTTTTATAAATAACCAATTGCATTGTCAAACTTTTCAATAGTTATAGTTGGTTTGTCTTCTTAAATTAAATTAATTTTCGATTGCATTACTCTAATCGCCTTCTTAAACTTTTCCTCCATTGGTGACGGCACCTAACCTAAGGGCCAGAGCTTTTTGCTCCACTCAGACTTTACGACAAAGAAACTTTCATCTGTTCAATAGTTGCAGTTTCAGTCCATCTTATCATGCACCATTGGGAAGCGCACTACCCGTAGTTGCTGTCCATAGTCACACGCCACACTGTCATTCAGTAGCACAATCTGGTGGACAAAGACGCAACTGTCCGAGTGACCGAGCTTCACGATCCTCACTGGTTCTCCGGAACAAACGTCCCACACCACAAGCGAACCCTGAATAAAAGAAACTCTTAATAAAAAAGTTACCACCAAAACCAAAGCTCAACTTCGTCAAACTGCACCGTTGACTTTTTTTTAAATACTGACACTAATATGGACTTTTTTTAAAAGGGATCAAGGACTTGTGTTTGTAAAGATATATTACATAGAAGGGAAAACTAATTACTTGATACTTAAGAACAGTGCTCAATTTGTAAAAAATGAGGTGCCGGAACTGTAACCTATTTGATGTGATTTGTACTTATTTATGTAGGCCTACCTTTTTATGCTAATATTTTTAATCAAAGTGGTTTAAATACCTGTAATGTCGACAATCCAAGTGGTTGTGTAACAAATAGTTTCGGCTCACAATGGAGCCATCTTAAGGTTTTTCAAGGACATTATCACTTCTTCCGAAGGTAGTCAAAGTACACAAATAATTTACATACTTAAAAACACATAACACGCATGCCTAGGCCTAGCTTTAACGACGTGAGTCTAGACGTAAACTCCCGCCGGTCACGTCGTTAAAGCTAGCCTAGGCATGCATGTTACATGTTTTTAAATGTTTTTATGTATGTAAATTATTTGTGAACTTAGACGACCTTTGGAAGAAGTGTTAATGTCCTTGAAAAACCTGAAGATGGCTCCATTGTGAGCCGAAACTAGTTGTAACACAACCACTTGGATTGTCGACATTACAGGTATTTAAACCACTTTAATTGTATCTCAATAATCTGGAGGCTACCCATTCGAAAAAATAATATTTTTATTTTATCTTTACGAAAGAGAAATACCGGAACTCAGTTCCACTGCGTTCCCCCACAAATCGAGCACTACTTAAGAATATGAAGACATTTTAAGTAACATAACACTATTTGCGTTCAAATTGTACACTCTGTATTGTACTGTATTCAACTGACCTGACGAGACGTGATGAGCAGATTGTGTGTTAACATCACCATACTGCAGCAATAGGTGTGAACCTATAAAGTAACATAGGGTCAATTACAATGTGCGATGTACATATGAGGCAAGTAGCACAATACATTTCTAGAGCCATGCAAGTTTTTAAATTTCATTTTGTTATCGATTAATAATTTCTTCAGCGATAATCCAGCAAAGAAACACTGTTTTTGGAACATAGATCTAAAAAACTACAACAGATATTGCAAATTGAAATTTTCTAAACAAAGCAATTTGGAAAACCCAGGTAAATGATCTTATTCATTGCAAATTAACAATTGGTTATGAAAAATGATGAAAAGGGAATACTGTAACAAACCAAACTCTGTTCACAAAATTTGGTTTTAGGGGAAGAAATCTATTCCCCGCCACTTGATCCTACATTTAAAACAATAGCCACAGCTGAGGTTTGCCAAAACGTCAGTTCATAACATAAAATCAGCTATAACATAATTATACATCAAGCAAATGTGTAGTTAGGGAACTTCCTCTCAAACCGTCAACATTTTGTGAATGAACTATCGTTCAAAACACCACCAGGACGTAGGAACAACCAGACCTGCACTGAGCGGCTGTAACCTACCACTTGTATAGTGTTGAGGAGATGACCCTGAAACCTCTCCCACACGCACAGTCTCTCATCACTGCCCAGACTGATGATGTAACTGGCCGAGTATGTGAGACAGGTGATGACGCCATCATGCGCCTGTATGCTGTACATGCAAGCGCCTGCAACAACAAAATATGTTAACCCATTGAGTGAGGTGGCCTAACCCACTGGCGCTTAATAAGTTCTTTGTATATAACCTACGTTACTGTTGACGTGTACTTATGGTTTCATGCATCCCGATCGTCCAAGGGTGGCATGGTAGCTCATTTTTAGGAATGGACGGGTCCCGAAATTTCGGAAAAAAAATTTTCCAATTTTCAGGACAAGATTACATTTTACTTGGGAATTTTTCGGGACGGGATTTGATCTGATCGTTGGCGATATTGCCGCTTCGCGAATGACGATGACGCCTCTATCGCGAGAGATGTTCATGATAGTTCCGCTAACGTAGGAGGATAAGTCCTTTCAAAGATCACGTCATGACCGCGAGTCGATTCGACAATCGCGTCGTGACCATGAGTCATTTCGACGATCGTGCCTTGTCCACGAGTAACAATATTGCTCTACACTTGTCAAAATTTAGGATTTATTAAGCTAAATTGCTTTTCTACTCATAACCGATTCAGGCCTTTAAAACTCCACACAGTTTTTTAAATGCACAATGACTGACTCAGTGAACCGGTCCGCACAATGATGTAATCACTTTTGTTTAGGCCGGCCAAAAAGTATAATTTTTCAATGTTACGTGTAAATATAAATGTTTCGTGTGTCAGTGTATGTGTATATGTGTACTTCAACGGTGACCAATGCTATAAACAGTAATTAACAAGACAGAAAATTTGACAATGGGGCTGTTGGCCCCGAAACTATAGTCATTTTAAAAGACGACTTGGATTGAGGACGTATACAAGGTATTTAACCTATTATTATTACCGAACTAAAAATTCAATCCCGTCCATCCCTACTCATTTTACCCACATACCACCTGTTTTCCTTCTGTCTGCATAGTATACCTATTTTTATTGGCTATTATTTTGATTAAATATGAAACATCAACAGACATGAAAGGAAATAACCTAACAAAATTTATCAATAACAAAATAATCAAAAATATAAATACTCCCACGTCAATCGGTTACGCGAGCCCAAGGATTATTTATTGTTTTAGTTGTGTACCTATTGTAATTATTATGTTTATTCATAACACAAATACAAATTAATATCAAAACTAATTTCAGTGGACAGGTACCAAGATAAAGTAAGTAACAAAAACCTTATTTTTATACTTAACAAGAATGAACACAGGATCTTTAGCACAGGTACTGTTAACCTTAATTTAATAATCGAGAGGCTACTAAATCATAAAAATAGCTATTTGGATTAATTTTTTACGGCTACAATGAGCTGCTTATAAATTTTCTTCTACAATTTTTTTTTTCTGACCTGTAGCACTAATGCGATTTCTGTTTCTGTTTCTGCGGTTTCTGTTTACTTACCCGTATGTAAGTCCCACACACACAGCAGTCCGTCCTGACTGCCAGATGCTCCTGTGGAGGGAGTCACTCTGTCTATGAACAGACTGGTGATTGGACCAAAGTGGCCGTGGAGTGTGAACAACGCTGCCTGGTCAGCCACCGAGAACACCTGAGTAACAGACAGATGATCAAATGTTGTATGAAATCAACATGTACATTGGTCATGAGTGTTCAACGATAGTTTTACTTGAGTTTTTACACAACATATTACAAGTGTTTGTAGATTACTGAAGAAACAAAGACGAAAATTTGAATTGCAATGTAATTTAATAGATAAATTATTAGCTAACAAGCAGAAATGTCATAAAAAATTAATTCACTCTAAGTGAAGTTATTTAATAATGTTTTAGAACCTGGAAAATCTAATAAGAGATTATCCAGAGCAATAGTTTTGTTTCTACATAGACAAGAATTCTTTATATTCTCACAATACATCTTGACTAATTCATGATCACTGCAACATCCGATAGTTCATCTCTTGTGTTTGAGACAACAATAATATCAACAGGTTCTCATACCGCTAAAAACGACAAACTATTATATGCAAGTGAAAAAGCAGGAATTAAAATATTTATGAATCTCGAGTTTAAAACATTCTAAACAAAACATGATGTATTCCTTAATCAACATTTCATTTTTAGGTACATAAATTCTGTGAAACAGTTATCGAGTGTAATGTAAATTAGAAATTAAGTACAATAGATGAACAAATCAGCGACACTGTCACAATTTCCTACCTTCAGTGTATGGTCCTGGCTGCCAGTGAGTACTCGGCCACCTTCAAAGTCGAGCACTGTGATTGGCTGCTGATGTGCTCTGAGTGACGACAGACACACACACTTCACACTAGCCGCAGCCCCACCAGACGAGTCTATATAGCTCCACTCCGGTACAGTCCCTGCGCTGCCTGTCCGCACATGCGCTGTCACAAGATACATTGTTTTACTTTCATCTCTGGCGTCTCATAATTTTCTCTGAATTCTAAGAAACAGTAGTCTCGATATAAGATCTTTGGTAACTAGATTAGATATAATGTAAACTTACTACCAATGATGATGATACTGGGTGATATTTTAGCCATATAAAACTTTAGTGGTTACATTAATACCCCTTGCCCCTTTGTCACTTCAAGTTAAAAATTTCATGATGGCATGAAAAAAAAAATAGTCGATTATGATTTAATGGAACTTGAAAAAGACTTGATCGGTTTGACTGTAGGGAAACTTTTTTTTGTGCAACTTTTTCCCCCCGACCTTCCTGCAGCAGGCTTAAGTTGAATATAAAAACTATTGTGCTTTTGCTAAAAAAAAAAGATATCAAGCAATTATTAAAAGTTAGCTTTATCCAACTGTTCGATTCTTTGCACGTACTTCTGCGATGTGCGAAATGGTGGTTGGAGCACTCCAGCTGGAAGAAGTCCAATGAGCCGCTTAGCCGAGCAGCAATGATGTGATGTCCAGCGAGTCTGACACACGTCACTCCAGACTCCTCCGAGCGTACTACACACTGCGACGACAAATGTCAACAATAATCAATAGAAGTTATAAAAAACCATTAACAAGAAATTACATAGCCTCTTAGGATTTATACGTTACCAAAACTTTCCCATTTTAAACAAAAGGATAGTCATCTCTTTCCACTTTGCATTTATTAAGCAAGGAATCAGCCAAAACAAGAGAATGAACTATACTGATAAATATAAGTGAACCAATTATCAATCCACACTGTAATTTCCTGTTTTTCAAACTAAGTTTGGGCTAAAACATTGAACAAACCTCATTAACTAGACATCGTGGAGTTATTATAAAAAGGACACATAGCTCTAACACAAACAAAAGTCCTAATCCTGGTTAACAAAGACTAAATAAATGTGAAACCATGCTGATAAAATATCAATCTATTAGATCTCAGTTACCGACAAAACTTGCCACCTGCCGGTTCAACTAAAAAACTAAAATTGGGCTTCAAAACAGAGTACGATGGAAATATAAGTGTTTTCCATCTCAAACTGAGTTTTTGACACATTAAATGTGAATGAATTTGAAATATTACTCAATACCTAGTCCCAAAATATTGCGTACTATTACATTTTAAAACCTACATATTGTGTACTGAAATATGTATAACATTTTTAAAATAAGCAAATACACAGACCTTCTTTTTACCAGTCATGGCATCCCATATCTCGAGGTGTCCTGAAGCGCATCCGATGACAATCAAATTGTCTTGACAGTCTAAACACCAAATGGGTGAAGTGTCCGAACTGCTATCAAAACCGTTGAAACTCTTACCAGTTCTTTCATTTAAACTTTCGTCACTGAGTGAAAACTTAAACTCGTTTTCCGTAGGCATTTCACACTCGCTTGCAGTTCTTGAAGGGGATTGACGTACACAGTTTGGGCTGGTTGTGCGAGAGCCGGGTATTATCCGAGAACACACGGTGTCTAACTCTTTGTAGAGCGAGTCTTCATCGGTGGATTGCAATGGAGACGGTGACAGCTTGGCTCGACGGATAGTTGTGACCAAGTCTCCGGTGACTGAGTCCCACACCTTGATGTGACCACCCAGACAGCTGCTGACCAGCCAATGGCCATCCGTGGCCAGACACTCTATGGGCTGAGCATGGCCAGCCAGTACGAGAGGCACAGCTTCCAACACTACCTGTAGAGGACCAAGCGATGTCAGCTGATGTACAATAGTGTGATAGCCAAAATAAGATCAGACACAGTCCCGAAAAGAATGAGTGAAATTCGAATGGATGGAAGAAGACCAAGAGGAAGACCCAAAAGAAGGTGGTTCGACGAGGTGAAATGTGATGTGGAAGCAAGAGGAGTGCAAAGGCAGTATGTGGAGGAAGTGGAATTGTGGAAGGACAGAAGAAGATGGAGAGGCCTAGTGAACACCCAGACCCGAAGATAATCGGAGCGGGAGGTGATATGTATGTAACTATGTATGTATGTACTTAAAAAGCTCTACAAAAATCAAGATGGTTTAGTCAAATAAAATAAAATACAACTTGTTTGGTTGTCTGACCAGGTTCTAAAAGTTACTATGTAAAATAGCTACATATTGATATTTGAGCACATTTGAAAAGGAATATCTATACAAAAATAAATATTTACCAGCATTGTTTGTTATTATTTTACCTGTGACGATGGATCTGATGGTTCTTTAGTCCCCATCCAGCTTGCTCGCCATTCTGCGTAGTTTCTTGAACATATACATCTATATAATACCTGAAAAAATATAAAACAGTTGACAGTTGTAAAATGCCAATTTATTTTTAATATTAAGTTTGTAGTTTTTCAAAGCAACAATTTTTACATATTAAGAATGCAATATAACAGGATAATACATCCAGTTGTACCCATTCATAGTAAAAATAAACAAGCAACAAACAATTATATTTTTTAACTCGTTTTAAAATATTATATCACTTTTACACGTAGTACAGTAATTGAATCAATAAATACTTTTGATGCGTGCGATTTCTTTCAATCAAACTTTACAACTTAGTTAACAAAAGCTGAATGTACTCCCTAGGGACTAAAAGCGTTTTTTACTCCCTAGGAAAAAAATTACTGCTTCAGACCCACAAAACATGTTTTTCACTAGTTAAGGAACTCACAACAGTAGTGTAGCTGAGGACCAGCACGCTGATGATGCACAGCACAGCGGTCAGGAACAGCTCCATGGGGGAGGAGGGGAAGAACGGCATGTCCAGGGTGTGTACTGGGGAGGGCAGAGGGACTGAGAACTCCCCATCTGAAACAAGCAGTAAGAAACCTCCAGGTATCTATATAAAACTAATAACAATCACAAACTTTTCAGAGAACCGTAAGCCGCACACCTATCAACCGCATACTTTAATGAAAAGTCTTGATAAGAAATTTTTCAAAATATATCAGTTTTCCAATAAATCCTCACCTAAGGGCAAAAACCTCAATTAAAGGTTTGTACAAAAAGATGTGCCAGCTCAACTATTGATTCTTATCATAGATTTTATATTTTTACCATACAATAAAGTTATAAAGTTATTTGTTTTCATCCTACCACACAATTTATTGAAAATACGTAAAATATTTTTGTTGAAATAAGCAATAAGTTTGATTGAGCTTTGCCTCTATAATCTATGTTAGGCTATCTATTTTGTACAGTAGATTTAAAGACAATATTTTCTTCTGTATTCTCAACCCGTTGCAAAGCACGGCCAAAGCAACTATTATGTATAGCCTATTATGTAGCCTATTATTTATAGTTTTAAATGGATTAAAATCATGATTTGTCTCAAATGATGTTAATTGGTAATGATTGATGACTATGTGGCAAGAAATTGGTAAAGATACATACTGTAATACTACAGACTAGTGCCATTTTTTTTGTTGAATTTATCATCAAAGCAACTACAACCTAATTGGTGAGTGTGGCTCTCTAGAGTGACAGACTGTGTACCCAAGGTGGCAATGTCATGGGTTTGCATCTCAGTGTCATCACTAATATCCATCAGCAGAGTTAATTCATTCCCTGTACCTACTCACCCTTTGCTTAATTCACTCCAAGGTTATAATATCAGCAAACTTGATATATTCTCTTTTCTCTCACTTTGAGAGTGATTCTAGATACCCATGCTTTCACTTACCCTTTAAAATACTTCCTTAGTCTTTCAAAAAAACAACCACTCACCATTAAAGTCGATTGGATCAAGCGCAATCGCCAGTGACTGCCACTGGAAGTTGTTTTGTTTCTCGGCATCATTCCGTTGTGCGATGGCTCGCTCAGGGCTGACGGCAGACGCCAGCTGTACAGGTGGCAACATCGTAACGTAGCCTCCCGATAGGAACGTGGAGTTGTACAGAGACAAGATGGCCGCCCAGTGGTGCGGTGACAGCTTCTGTACAGGGTTGTAGTCTCCAGGCTTCAGGCGGGATAGCTCATCACTTCCTTTGTCCTGAAATTTAAGGATAATTACTCCATCATTCATCACTCGGAATCAATCATTCAACCTTATTAAGGAAGTTTATTAAGAAACAATTGTTAAATCTGATTTGACTGATGAAACTGATAGTGAGTTGATTGATCTCTATAAATTTCAATCTAGTAGATTGTTACCAGGGGCGGACTGGGCCGCCGGTTTACCTGCCACATGGCAGATGCACCCTCAAGAAAAATGGTACCTGGCGTCCTCAAGAAAGAAAAAAAGAAAAAACTTGCCGAGGCACCCTTAGCCCTTGGGGTGTCAAGTGCAATATTTCCTTGTTACGTCCACTATCAATCAAAATGGGGGTGACAGGAGGGCTGCCGGCGTGTAATAAGTTGAGTGGATGCATTTATTTGTATTACACAGTGACATAGTGCGACTGAGGGGCATTGAGTTGGCTATCACATCAGTGTGGTTGTGGGTTCGCATCTATGCTTCGTCACGGTATTTTCTTTCGTATTTCAGGCACGAATGAATGTGTACTACTAAGGATAAACAAATGAGGACATTTAAGTTGATCTAAAATAAAAATTAACTTCAAACAAAAAGTTTTATTACAACAGTTACAAAAATTCACAGATTTGTATAAGCTTTGCAAGTGTAGAAATAGCCTAAAAAACTATTTGAGAGTAGTAAATTTTCAAAAATTTTTCCCGGAGGAGAGCCCCCGGACCCCCCCCCCCCCCCCTCTGAATGCCAGACTTGGCGCCCTCCTTGAGGTGCCAATACGCCCCTGATTGTTACTGTGTGTTATACAAGAATAAGGTTCTATGACAAGGTGTGACCTTGTTTCGTTTATTAAAAATACATAACTTTTCATTTACCTTATGCATTAAGTAGTTATGTGAACCAGGTAAATAACTAGTGCGTAGGGTATTTTAAAAATTAAAAACACAAGCATTGTTTTGCATAGTTAATTGGATTTGTCATGAAAAAGTTTTTGAAAAATGAGAGTATCCTATATGAATGCAAAAATGATTGAGTTTTTTCTTATACTGTGAGTTACTTATTAATATTGTGATAACGCTAGTTTGGAGTGAATCACAAAGATGACAACACCTTAAATGTTTAGCCATTAACTAAGAAACGTCAAACCACCTAATATCTACATCGTCTTCGATAAATTTTCATATTCCACATTAATGTTGTTACACAAATTGAGAAAGAAGTACAAACGATATTTACACACCTCCTTCAGACTCTGTCTATGAGCAGCTTCAGCGGCCAATAGTTTAGCTTCCATCTCCAATATGGCTGCCTTACGTCCTCCACTGCCTGCTAGAGGTGACGCATAGCGGCTCGGCACCACCTCCGACACTGTCTGGATAACACACATCACTGTAGTACAAGTTCATTAGGCCACAAGGTTTTGAAGGATTACCTTTTGTATAGATCTTGGTCTTACTTAACTCGGGCCTAAAATTGTGACAAGTGCAAAAAATATTACGGTAGGTTTAAAACAAGCGAGAGCTAAAAAAATTCACACTTCCTAACATTGCTAAAGGTAATTTTTTTATTTAAAAAATATAGGCTACCTCCATATTTTAGAACAGCCTTAACTTTTTAGAAATATAATACTAGGCTGACTGTGAACATCTCTAACGATCGTGGCAAAATCATGAACATCATCTGCAGCAAAGTCTCCTGCAACCGCCACAACGTTGTGAACTGTGATGGCGACAAAATCACATCTTTTAAAACCCCCAACTTTTCTCTGAAGATATGAAGCAACAAACGATTTGAGATTCCTGCAGACCCCTAATACAGTATTTCACATATTATACACGGAATGTAAGACAGTTTAGTTATTTTTTTAAACGCACAGAACAGTGAATATACATAACATTTATGATAAATTACCAACAACCAACTAGTTTAAATGTTTCGATTGGGAATTTTTTATCTATTTTACAAACACAACCATGCAAAGCTATTACATTGTACTAAAAAACAATTTAGAGTTCCAAAGTGCAGCACTTACCATTGCAGTCGAGTCTAGAGGCAGAATCTTGTGCAGAACGTCCGCACTGTACATGATACCTCCTATCCAGACCACCATGCACAGCATGAACGCTCGCTGCACTATGCGTGTGCGCGCCCAGAAGTGTACCAGCTGTATACGCTTGGGCATCTTGGGAGGACTGGTCGGGTAGCTGAGTCGAGGAACTGAGTGGGACCTCGTCATGGGAAAACTCCTCATGGGGTTGTATCTGGAAATAATCGGAGAGGGTCGTCGTTACTGCATTGTAAATTCTACTTTTGTTTCGGAACTGATCTGCATAATCATTATGTTAACTGTGCTTCTTCCTTTGAATTTTAATGTTTTTCCATAACCTCTTCCAAACTGAATACAATTGAATCTATACAATTACAATTGAAATGTTTTGATAAATGCTATACCCAAATGTTTAAGATTTTGCTAATAAGTTAAGTTAGGAAAGATATATTGTGTCTTGAGTCCACTGATAGGCCTAATTGATTAAATATTTTTAATGAGACAAGGAAGACACAAGGAAGGGATAAGGCTTTTTCAAAAATTGTGTTGTCATAACTTAAGCTAAGAACATGATAATAGGCAAATTTGTGTACCCAACCTGTAATGATGATAAAATAGCTGACTTGGTTCAATCTTTTCCTTCCGGCGAACGTCAATAGCTAGCACAGTGCAGTACAGAAGACATTGTAGAAAAAAGTCACATAGTAGTCCAACGATTGCAAAAATACAAAATTCCTGAAACAAAACCATATTTTTTACTTGGTGACTTACAGTTTTGGCTTACTGTTTTTAGACTACTATAAATTTTATGTTAACAAGATTTAACCGTGTTTTATGACCTTTGATGTTAGCTCACCTGTATAGCCGGTACGAGTGTCAGAAGTCCTACAGTAAGGATGGTAACTTCCGTCAAAAGATTCTTTGTGATGGACCAACCTTCCCGTGCAAGGCCTTGTGCGATGCGGATCTTGACGTCGAGGTGAGGAGGCGTCGACACAACGGACTTGGTCAATACGAGTACATTCTCTAGTCCTATAATTACGACCAAGTAGGGGAAAACCTGGGGAGAAATCACAGCTGTTTAATGACTTTGCATTCTCCACATCGCACTGTTATATTATGTATGAATTATTGTGGACATTTTCCGTTAAGATAAGGTTTAACATTTAAAAGTTGTAATATTTTTTGTTTACCTCTCTTCCTCTTCCGCTGCCAGTCATGTCCAATCCGAAGAAGAAGCAAATTCCCGCAGACATGAGAAGAGAAGCTATAACGGTAAATACTGCGCTTAAAGCAATCCCCACCTAGAACACAAAACAAAAGTGTTTGATGATTCATTACAGTTATCCAATGGTGACGTTTCAAAATACAGCACGAGCACACACAACCTTATTGGATTGCTTGCCGAAACTGCAAATTACGCCTAAATTCTAGGAAACTGAAACTGATGCCAGGTAATTGACTTTGACGGACAAGCAGGGTTTTTATAGAAAATCAGAATACATATTAAGGTGCAAACACAAAGTATTGTCACAATTCAAAGGCAAATCTCAAAAAATAGATATCGTCAATTAAAAGAGTAACAATTCATCAAGGTTTGATTAACTGGAATCAAAATATAGCTTGCATACTTCTACTTTCAAACTATTTTACACATAAGGATTTTTTGAGGATAGCAAGCTTAAAATCTGAATGGGAAAGAGTCCAAACTGGTACAGAATACACAAAATATTACACTATTTACACAACATTAGATTAGGTAAGAAGATAAGAAGTAGGACCTTAGTTGAAAATGCTGTCAGTGTCAGTGAAATATTCTATTTTGGTATTCTGTACAAGTTTGGACTCTTTCCCATTCAGGTAAGCCTACTTTCCTCACAAAAATCCTTAAAACCTAAGCACTTGTGCTCTATGTTACATTCTATTTTAAACATAAACTAACCTTTGAATGTACAAGTTCAATTTTCCGAACAGAAAAGTAAATGTAGAAGAACAACACGAGGTATGTAAAGACCAGAGGCACAAACTCCCTACAGCCAAACTCCCCAGGGTAGTAGACGTGGTAGAAGTAGTCGGCAGTCACAGAGTCGTTACCTGAGGAGTTGTGATTCTGGTGGAGGGGGTAAAGTTTTGACAATCTTTCTCTTAGACCGTCGACGTACCTGTAAGAGTGAATGTAGGAGAGTATTGTTGCTGTACAACTCGTTTTAAGATTGAGGAAAATGTAAATAGTTTTATTTAAGTACTACCATTGACTTTTCTATACTGAAGGATAGGGATCAGCTAGCTTACCTGGTAGACAGAGTCCAGATTAGCCTTGATTACACATAAAACATATTAGTCCAGGACCTGACTAGGGTTCTGTGTGCATGTCATGTATAGAGAATTTTGCTTTTGCATTTTAATATAGGTCTCTTAGGAAGGGTTTTCCACTCGGGTGTCAAGTTCGCACCTGGTACGTTTTCGAGCTATGACGTCATCAAGATGGCGGCTCGGCAATTTTTAAATAAGTATATTTCGCAAAACGTTTAACGGATCGGGATGATTCTTTTTTTGTTTGAAAGATATTTTTACAAACTATCTTTTTTGTATTTACACATTTGTTGTAAACTTAATTTTCACCGCACAATATTGAAAAACGTCGTTTTTATTGTTATTATATTTATTGTTTTGCTTATAACTTCTTAACCGCTGATAAAATCAAATACCACCCGTTGCAAAAGTTGTAGATAATTCTATACCCTTTCCAATGATACCAAACAATATGTGATTAGACCTAAAAATAAAGCAAAGATATTGAATAAACCGTAAAAAAACACTGAAAGTGGTGGACGACCGGGGAATAGTTAGTCTTGGACATGACTAGGGTTCTGTGTGCCAATCGTGTATAGAGAATTTTGCTTTTGCATTTCATAATAGGTGTCTTAGGAAGTGTTTTCCACTCGGGTGTCAAGTCCGCGCCTGTTTCGTTTTCCAGCTATGACGTCATCAAAATGGCGGCTAGGGCAATTTTTAAATGCATGTATTTCGCATACCGTTTAACGGATCGGGATGATTCTTTTTTTGTTTGAAAGGTAATTTTACAGGTAATGTTTTTCGTATTTACACTTTTGTTGTCAACTTAATATTTATCTCACTATATTAAAAAACGTGGTTTTTAATATCATTGTTTTTGAATTTGTCCCCATAACTTGTTAAACGCTTATAGAATGAAATAACTACCCTTTACAAAAGTTGTAGATAATTTTATGCCCTTTCCAACGATACCAAACAATTAATGTTTGAAACTAAAATTAAAGCCAAGAGATTAAATAAACCGTTAACAAACACTTAACATGGTAGAAAGTCCGGAAAATATTGCGGCTGGAACAATTCTTTAAATGCGTATATTTCGCATACTGGTTAACGAACCGGGATGATTCTTTTTTTTGTTTGTGAGATATTTTTTAAACCTATCTTTTGTGTATCTACACCTTTGTTGTTAACCTACTATTTGTCAAAAAGTTATAAGCAAAAGTAAAATAAAAATAACAATTAAATGTACATTTATTAATATTGTGGGATAAATAGTAGGTTAACAACAAAAGTGTAAATACAAAAAAGATAGGCTTAAAAAATATCTTACAAACAAAAAAAGAATCATCCCGGTTTGTTAAACGGTATGTGAAATATATGCATTTGAAAAATTGTTCTAGCCGCAATATTTTCCGGACTTTCTACCATGTTGTGTTTGTTAACGGTTTATTTAAATCTCTTGGCTTTAATTTTAGTTTGAAATATTAATTGTTTGGTATCGTTGGAAAGGGCATAAAATTATCTATAACTTTTGTAAAGGGTAGTTATTTCATTCTATAAGCATTTAACAAGTTATGGGGACAAATTCAAAAACAATGATATTAAAAACCACGTTTTTTAATATAGTGAGATAAATATTAAGTTGACAACAAAAGTGTAAATACGAAAAACATTTCCTGTAAAATTATCTTTCAAACAAAAAAAGAATCACCCCGATCCGTTTAACGGTATGCGAAATACATGCATTTAAAAATTGTCCTAGCCGCCATTTTGATGACGTCATAGCTGGAAAACGAAACAGGCGCGGACTTGACACCCGAGTGGAAAACACTTCCTAAGACACCTATATTGAAATGCAAAAGCAAAATTCTCTATACACGATATGCACACAGAACCCTAGTCATGTCCAGGACTAAATATTTCCCGGTCGTCCACCACTTTCAGTGTTTTTTTTACGGTTTATTCAATATCTTTGCTTTATTTTTAGGTCTAATCACATATTGTTTGGTATCATTGGAAAGGGTATAGGATTATCTACAACTTTTGCAACGGGTGGTATTTGATTTTATCAGCGGTTAAGAAGTTATAAGCAAAACAATAAATATAATAACAATAAAAACGACGTTTTTCAATATTGTGCGGTGAATATTAAGTTTACAACAAATGTGTAAACACAAAAAAGATAGTTTGTAAAAATATCTTTAAAACAAAAAAAGAATCATCCCGATCCGTTAAATGGTTTGCGAAATATACGCATTTAAAAATTGCCGAGCCGCCATCTTGATGACGTCATAGCTCGAAAACGTACCAGGTGCGAACTTGACACCCGAGTGGAAAACACTTCCTAAGACACCTATATTGAAATGCAAAAGCAAAATTCTCTATACACGACATGCACACAGAACCCTAGTCAGGTCCTGGACTATATGACACAACACAGAAAAACTTAATATTTCGCCCCAGTTAGGGACTTCATCAGAAGGGAGATGATATCTCCTCCCTTCTGATGAAGTCCCTAACTGGGACAAAATATTAAGTTTTTCAGTGTTGTGTCATATGTTTTATGTGTAATCAAGGCTAATCTTGACTCTGTCTACAAGGTAAGCTAGCTGCTCCCTATCTTTGTACATAATAATCCTAATCAGCCAATTGTTCTTTCCTTAACTCCTTTTCTATACTGAAGTACACATCCCATCGATATGGATCAGCTGTCACCAATTTGTTATCCAAAAAGAACATAGTTCTGTGAGCCAGTCACAGATTATTTTTAGCCAGGGGTCAAAAATGTTATTTTCTACCTTAATTTTTGTTACTGCGATTGTTGACGGGGCATACAAAATGCTGTAGCTTACAGTAAGTCATCCTATTAGTTTGACATGGGTATAAAGTCTGCATATTGACAAAAATCTGTAATTTACATCAGCCCAATCTGTCGGTCGATTGCTTACTACATTCATTTTGATACTAAACCCGGTGACAACTTTAACATGGAGAAGGAATGTTAGTCTATTAACTTTACTTATCATGTTGAAGCATTTTAGGTTGAAATCATCTAAAGTATTTATAAAAATCAAATAAATATAGAAACAAAAACTTATTCTCTCAAGCTGTTGTATTTTGTAGGTGATTTTTTTATGTGACAGATTGATTTGGTGGCACTCCCAAATAATATACATTTATTTTCACCCCATAAAATTAAATAGCATTATAAGTTGAATATTAGCTAGTTAGTGATCTAAGAGAAACCAAACCCCATATTTAACCTCGTTATAAATCAGTTTTGAAAGCCGGGTTTACACGATGCCAGTTGGTGAGACATTGTCAGAAGACAACTGACTGGTATGCAATTATTGGCTTCGTGTAATCACTTTGGGCCAATTACCTTGTCAACTGCCCTAACAATCGCCTTGAAATTCAGTTGTCTCTGGGAGTAGACTGAGGACAATGAGCTGCGCCCTGCGGGGCCCCCACCACCCGAAAACCCAGTTGTCGCGACAATTGACGTGTAACGGTGTAGCGCTGTCTTGTCTTTTGCCAGTAGTGCCCTAGTTCACTGTCAAATGCTTGGGCAATTGTTGGCCATGTGTGAACAGGTTCTCGTTCAACTTGACTGACCTCGACGATTCCGCAACCACGTGATGACAATTGGCAAAGACAATTGTCTCTCCTACTGGCATCATGTAAACCCTGCTTTAGGACATCCAAGGTGGTAGAGTGCCAGTACTGACACCTTTAACAGGACATTCTTGATTTACCTAAAACTGTTTTTTTTCAAATAATAGGTACCTCATTGTTTTGTCTAATAGCATCGAGTTGTGATGTGAGAATTGCAATGCACGTTTTGAGTTTTTTAGGTACAAAAGACTAGTTTTAACTCATGCAATCAGCTTAAGATAGAAACGTATACACAACAGAATGTCTTGAGATCTATTAAAATTTGTGAAACAGAACATTTTCTGAGCTTCTTAAATATAATTTTAAAAGTGATGACAAGGATGATGTAGCCTACTTACGATTTTTCATAGTGAAGATATACCAAGGTTACTGCAAACTGTATTATTCTTTGTCGTTTCCGTAAAGGGTATCGTTTGATACCAGTATCTTTGAGATTAAGCCCAAACAGTAGTTCTGCCAAACTGATTTTTCCTTTCTGTAGATTCTGGAAAAAAATATGTTCATTTACAATCTTAACCTTGATACTATGACATATGACCTTGTTTTAATTAGAAAACAGACCTTTACACATTGTTTTTTTTTAGTTTTAGGCAATAGATAGGTTCAAACAAAATGTGATGTTTGTTTTAGTAGCTAATAAGTTTATAGTTCCTTGACTTATTTTGTATTGGCAATTTGGCAATTTCCTGCAAACCTGTTGCTATTTTTTTTATTCAATACAAATACAATGACATATGGCATTTTAACACTAGGCTACAAGCCTTATAAAAGGTTTTGTAGCATTTTTTTATTTGCATCAAGTTGAGTCAGACGTTATTAGTTTTCCCTTCCTTAACAGTAACAAACTTAAAAACTATTTAACACTAGTATGGTGGTCTAAGTGATGATAGTGGTGGTGGTAATTACAACAATGGTTACACCATTTACACATGGAGCCACCATTGGCTTTGGCTTTGCGCCATGACCCTTATAGTCTAGCTTCATGTAATGTGAGCCTAGGTCCTAACCTGGTGATTGTAGATGGTGTTGATGAGGTTTGTGTCGTCATGGTAGCGATGCATGTCCAGCTGCCACAGGTTAGCAGGAGACAACAGCAGACAGCTGTACTGTGGCAACACTTTACTGTTCTCCGGCGACCGAGCTGTCTCTACATGCATGCAGACGTCACCCAGCGTCAAAGAACTGCAGGAATCAGAATGAATGGAGCACCATGAGAAGTGAAAAAATAAGACTATCAAAAATTCAAATTTGACAAGTTTGGTAAAAGGAAGTGTAGGTGCCTGTTGCCAGTGGGCCTAGCCTAGGCGTTTTAGGCTTGGGAATTGAAAAGTCACAATTACGATTGTGCAACTGTTCTCAGAAAAAAAACGTTTAGGCATACAGGAAATTTGGGGTTTTTTGTACCAGCTGTTTTTTTTTAGCAAGAGTCACAAGATTGGTTTGTTTGTGTTTGACACCAATGCTTGAATTTACAAGCATTTACGTAAATAACAATTTTAAACTGATGAACCATAACAGCACTCATGTGATACGTGGAGATTCACTGTAAATTATCTGACCGACAATACTAGCGAAAAGAGTGGGTGTAAACTGGTCTAGAGGTAGAGCACGGGACTTTGATCCCCGAGAACACGGTTCAAATCCCACCTTCAATCACCAATGGATTTTATCTAAGTGATAATGTTGCAACCCCTAGGTCTAGCCTGAAGTAATAATATGTACATCTGTTTCAGGCTAGAGCTATGTCCTAGGATGTGAAGGTAGGGCAAAACATAACTGTACAAAGAAAAGGTCAGAAGGAGAGCAGCGGTGCAACGGGCCAATGGTGAAACATTGTCACCGATTTAGGTTGGTAAATGTTGGAGAGAAGGCACTGATTATGACTGGCATTAGAAAACCGAGTGGTGTTTTATTGTTCCAGTTTTTATTTAGCAATTTTTTACAATCTTGCTAAACCCTAGATGACATGAATTAATATTCATAAAATTTCAAACTATCCAAATTTCCAATATAAAAAGAAAAACCAAGAGAAAATTGAACCAATGTGTTTAAATTCAGAACATTTCAAAACCATTAAACTACGGTATAAGGCCAGTTTTATTTGACCTGCTGTTCATCTGTTTGTTATACAGTATTATTTTCTCAATTTGCCATGTCATGCACCATATCTGTAATCTGCCATAACGAGAATAATTACCGGTTCGGGTCTTGGTAGTTTTGAATGGCTTCCAGCAGGGGAAATACTTCTGCCAGAGGGGCTCGAAAAGCATCTGTTAACTTTAAATCTTCTGTCCATGGAAAAACAGCTGTCTTCATCACTACCTATAGAGAAAAAAAAAGTATTTTAGAATAATATTCACAGGATGAATAAGTTGAAAGACCAGTTTAAATATGATTCATCATGTGTTTCAAAAAGATACAAAATGCATGACCTTTGGTTTTTAAAGTTGGTATGAAAACTTATTTAATAGCCTGTTCACCTGCTGAATGTAGCAAATTGGAGAAGACGACAGTAGCCATCTTGGAACTTCTGGAGCGGCCGAGTTATTGGTAAATGAAGCTGAGTAATGCTGCGGCAAGTTACCAGGTAGGGGAAGACTCAGAAGAGGGTAACTAAATCAAATGACATTCATTATTAGTATGAGATTTCCAGATTTTAGATATTTGAATATAACATAGTACAGAGCCAGCATTAGACAAGTGCGAAAGGTGCGGCCGCACGTGGTCCTGCACATCAGGGGCCCTGTACTTGAAGCAATACACACAAAAAATTGTTAAAGTCTATGTCAGAGTTATGAAAAAAGTGGGGGATGTAAATACTAATATTATACATTGAGATTTTTTTTAATGTACTTGGGATACTACTTTTTTAGTAGTAAAAAGTCCTGCCCTGAATGTTAGCACTGACTCCCTCACCACCCAATACCGGATCTGATGTAGTATGAAACTATGAGGTAGGCCTATGATATTACAAATGAACAGACTTGAATTAAAACTTAATCTGTGCATAATGGAAACACAACCAGCAATAATGTACTGAAAGCAAATAATTTTTACATAGGCTGTGCAGTTTTTATAAAAGAATGTAGGACTGATTGTTGTAAAAGATACCTGCTGTCCATATGAATTTAACCTGAGCTTATGTTATTTTGTTAGCTCTTTTCATTTATTTTAATATTACTATTAATAGGTCTAGTCGTCGCCATCTTAACTAGAGGCATTGTAAAAGAGTCGTGCGGAACCAACAGGTAATGTCCCTGCAGGTCAGTTTGGGTTGCCTCAAGCTAAGGTGGGGAGGACTATATGACAACAATAATTTTGATACCTGGTAGGCTACCTATTCTGAAATAAACTGGGGGAGCGAGCTGGCGTAGTGGTTAGAGCGCGGGACTTCAGTCCCTGAGGTCCCGGGTTCGATCCCCGCCAAGTCACCAATAGATTTTATCTAAGTGATAATGCCGCAACCCCTAGGTCTAGCCTGAAGTAATGTGAAAAACAATCCCAGGCTCGTGCTTAGCGTCCTTAGGACAAAAAAAAAAATTCTGAAATAAACGTCCCCGAAAAATCTTTTACGTATAAGTTTACCTTACCTGCAAATTAAAACCAGTGTCACTGTTACAAACAGAAACACAAAGGGGTACGTAGCACACAACAAGCCGTGAGAATAATACAGCTGTGCGACTCTTTCAGGCAAACTACGAGGCACAGAAGTCTCAGCCCATCGTGGATTGGCCATCACCTACGCCATTTATCTGCAAGAGTTGTCATTCAGTTATTCTTCTTAAGAATAGCACAGTTTTTTTAGGTGTAAACTAGACTAAGTTACATATTGTTTTTGTAAGCGGCCAATGATTCACAATCGTTCCTCGTCAAGTGGACGACACACTGAAAATATACGTAGATGTAATGATCAATAAACTGAAGAGAACCCTCAAGTTAATTGAAATAAATCGGGACACTTTGCATGAGAAACATTGTTAGGCTAGGAATAAGTTAGATTTCACCACAATTAATACCGGGTGTGGGGTTTTAACGCTGTAGGCCTATAACATTTATACTATTAAACTTAGGCGACCGGTAGGCCTACTGCTATAAATAGTTAGGTAACACATCAATTGAAAAAGCAACTCGAAGAGTTTAGGCCTTCCAACGACACATTAATTAACAAAATTGATCCAGTAGAACTGTAGATTAAATTGTACAAAGTTAAAAACAAATCTCAAATTTTTTCCACAACTATAAATTTGAAGGTTTCTTAAGTTAACGTTTTTGCAAAAAACTTTTAAATTTGAGGAAATTAACAAATATGGAAGGTAATATTCCAAAAGAGAATAAAATTTCCTACAATTTACTACTATTATGCATTTGGGTTTTAGGCTACCAAGTGTCTGAAGATTAGAGGTATAGCATCCAAACCTCTAATAAGAGACTATTATACTGTAGGCCTAATTGTTGTTCTAAATAAATTCCAAATTTCACCTGCTGAGTTAGCTGCTAATTCACAGAAATCTTGACAGACCTCAGAAATCAAAGACCACTAAATAAGTTAAAACTAAATTTCTAAAAAGTTAAGTTAGGCCTTAGTTAAGTACCGGTAGGGCCTATGTAAAAGTTTATGTACGAAATAAATAGAACGATCCTTTATATTGACAGCTAAGCAGATGTACTGGACATAGCCTAATGTGAATATGTTGGCACAGACTAGATTTAACTGAATATTATCATGTCAAACAAGGTGTGGCTTAGAATGTTAAATGATTGTGCTGTTCTAAGAACTCTAGCTACACTCCAGCACATTTGAATAAATTCATTTTACTAGGCTCGTCAATGGTAAACTGATGACATTTAATTTTTAATATACAAATTTATTAGCATATTCAGAAAAATCCATCCTACCTGACCTGATAGCAAAATTGTAATTTAAGGCCTGATATTCCTCAAACAAATAACTTAGTATTCTTAACCTAAGCAAATTCCGTTCCTGGTCAAAATATTAATGAAAACCAGAATCAGGTTGCTAACTTAGTGTTCACATTTATTCAATAGTTAAGGTAGAAAGCTTATTTACTGTACAATAATATTATAACTTTACCTTTTGCTAAATGAAACTTAAATCCTCACATTCAGTGCTCGTTTGTAGGTTAGAATCAAGGAATAAACTCCAAAATAGTTCAAATACGTACGTCTAATTTAATTAAACAAAGAGGACATGAAATTTAGAAATATCCTGCATAGAGTAAAAAAGAAGGGAAGAGTGTTGAGTCATAGATTTGCTCTACGTAAGTTCCAATCAACGAGCGTCGGGGGAGCGAGCTAGTGTAGTGTAGTGGTTAAAAGAGTGCGGGACTTCGGTCCGTCAGGTCCCGGGTTCAAATCCCGCCAAATCACCAATAATGAATTTTATCCAAGTGATAATGCCGCAACCCCTAGGTCTAGCCTGAAGTAATGTGAAAAACAATCCCGGGCTCAGGCCTAGCGTCCTAGGACAAAAAAATCAACTAGCGTCGTATTTTTTTTTATATATATATATATACGCCTAAAGTGATTTTATGGTGAATACTTACCTAGTGGTTATGACTAATTATGGTAAAAACGTACCTTATCAGACAATCCTTGACATGTATTGTAGTTTGTGTTTGTGTTAACAATTCTGACGACACCTCAAGAAGTGGGTCCTTTTGTACGCCTGGCGATGGTGGAATTGAAAAACCACTGAAACATGTAGGCCTAGCAAGTAAATTTCTACACTAGAATTCATGTCAAGGATTGTCTGACAAGGTATGTTTTTACCATAATTAATTAGTCATAAAACGCAATCCTGGGGCTATCAATATGAATTTTACTAGTGGTTATATTTTACATAATTAAATTTCACTATCCGCATTTCACATTTAGCAAAATAGCAATAAAGAAATAAGTAGAAGGCAGAATAAGACATTAAAAGATAAGCTACTGAATATTAACACTATAAACATGCCTTTGATATTGCATCTTCAGCTGAATTACAATGATAATAAATCTCATGGGACTATGAATAGCCTTTAGAGATTTTATCATTTTTCGGCAAATGGTTTTTATTAAAAAGTATAGCCTCTATTAGAGCTGAAGGATCAGGCTGTAAATAGACAATACCTTTCTAAGGTGTGCCTGGTCTTGATTGATCTGTATTTCACAAATCTATGTGTTCAAGACATTTCACAGACAGTTTGAATTTTGAGATTTTCATCTGAAGACCGTGCTCCAGAAACTAATGCATTTATTTTTAGACAGTTTGTTCCGGTTTTTATTAAATGACATAAAAACTTGAACAAACTGTCTAAAATAAATGCATTAGTTTCTGGAGCATTAAAGTCTTAAGACGAAAATCTCAAAATTTGAACAAATCATGGATATTATATAGTTAAATAAAATCCTATACACCGCCAGTGGAGGAGTAAAAATGTGTTGTTTTATTTAACCCCCAGTATCACTTTTTAGGAGAACACAAATCATTTTAAAAATAAAGCTGACCAATTCCTAAACTTTTTGAGAAAAGCGGGTATTGAATCAGATGTTGAATACCCCTCACCATGTAAAAGCGGCTCATCGTACTCGGTGTCGGTGTCCTCTTATTAGCTCGACCAGGGGCCCTATTTTTGAAATGGTTGACTGTTGAGTTGAGTGTCGAGTCATTCTATTTCCAATCGTTTCGTATTTTTGAAACTATTGACAGTCGACTTATCCAACCAAAACTACTCACTACCTACTGAGCTGTTGAGTGGACGGTTGACTGCATTTTCTTCTTCCTCTTTCGGTAAAAAAATTGCTCTTTTTGAGTCGACGCCATATTGTTATTGCTTTGATTAATTTATTAATTGCAATTAGAGGTTATGTATTTGTTGTCAATGTATTAGCATCCAATACTTTATGCGATTGTTTTCTGTAGAATAATTACATTTTAATTTTATTATTACTGTGTCAATACTAGACTATTTATTCAAGCGTTTTTTCCTTGTTAGTATGTTTGAAATAGACTAGGCATACTAATTGAACTTATTATAAGATAATTATTGTTATTAGACCTATGATTTTAGGTATTAAAGATTGTGGTAGAGAGAAACAATATCATAGTTTGTTTCAATACCATTCACCTAATAAAGGGATCAAATTAATTTAAGTTACGATATGCTTTCAGTGCAATGGCAAATAGCCGCTTTAACCTAAATAAAAACACAATTAAAAATAACATCAAACAAACCGATGAAGGAAACTGAAATAAGGTGATGTGTTTCGAGATAGAGGCGAAGAAAGCAAATAATAATGTATTTAGGATATGCCTAAACTTATAATTAGCTTCACCCTAAAACAAACATCCATAGTAAATTTTATTTTTTGAGCGGAGCGAGCGAAGCTCTTATACGTCGACTCTTATGCATTTCGTAATACGCAAACTCCTCCTAGACGGATGAATCAATCGTTTTCAAATTTTGCATGGTGATAGAGACTATATCGGTGAGTGCCAACATCTATATGGCGTTAAAAAAGTCTCTCAGGAATCCGCCCCACTGGGTCTCAAAGTTTCAATGTAATCCTTATGGAAGCAGTATTTGACACATAAACAAAAACATATGATCAGCTGTTGAATTTTGAATGCAGTAGATAAAGAAATAGCTGATAGCATTAATCTACAGATATTAGAACAGAAACGGTATGGATCATAAATATAATCAAATGACGACACTAGCTTGAGGTCCATGACGTAGGAAGTGGTGAAGGAAGTAGTAAGGAGAGCAGTCTGGAGTGTGGAAACTGTTTATGACGATTAGATTTAGGTATCTGCATTCCTACAATTTTATAGGAAGGGAGGAAAACTGGTCCGCGACGTAGGAAGTGGTAAAGGAAGTAGTCAAGGCGAGCTGTCCAGAGTGTGGGGACTGTTTATAACGATTAGATAAAGGTAATATTAAAGGCATTTATAAAATTATATGGGAAGGGAGGAAAAGGGGTCCGCGACGTGAATTGGTGAAGGAAATAGTCAAGGCGAGCTGTAGGGAGTGTGGAACTGTTTATGACGATTATATTAAGGTATCTGCAATCCTAAAATACTATTGGAAGGGAAGGAAACAGGTCCGCGACGTAAGAAGTGGTGATAGAAGTAGTAAAGGCGAGCTGTTCGGGATATGGAATCTGTTTATGACCCTTAGATAAAGGTATTTGCAATCCTAAAATGCTATGGGAAGGGTGGAAAACAGGTCCGCGACGTAGGAAGTGATGAATGAAGTAGTCAAGGCGAGCTGTCCGGAGTGTGGAAACTGTTTATGACGATTAGATTAAGGTATCTACAAACTTAAAATGCTATGAGAAGAGAGAAAACAGGTCCGTGACATAGGAAGTGGTGAAGGAAGTAGTAAAGGCGAGTTGACTGGAGTGTTGGATCTGTTTATGACCAATAGCTTAAGGTATCTAGAAACCTAAAAAGCTATGGGAAGGGAGGAAAACAGGTCCGCGACGTATGAAGTGGTGAAGGAAGTAGTCAAGGCGAGCTGTCCGGAGTGTGGAAACTGTTTATGACGATTAGATAAAGGTAATATTAAAGGCATTCCTAAAATTCTATGGAAATGGAGGAAAAGGGGTCCGAGACTTAGGAATTGGTGAAGGAAGTAGTAAAGGCGAGTTGTCCGGAGTGTTGGATCTGTTTATGACCAATAGATTAAGGTATCTAAAAACCTAAAATGCTATGGGAAGGGAGGAAAACAGGTCCGCGACGTATGAGTGGTGAAGGAAGTAGTCAAGGCGAGCTGTCCGGAGTGTGGAAACTGTTTATGACAATTAGATTAAGGTATCTACAAACCTAAAATGCTATGGGAAGGGAGGTAAACAGGTCTGTGACGTAGGAAGTGACGAAGGAAGTAGTAAAGGCGAGTTTTTCGGAGTGAGGGAACTGTTTATGACGATTAGATTAAGGTATATGCAATCCTAAAATGCTATGGAAAGGGAGGGAATCAGGTCGGTGACGTAGGAAGTTGCGAAGGAAGTAGTAAAGGAAATGTTGTTCAGAGTGTGGGATATGTTTATAACCAATAGATTAAGGTATTTGCAATCCAATAATGCTAAGGGTAGGGAGGGAAACAGGTCCGAGACGTAGGAAGTGGTGAAGGAAGTAGTCAAGGCGAGCCTTTTCGGATTGTGGGAACTGTTTATGACGATTAGATTAAGGTATCTACAATCTTAAAATTCTATGGGAATAGAGAGAAACAGGCCCGCGACGTAAGAAGAGGTGAAGGAAGTAGTAAGGTGAGCAGTGTGGAGTGTGGGAACTGGGAACCCTTAGTAGCAGTTAGATTTATGTATCTGCAATGCTGAAATGCTATGAGAAGGGATGGAAGCATGCCCACGACATAGAAAATGGTGAAAGAAGTAGTAAAGGCTAGCGGTGTGAAGTGTGGGCAATGTTTGTGGCAATTATATTAACGTATCTAAAATACTAAAATGCTATGGAAAGTTATGAAAACAGGTCCACGATGTAGGAAGTAGCTTAGGAAGTAGTAAAGTATGAGCATAATGTGAGAACCGTCTGTGGCAGTTATATTAATGTATCTTCAATCCTAAAATGCTAAGAGAAGAGAAGGAAACAGGCCCCACGACGTAGGAAGTGGTGAAGGAAGTTTTAAAAGCTGGCAGTGGAGAGTGGGGGAACCGTTTGGGCAGTTAGATATGTATCTAATACCATTATATAGTCAATATACCAATATATAGTCAATTCTAATACTTAAATGCTACGAGAAAGGAAGGAAACAGGTCTACGGCGTAGGAAATGGTGAAGGAAGTAGTAAGGCTTGCAGTGCAGAGTGTGGGAACTGCCTTTGGCAATTACATTAATGTATCTGCAATCCTAAAATGCTATGGGAAGAGAGGGAAACAGGTCCACGACGTAGGGGGCGATGAAGGAAGTAGTAAAGGTGAGCAGTGTTGAGTGTGGGAATGGATTAATGTATCTGCAATGCTAAAGTGCTATGGGAAGAGACTGTAGACTGTAGGTTAAAATGATTACAAAGCACAAATCGATATATATTTCGATACATGCAATCGTTTACAATAGAAATTTACAACTGAGTTGTCAACAACTGATTTTTACTCCATAGAGGCTAAAAACGATCTTTACTCCCTAAAGAGTAAATACCCCCGCCGCAGCAAACCTGCAGACTAAGCGAATTTAAATTAGCCTGATTGGATTTACACTAAAATGCCTCCATAAAAATAGCACATTTATTTCCTATTTAAATAGAATTAGTTTAACGAGTACTTTTGGTTTGCTGCAACAGGGAGGGTAAAACAGATTTTTTTTATAAAATGATATTAGTTTAGTAAGAAATAAAAGTATTTTCCAAAATCGATTAAAATATGTTCATAAACAAGCAAACAACAACAGTTGACTTATTCTACATAAGAATAACATGGGAATTTTAAAATTAAAATCTTTTTGAATTTTCTCCGTAACAATTAGGTGCATAATAACGCTTCAATATACTAAATTATTCGTTTTTTTAAGCTCTACAAAATTGTTTAAAAAGAAATTGTGAAATTTTGTGTTTTTAGTGTCAAAAATGGAAAAAACCTATTTTTACCCCCATAGAACCCCCTAAAAACCCCCGTTCCCATAGTCCGATCATGCTGGTTCGCGAACTCATTCAAGTTTATCCCGCCTTACACCTTCAAACCAAATTTTATCAAAATCGGACAAACATTACTCAAGTTATCGTGCGGATGTATATATCTATATATAGATATATACAAATTTGAACGAATGGTGTTTTTGGCCTCTGGGGACATCAAAATGAAAAAGTAAATCGTTCCCGGGCTTAGGTCTTACCATGAGACCTACGGTAATAGCTACTTCCCTATAGGGAAATTCGCTAAAATGCTACTTTAGACCCACAACGCATGCATTAAAAACGACTGTTTTTACTGCAGTATGACAAAAACAATATAGTATGAACCCCTGATGACTCCGCTCAATTTTGTGGATGCCTCTGCAAACGCCACCTAGTAATACTTAAGTTTATTTTATAAGTTAAGGTACTTTTGCAATTACTGAGATTGAAGATTAAGCAAGACATAACCTCAATCTCTCAAGAACGGAGTTGACAGTTTACCTCAGTGTCTCGAAATATGGTAGATTGAGATTAGCTGCCAGATTTTAGAGTAAGAAGAGGTTAAATCGAAGATCGCAAGAACTCTGCATTGTGATTGGTTCAAAATGACGTCATCTGAATTTCGGGCGGTCGTATGCTCTACATTTCCACCACGAGTCACTCAACTAGTGATTCCCAACTCGCTTCCCAACTGTTGGGTTTCAAAAATACCAAATCCTGTTGTTGGTTGAGTTGAGTGCTGACGATTGACTCAACTGTCAACCATTTCAAAAATAGGGCCCCTCAGAAGGCTCTGGCATGAAAGTATTTGCCATTTGTATTCACTGCACTTACCAAGAAAAGAACTCCTATGAAGTATTGTAAGAGGTGAGTTCATTCACTAGCAAGTGCCTGCAGCCAGCAACCTGCTGTATCTACTTTCCCGTCTATAAGCCGCTTAAGAGTCTTCATCACCCGCGCAGTTTGGTTGCGTTTTGGTGTATGACCTTGGAGAAAAGAGGTAGGCGGGTGGGCTGGTAACGTGGGATCATTATGGACCCCATTCTGATAAAATTGTAAACATCTGACCGACTACTATAGACACGAGTCCGCTCCTACACACACCAGCTGAGAACTTTCTATTCTTGGACATTGAGCCAGTGTTTTCATTACCGGTATACGTAGTACGACAGCGACACACACACTTGGGTGTGTATTTTAAGCTGAGTATGAATGCAAAGGTCAGTGTAGAATGGAGTGAGACAATCTGACGTGTTGCTATTTTTTGTTATTGACTATATTGGACTAGCTGTTTCATTAGCCACATTGCTGGGTCCATTTTGAACCATAAAAAAGACCTACTTAATTTTTAAAGATCAGATTGGGCCAAGGCCCCACTAGAAAAGTTATAGTTTTTTCTAGTGGGGCCTTGATTGGGCCCTGCTTTTGGTTGTCAGGCGAGCACTCTAACTACCCAGCTATATTTTAGCTTTTTGACCATATTGTAAAAAAATTGCAAATAAATTATATGTATAAGTTATGATTTGTTTATTGTTGGCATTGAATTGGATTCCTATACCAAGAACCCTCTAGGGCTTTTAACAATTATTGATTCTGACTTAAGAGCCAGCTGATCTTCTGAAAGCATCATCTTCATTCAGCACTCATCTCCAGAGCCGTCCTTAAGCAAGCACGTGTAAAGGGTGCGGCCGCTCTGGGAATTGTAAAAATGTCGGTATATTTTACTGTTGATCATAAAAAAGAATAAGGGGAGAGTATAAATGCTAGTATTATAATTTGAGATTTTTGTTTTAACTTAAACTTTCACCTTTTTACTTTTTTTCTGGATGCTTATGCCAGTGGCATTTTTACTTCAAGAATTGCAGTAAGAATTAGTTAAATGCTTTTAGGGAAAGCAGTCCAAACCCATATGTGTTGTGGGTGTGTCGGAAATCAAACCCATCCCTCCTGCAACAAAGACTGAGACGCTAACTATTTGGCTAGCGGCTACGGCTAGCATCAAGACCTTGGCGTGCTATACATAGTGTAGTCTAACTTTATCCGCTAGGTATCTAAATTTTCTACGATAAAAAATTATATAATATTAATATTATTAACTATAATAGAGAAGTAATATTCTTTGAAGAATATAACATTGTGTTTAAAATTGTTGCAAAATAGTTAAATTTAAATTAGCTTTTATTTCTGAAGTGTACTTTTTATAAGTAAAACATGTTTTTATTTTAAAAAGTTAAAATTTGCTGAAAAGGGAAATAAATAATTATCAAGACAGGCGTATTAAAAAATGTGTATTATATACATGAATTGAACTTCTTTGTTCCGTTTATTATTGCTTAGAATACTGGTCGTAATAAAAATATTCAATTTCAGCTGTTGTCTTGGGATATACTGATGACAGGCACATCGTATTTCATCTTCTGAAAACAAAAACAAATAGCAATGAACTTGTTTATACTTTTAAAATATTCCATTTGCAGTATTTGAAAAAAAATGGATATTCAACAATTTAATACAGGTTTTGTAGATAAACTTAAAACTTCACTTCTGATATTTTTTAAATAAATTTCTTTAATTATTAACTTGGTCTATTTTATTTTTAAACAAGAGGTATTGGATGTTTAGCCAAAGGTATCAGTTATCCAATTAAAGATGTAAAAAAATATCTTAAAAAGTTATAACCATTTTATAAACTGAAAGTTTTAAACAGTCAACTATACTAATCCAACCTGTTACACACCTTTTCATTATCAGCTGGTAGAAACCTGCGGATGAGAGGAGAGAAGAGTTTGAGTGGAAGAGACTCTTGTTTCTGTCCAGGTAGGCAAAGACTGATGAGTAGAGCTACTGATATAGAGACAGATGCTCCTATCAGAGTGTACCACATGTAAGACACCTGATACAGCGGCCACACTTCTTTTTGCAGCACATCACTATAACAGATATTGCAATACTTATTAATAAACTTTGGACATTTGGCAATGCCGCCTGTTGGTTCACATGAGAACTGACTCGTGTAGTGCCATTAATTTTCATACTCTTGACAGTCCAAGGCGGGACTGGTATTTTGGAACCAACATCGAGTTTACTTTCCTATTACCTAGTATTTCCTAAGTAAACATTGTACAGTTGATGTCAACTAGAGTCAAAAAATCATAAGGCTTTAGAAACTATTGCAAATGAATTAGTTATGATTTCTGGTTTTGTTTAGTTTTTAATATTCACAATTTTAAAATGTCCCATATACCTGGTAGTCGAGGCAGAGTGGCTTATGTTGAATGCATAGTGACAACCAGCTGAAGAAACAGGCTTGGGCTCAAACTGAAGTTGGCCTTGGGCTATGGCATATTGTGCTCCAATTACCATCCAACCTGTGAAAATAAGACCCACCACCCCTCCAGCCAACGCACCCTGCAATCATACAGATATTTTGATTTTGAAGTTTTATTAGTTGTTAGTGTTGCTAGCACAAACATGTTTGCCTGTTCTAAAGAAATGCCACATTATAATCTAGGTAGCTGAATTACATAAATATCAATACATGATATGTTTTCACACTTAAAAGTTTAATACAGTACTCACAGTAGAATTTATACAAGGGATAAACATTCCCATGGTGAAGATAGCGATTGATGGTCCATTTGGGATTGAGCTCAGACTGATTGCTAGCTGAAACAAGATCGTATCATAATAGATTTGTATTTATATTAAGAAAAATAAAATACAAAAATGATTAGTAAAACCCCTAACCAGTTACTTAAACATAAACCAAGCTTTTGTAACAGATATATGGCTTAAGTACTGTATGGCTACATGGAACAAGTAAGTTTTATGTTTACTGTTTCTGCAAACCTCCTTAAGACAATTAAACCAAATCTCATTTTTTTAAATGAATGTACATTTCTTTGGAACTGTGGCAGAACTTTGTTGAATGAGTCCATCCATTAAATAGATTATTATTATCAATTGACCTTATTAGTATTTACAATTGTACTTGATATAGGTAAATAATAATACTCATGTTATAATTTTTAATTGCTAAAACTATGTGGTTGGGTCGAGTTATTATTTTTTTTTTACTCTATGCATACTTTAGTTTAGTTACTCAGTAAATGAAATATTATCTTATATATTTAAAAAATTTGGTTTTTCTTTTCCGAGTTCGTTTGGCTCTTCTACTCGACCGATTTTCATGATTGAGGTCTCTAATTTAAGGTATGCATGCACAGATTTGCCATCAAGTATCGGCATATAATTATCTATAGTATCACTCGGTTTGTACGTAAACAAAATTTGCTGCCCATGTATTTCTTATGGGAGTTAAATTTGGGTTTTCTTTGCCGAGTTCGTTTGGCTCTTCTGCCCGACCGATTTTCATGATTGAGGTCTCAAATTGAAGGTATGCACGCACAGATTTGCCATCAAGCATCGGCATATAATTATCTATAGTATCACTCGGTTTATAGACCTAGGTAAACAAAATTTGCTCCCCTCGTATTTCTTATGGAAGTTAAATTTGCTTTCTCTTTGCCAAGTTTGTTTGGCTCTTCTACCCGACCGATTTTCATGATTGAGGTCTCAAATTGAAGGTATGCACGCACAAGTTTGCCATCAAGCATCAGCATAAATTAATCTATAATCCCACTCTGCTTATACGTAAACGAAATTTGATCCCCATGTATTTCTTATAGGAGTTAAATTTGGTTTTTCTTTGCCGAGTTCGTTTGAATCTCCTATCGAACCGATTTTCACGATTGAGGTCTCAAATTGAAGGTATGCACGCACAGATTTGCCATCAAGGATCGGTATATATTTATCTATAATCCCACTCGGCGTATACGTAAACGAATTCGCTCCCCATGTATTTCTTATGGGAGTTAAATTTGGTTTCTCTTTTCCGAGTTCGTTTGGCTCTTCTACCTGACCAATTTTCATGATTTAGGTCACAAATTGATGCCATGCACGCAAATATTTCACATCAACCATCGGCATATATATTTACCTACTGTATTACTTGACTAAAAAACATAATTTGATTATTTTAGAATTCTTACATCAATTTAAGATGTATTTCACCAGTTATAATTATATAATCCTATATATTTTGGTCTAAGAACTTTCAGTGAAATATCGGCTTTTATCTAAGCGATTAAAATACTGTAATATTCAATCAAAAATCACAAATTTGATTATTTCTCGGATATTATATTTATTTTAACGCTTCCGAGCAGCATGGGTCCTCTAATATGTTACGAATATCAAAAGTGGAGTAGCCATACATTGATACGATTTAAAATATACTAATAGATTTCAATTTGTCGGATATTACACTGTCATATGAACTACAACAATACTTCTACGTTCTTTGCATTATTTGTATTTTAAAGCTCCGACAAGCCAAGCTCACCTGCAGCACAGCACCCAGTTTCTCGACCACATTGACCATCAACACGCAGACGACGCCCACAACAACAACAACACATCTGACCAACATGTTGCTGTGTCGCTCACTCGGCCTGGCGTCTACATATGGCTTGTAGAAGTCCTCCAATACCACGGCTGCCATAGAGTTGAGACCAGTTGACATGGAGCTGGAAATAGATTGTTATCAGTTCAAGATAGAATGGAATAGAAATCTTTATTTCCTGTTGACATTATACATTTATTAGCGACAGCTCAAACAACCAAAAGCTAAAACTAAAAAAACAGCTAAAACAAAGCAAACAAAAAAAAGCAGCTAAAAACAGCTAAAACAAAATTTTGTTTTATTACTCTGAGGCGACAGTCAAGTTGTATAATCTGCATATAAAATAGATTTAGTAGGTTTTGAAATATTAAAGATGTTGGAAGATCATTGATCAATGTTGGGAGATCATAAATATAAATTTAAAACACAAGAGGTCCAAGTATGAACCCCTGAGGCACGCCACAATCCACTATAACCTTGTTTCACACTTGATTTGTGTCATGAAATTCAATAATTTTTTTATAATGTAAACAGATCTTTGTACATGTACTAAACATAAGAAATTTACCTATATAAATTGAGTTGGAACGTATATTACATATATTATTTATTTACCCTTTCAAATAAAATTGGTAATAATATAAACACTGCAAGTTATATCCTGAAAAGTTTGATTTTCGACACAACTGCTTTTGCTATTTATCATTTTACTATTAATTTATAAGAGTTGTATGCCTCCACACATACATACAATATTTTATGCTATATCAAAACTGAATGTCAACAACTAGTTTATCAGTTGACAAAAACTTAACATATAAACTTGATTGAATTTATTAACTTTCTTCAACAGCATTCTTCTGAGGAAGCCGTGGTGGAGGATAATTGCTATGTGAACCTTTGGCACACAATTATAACTGCTTGGAACTACAGAGTTACAAGTTACTCTTATTATTTTGTCTGTGCTGGAACTTTTTAACAGGTGAATAAATTGTGAATTAATTCCATCCTCTCTAAATATATTATTACATCAACACAATGGGTTAGATACTTATCTACAGTAGACTCCCTCTTATCCGGACTCCTCGGGACCGAGGGCAGTCCAGATAATGGTTTTTACGGTTAAACCGACGTACCGTAAAACTTGTTATGTAACCCAAATATTTGACTTAAACTAGGAGAGCATTGTATTTAGACACTTAATCACTGGTCTCAAATCTTTCCCACGAGAACAGTAGTTTCAGTACAGCCCACTTCCTGCCGATATAGTCCGATTAAACTGATGTGCTGATAAAAATTGTCCGGTCAAAGAGATGTCATTTCCACCGAGTGTAATCCGGTTAAACCGATGTCCAGTTAAAAGGTGTCCGGATAAGAGGGAGTCTACTGTACTAAACTGTTGATCAACTTTAGATCCCTGTACCTGAGAGCAGCACTGAAGACTCCTGCCACGAAGAGACCAGGCAGCCCTGGTATAGAGCCTAGAGTATCCATCACCAGCAGGGGAAGCAGTTGGTCCTTCGCCTTGGCCAACTACATGTACACATAACACATTCAAGGGGCATCACAAATAGAGAAAATAATATCATTTATCATCCATTATTTTTACGAATAAAAACATTTGATCAAACAAAATCTCCAATAATGTTTGTAAAGTGATAAACTTTTAAATTGCAGAAATTTACATACCTGGGTAGTCAATGGATCACAGTCAAAGTATTTTGCGTGGATTACTAAGCCACTGTAAGTGCAGAGTACGACCAGGCACGAAGTACCAAACACAAAAATCCATACAGCCCTGAAAATTACACAAGGATAAAAACATTGCACTCCATGGGATTAGATATAAATATCTATATATATTTACTAGCAGAGTACAGCTCGTGACATCTAAGCTGGCACTTGGCCTATCGCTACTAGTACCTATTTCAAAAACATTATGTCTCGTCATGCGGGTTGCATCAACTGTCCTCGCGACCCATATGAAGGCGCTCAAGTACAATGCAAGGGGAGTCAACCCCGTGAGGCAAAGGAAATGTTTGCAGTCCGGTCTTTTCCCTACCTCCACCCTCCTCCCGCCTACACTGCCCGCGCTAGGCCAAGTGCCAGCTTAGGTGTCACGAGCTGTACCCGTCTTTCTTACAGGGTTGGTGTATAAGTATAAAATGCTTATTGCAGTTATACTTGGCTTTGGGTTTGCAATGGGAGAGAATACGGTTTAAGAAAATTTGGTTCTTTTAATTTACGGTATGCTATAGTATAACAAACACATCTACCAATAGCCTTAATGTTCTACCACTGCACCTAAACAACAGAAAAAAGTTCTCATTGTATAGCAAAGCTTCTTGTTGCTAGTTGGTTCAGATTAGCTGTTGTCATAAATGCAAAAAATATTTATAGCGCTGCATCCTGTAGGTAAAACCTTTGACTATTAATACAACAACGTAAAACCATTATAACTTTTTAATGATATTTAATATCATAGAACCAAATTGTGTAGTTGAAACAGCTGACAAAATTCTTTAATTACTTTTAAATATGATTACTCATAATGTTAACATGGGAAACTCCAGAACCAATGGGGTGGAGCTCGAAAGGATTTTTGAGATAAGAATATGTCTATATGTTAATCGGGAATGTGACCTACCTTCATACCAAATTTCAGCCCGATCCAACCAGTATTTAATGCATGATTGAACTTCAAAAAAACAAACAAACTAACTAACTAACACACAAACTTTCACATTTATGTAAGAACTAGCTGTAACCCGCGGGCTTTGCCCCGTTTAACTTCTTTATTTTCAAGATTATCTCGTTCGCATGGCTCAATCACGTCCTGGTTGAAGTTTGTTCGCTACGCTCACTCACCTTTAGGTTGGAGCTCGTTTGCTACGCTCACTCACCTTTAGGTTGGAGCTCGTTCGCTGCGCTCACTTGCCTTCAGGTTAGCTCGTTCGCTACGCTAACTCGCCTCCAGGTTGAAGTTCGTTCGCTACGCTCACTCACCTTTTGGTTGCAAATTAGCTGTTGTCATAAATGTAAAAGAAATAATAGTGCTACACCCTGTTGGTAATCCTTGTAACTTTAATGCTATTGAACATCATAGAACAGAACCAACTTGTTTAATTGAAACAGCTGTTAAGATTCAATACCATTTCTCATAAGGTTAACATGGGAAAGTCCAGAGCCACTGGGGCGGGGCCCAAAAGGATTTTTGAAATAAGAATATGCCTATATGTTAATCGGGAATGTGAGCTATCATCATGCCAAATTTCAGCCCAATCCGACCAGTATTTTTCGCGTTCACTTGTCACAAACATACATCCATACATCCATACATCCATACATCCAAACTTTCTCATTTATAATATTAGTAGGATTATAATATTAGTAGGATTTGATTTAATATCTGGAATAGTAACACAAACTCAGGCATGTAAACACTAGACATCCTAATACATTGGAAACGTTGCATTACTTTTTTATTGTGCTTTTTATAACTACTACTAGTTTTTGTTAAAAACCTTATTTTTGACTATACCTTGGTCAAAATGAAAATTATTAAGTAATAATACCAATTATTAAAAAGTGGAAGGTTACTGAAATAAGTAAAAGTCAGTGGTGCAGTGGCGCCGGAAGTTGTTTTCACTCTCCTTTTTTCAAAGAACCTATAAGTTATATTGGAATATTGGCAGCCTAAGCGACCTGTATTTTTCCACCACAATATAGTGAGCGTTCCCGCAGTTTGCAGTAGAAAATTTACAACCAAGCCTCTGGTAAAAAGACTTAAGAATCTTCATTAGGGTAGATGACACAGACTGAGCAATAACATGATGTTTCCAGTGATCTCCCCTAAGACCTGTACTGGTTGCTGACCATAGAACTAAGTATCGTGTGTTGCTTAAGATTAGATGGTTGGAAAGTGACGTACTTGACTGCCTGTTGCTTGGTGGGCAGAGCTAGGTAGCGTTGGATCATGGTCTGACTGACAGCATTGGTCTGCAGCCATCCTATACATCCTCCAATCACAACACCCCAGATTGTGTGACGAGTAGTTAGGCTAGTGCTCCATCTGTGAACACAAACACATCGATTTGATTGAAAAGTGCATTGCTGTTAATAGTGAGTTTGTTACCTACTTCTTTCCATAGTCCAGTCTTGCTATTGGCTGCCGCCAACTGCAGACTCTCGTGGCCCCTAGTGTAGACATTTCATCCCTGTGTAAGTAGTTGTAAGTTTTTAATCAAAGTAGACGTAATGTTGAACCACTTGCAGATTGTGCTGATGTAAATTACTATAATTTCTGTCGAATTTGTCATTTTTTAATTACTTCAAACTTATAAGATGACTTATTGTAAGCTGCCATGTTTTATGTCATAGCATATCTCATTAACAAATATAGTAAAAAGCTTTTTAGACATTAGCATACTCTGACTGGCTCACTCAACTATGTTATATATTATGGTAGTAACAAATCAACCAATCAATGTCCTTAGAAGAATCACAGACTTATGAAGAAGAATGATACTTTTAGGATAGTTTTTGTATGAAATGGTTAAAGCTTAAAGCATTTCCCTTTTTCTCCATACTGACGCATACATTTTTTAACCGAACAAAAGTGTGTGGGACTAAGCAAACCGATTTGAAAACTACAATTCATATTATGGTATTGTTTTTTTTTTGTATGATTCTAGATTCACCTGTACAAAACTATCTTACTGACTTACTCAGGACCTTCAATCCTATAGGTCTCTAAATTCCGCTTGATGACTTCATCGAACCCTCCGACATCGAGAGTTCCTTTGAAGATGACCAGAAGCATTGCTCCAAACATAGAGAACGTCTGAACAGCGTCGGTCCATACAACTGCCTTTATTCCACCCTGTTAAAGAATAAAGAATATAGAAAGCTTATAGTTAAGACATAACAAGGTTTTGCATTTGTTAACCTAATACATAAATTTATTCTAAACAAACATAATTCCAAGCGTATAACCCAACCCTTGGGGTTAAGTGGTTGAAGATTTAATTTGATGCTATTATTATTATTTGAGATTGGGGCGCCACCTGGTTGAATCCTGGGAAAAGCCAGTAGCTTTTTGATGGTTTGAAACTGGACCCAGCAGTCCCTGATCATTGGGCTTTAAATAAATGATGATCCTGACTGATGAAACAGCTGATCTTAGCGATAACAAAGCTACACAGACCATCTCAAAACTTCCAACACTCATCCTTCACTCATATTTGGGTTAAAATACGCACCTAGTTGGTGTCCCCATCTTACAATGATAATGATAGTAATAATGATAAAAACGATCTTACTAATGCAAAATTTGTTACTTTTCACAGAACTCTTGTTGTGTTGTGAAATAATATTTCTCTGTCAAGTGACTGACTGCAAATCTTTGGTCTTGCTACCCTAGTGGTGATGACTTGAGTTCAAGAGGGCTGGTTTTATGTCAGTTGATGACTTTAAAATATTTTAACCACATTCCCTTAAAATGCTTAGATGTTATTCTTGAAGTATGAAATATTCACTGGTAAATACAATTTCATTCATTATCATTCTCATTCTCAATATAAAATAGTATCCAATTGAATACAGTAAAAATTTTTATTTTTATTTTTAAGTTCTACCCACAGTATATTTATAGCCTTTCCTTGACCGCTTAAGTAAGTTTTTCTAGTGCTCATACATATTTTTCAGCCCAAATATCCCCATTTGTTGAATATAATTTCCTTTCTTCTTCCAGAATATTTTTTTTTAACTGGACACATAAATAATCAAGTAAACAAACAAAATATATTCTTCTTAAAAAAAAAGTACATTTTGTCAAAATATAAACATGGAGTTATGATTGACTACATTTTCCATACAGACCAAAAAAGGTGGCCGTCTAAACAATTTATAATTTTACTGACATCGGTGTTTATGTGAAATAGTTTAAACTTTTTCAACTCACCACACATGTATAAAATATGCAGATCACACAGACTGCGGGGGTGACAATGTGTACGTTGATACCAGACACTGAAACAAGCATTGTTAATTTTAGTCCATAATTTACTTTGAAAGACATCTTTTGTATTGTTAAATCGTACCACTCAGTTGTCCTTAATTATAATTTCTTTTAATAACAAATAGTAAAATAAACTTGTAATAACTCACCTTGGTTAAAAGCCAAAGCTGGAACGTAAACCACCAAAGGCAGCCAGATTAACTGTAACACATTGAAGTTAGTTTAATATTAAAAGCAAAGAAACAAAAAACATTTTTATATATATTTTTAAAATGTTTGTTATATAAATAAAAAAATATTTATATGTTTTGTATTAATTTAAAAAAAATTACTAGCAAGCACTTTAAATTAATTTTTTTTTTGTAATTTAACTTCATTTTGTTTCTAATTTATTTAGATTTTGGCCATAAACAATTACAGAAAAATAAAATAATATTTTTAAACCTTACTTACAATGGATATACAGAATAGAGTGGATCCTAGTAGTCGTACCCTTCGATCAAATCTGAGAGCCAAATACTGAAAATAAATAATAAATATACAATCGACAAATTTAAAACACTGCAAATATTCAATTTGAAATCAAAAATGTTCAAAACAAGGAATCAGAAAATGAAAATACAAAACATAGTCAAATACAAATACAGTAGAGTCCCGCAAACTCGGCGTAATGTTGACTGGAAGAGTGCCGAGTTTGTGAAATGCCGGGTTACCGGGAACTAGTGTCAAAAATAAAAACAGTGCAATTTTTAAGATTTTTAACCACCTTTTTAATTCCTATTCATATTAAAAGTCAGTACTGTATCAAGTTATCATATATAGTAAAACAAATCCTTGGTACGAGTTGCGAGTGATTTGACTTGAGCTGGCTTGAGTCCATGTTTAACTTGGACTCAAAAAAATCACTAATTTTCTGAGCCAGGTAATGGCCGAGTTATCCAGACTGCCGGTTTATCGAGTGCCGAGTTTGCGGGACTCTACTGTGGTATTTTTTCTCTGAATGTTAATAGGTTCTATTTGAAGTGTTTGAACAGTTGTATTTTAGTAGCCTGTGTCTATTTTGTTAAAAGTACATATAGTTTCATAAGCCAGCGTTTTTAATTGAGTGAGACAAGTATTTTTCCCTTACTACTATTAAAAATGTGCTACTTTTAATTTTTTCCATATTATCAATTTTTACATTATTCTGATCACTGAAGTTAGAAAAGATTGTAGATGAAACAAATATATACGGTAGCCTATATTGTGAACGTTTTTAAAGAGACCTCCATCCAACTTACAGATATCCCAAAGTATGTTTCAATGCATTTGACTGAGAAATTTACTGAAGCTCTAGAACAAAATACTGATTTCCCCCTAAAACTCCTATGCTCTTGATATTGTTGCACTAATTTTGCAATATAATGTTGCGATGACATAACTCACCTCATAGGAGGAAGTGACCTTGAGGTCATGAAACACTGGTAAGTATCCCATGCTCATGAGGAAGCCCATAGCAAAGGCCCCACCTACTGTGTACGAGTACTGTATGCCATATACATACACTTCTGTGGGGGTCCCCAGTAGGGTGATGCCGGATATGTAACTGCAAAATATGAGGTTTAGCATACACTTTTAATTTAATTTAATTTGTGTATTTCTACGTCATAGGAATTTTTTAGGAAACGGTCCAACCTTAGGTCCTGTTATCAACTTTGATTAGCATTAGATAGCATCCAGGGTTGGCCCTAGCCACATACAAAAGGTGCAATGGCCCCACACCTCAGGAAGCACTGGGCTTAGTACAAAATACAAAAAGAAAATTGTAAAAAGTGTGAACTTTACATTAATTATGTCAATTATGAATAAATGGTAGCAATCTGACACATACTTTCTCCCATAAACTTGTCAACAACCTTTATCATGGGTATGCGGTGGGAGTAACCATTATATTTTATAGGGTAAATCACAAAAGTTGCAATAGCTTCTTGAAAAAACAAACAGAGTAAAATAATTAGTTTACTAACAGTTGAGGGCAAAGTAATTGGTAACCAAACTAAATTACCTGTCAAACAACATTTATGATTATATGGTACAGAGAAGTAAAGTACATAAGACACAAGCTAATGGGACAATCATACGCTTTCAGCTCTGGTATGTTGTACTGTAAATATACTTGTGACAAGCAAGGAAGAGCCTGTACGGCGAGCACTGTGCAGAAATTCCTATTGCACAGAGCAGGGGAGGGTCTTCCTCCACTGTGAGCGTTGTAGTACACAAGAGTGAAGGTGGTGGTGGTGGACTTAGCCCTAGATACCAGCACTAGAGCTTAAATATACCATTGAATGTTTCCTCTGTACTTTTATTCTCTGTGTTATTTACGAAGATTCTCACCTTGCTATTAACGACAATGAGATCGGTATCAGAGTCATTTTTCTGCCGCCCACCAAGTAATCTTCAGGTGACTCAGCTTTATCAATAAACCCAAAATAGATCCCGATGACAGCACAAACGGCAAGTAACAACACAAAAACTATGTAATCTGCCAGAGAGAATCTTTGAAGCACTACCTCCATCTCTTCCACAGATAAAGGTGAAGACATCTTGATATCTAAGATCTAATCTGTGAACATATTTTAAAAATAATCAATAATTTTTTTCAAAAACTGAAAAATCTTAAAAATAAGGATATTACTGTTGAATCTTGGTCTTTAGAAATAATCCTTGTTGGACTACTGTACGTTTTGGATGCGTTGTGGCCAACTATCTTAAATGCAAGCAATGTATTTTTGACAGTTCAACAATCAAGTCATCTCCCAAGATCAAGATTTTAAAATCTACTTTGTTTGTGTCCAAGGAATACTTTCTAGTTTAATAATAGTATATTCAATTACAAAAGCCGTGAAGTTGGCATTTTCTAGCGCCCTCAAGGTTAAGTTTATGCAAAGGGACCTATGAACACAGGAGAGCTAAACTATAGTTGGAAGAAGGGCCAGAAAACCCCCACACAAAATTGATTGTAAGATATTTGATAAATTAATCATGTTAAATTAACTAGCACCTTAAATTTGTACATGCTGGGGTACAAATGTTATAAAATATACACTTGTTTTGAAAAAAAAATTTTCAATAATTTATAAAAACCATTTTTAATATTTAGTTTTTGACAATACTTTTGACATTTATATGGGTTACCAAATTCAAGGGGTGTTTAAAAATAACTTTCATTGATTAACTAGACAATGTAACAATGGTACTCACTTAGCGAGATCCAAATAGCTACCATACCCCACAAGGTACTAAATCTGGATCGCTGTTTCAAATAGTCACAATTGAGTAATTGTTGACCTTAAACTAATCCACTTAAACACTGGAATCGCGACCCTCTTATACCGCCCTTGGCTAATTCAGTTACCGAGCAACTTCTTTTAGATTGATTGATGTATCCATAGCCTCTCCTTCTCTTTTGAGTAGTGGAAATGTTATTGCAAATGTACTTTTTCGGTCTAAGATCATAAGCAAACCATATTGATACTAAATCCATTGTTTAAGATTTCTGAACTAGTGTTCTTATCTTTTGCTATGTTGTTTTGTCCAACAATTCTTGGTGCAATTATTTTATTCTTCTTCTACCTTGTCGTAAAACTAAATAAACATCCATCTTGGACCATTTCCTTCCAAAACATAAAAAATGCCCCGGCGTAAAAACAAACATACAAAACATGGTAACATATAATATATAATAACAGTGATGAGTCAGGTGATGTTCTATGCTCCTTTCCCAAAATTTAGGCGGTTTGGTTCCCCCACCACTTTTTTACTTAATATATATGGCTAACCTTAAGCAGTAGGTCCATATTTGGATAACCCAAACAAGGATGTATTCCTTAGATAAGGATAAGGAAAACTTTCTGTGTATTGAAGAGTAACCTTCACTTCCTACATATTATTTTATATGCATCAAAGTGAAGTGTCTGCATATTCAATATGATGGTGTTCAAAACTTGCATTTTAAAACTTCTTGCTATGTTTTTAATTCCAAACAAATGTTGATTGACCTTCCGTTCTAGAACATTTCTTCCAAAAACTAATTAAAAATTGACCTTAACCAATAAAACTATTAATTTAAACGTCTGGGCATGGTATTCAAGCATAATTTTTTTTTATCCTTTCAGCCCCAAATGCAGGTGTTGCAGATTATAAATAACACATAACAAAACCTACAATAACCTTTTAACATAAAATTAAAAGGTTATATTAACCACAACTTCAAGTTTAAGATTACATCTAATCACAACTGTTTATGCAAAAATCAACCAATGTAGTTTAAAACTGTATCTCCCTATGGCCAGATGACAACACCCCAAATCGAAGGTTCTAATAACTCTTGGTCAAGCCTGGTATGTTACTCATGGGAATCGGAGGTTGTCGTCTGTGGTAGAGCTTGTTGGGAAAGGCATACAAATAAGCAGTAGGGTCTCAAATGGAATATGATGAGATGGATGGGTTCTTTGTGAGGTACACCTCTATTTTGCTTATTTCCCCTTCCCTAACCGTGAGCTTCCATTAAAAACTTAATTTACAAAAATATGTGTATTTTTGTATTAAAAAGATGACAATAACATGATAAAAATATGCATGTGGCCAAAGCAATAAAAGAACTTAAATGGACACATGAGAAATCTTAAGAGCTTCTACTTTTATGAGATTCTAAACTTGAGGATAAAAATGATAAAATCAACTCAAGAAATACTTTTGTTTGACTTAAAAATACTTATGATGCCTCAAAACTATTCAGCAACCATAAAACTGATTTTTTCAACCTACTTTAAAATTAACTATCTGCTATGTATACAATATTATTTACTACTTCATGTAACCTACATTAACAAGAAAAGAATACAACAAATTTCACTGTCAAGGGCACTACATCCTCTTACTCAATGACAAGATTACAACATAATTACTAGTAAAAACACCAACATTAACTGATAATGAGCCGGCACAGACTACTGGAATACTAGGGATTAATTCATGGAATCAGCTGTATTGTAGACCCTAACATAATGGCAACTTCCTAGGGCGGGCCACAGGAAATGTCCAAGAACGGCTTCTATATAAAAACGAAAATCTCTGGTCAAACCAACAGTTTAGTTTACTCGCTGTGTTGCATTTTACTGCCAAACAATGAAACTAATAACTGTGCTTTGTCTCGTTTCATGTGCCATTTTAGCAAAGGTGAGTGAAAATTAAATACTGAATACAGTTTAAACAGTTTTAAATACATTTTTACTACATAATTTAATTCAAAATATCTACTTGTAAATGCGATTGGTGTCATTAAAAACAGAATTTTAAAGTTACAGTTAAATTTATAAGCTTTTAAAAGGAAAATTATATAATTACAGTTAAGTTAATCAAAGTCATATTGCAGTGTTGCTCAACAACTGTTTTAACTTTTACTTTAAGATCTCAGAGTCATCCATGTCTCTCAAATCCAAGGGAAGTCTACAAAAATCAAAATGTTACACCCTGTCCGCAAAAGATGATTTTCCTAAAATAATTTAAGTCAGTAGGAATGAGTGGCAGTTTAATTTATCTTACCTAAAATATGTTTTGCTATCTTTCACCTAGGTAGTCCAGTAACTCGCAGAAACTATATTACTTTTTCTTGAAGTTAAAGTGTAAAAAACATGAAGGCTGTTGATAGTGATTATGCCAAAACTGGAAAATACCGCTATTGACAAACTAAAACTTAAAAATTTGGGTTCACACATTTTTTTGTTATTTTCAAGGAGTAATCACATTAATTTTATTTTGTAAACCTCAATGATTGATTATTACAGATTTTTATTGACATTGAATATCGACATTTTATATTATGACATTGGATTAGGAAATAATAGGATAAAACGGCAAAAACAAAGCTTTAACCTTGGTTTCATAATTAAGCTAGATCACTAATAAATAATTGGGAAGTGTTTAAAAAGCTAGATTTACTTTAAAAAAAAATAATTAAAAATGTTAATGATCTTTAGCTGTTGGACTTAACTTCCCGATTGATTGCAGTGCTTCAAAGTATAATTAGGTGGTCAAAAGCAATTTCCCAAGACTTAATTATTGAAGATTTGGTTGATATTGGATAAATAATTATGTTTAAAACTGTGCAATCTAGTAAAAAGATAGCTTAATTATTACAATTTACTTCATCACAGTTTTTATATCCCAATCAATATTACAATTTAATGTCTGGTGGATGAGAAAAAAATTAGGTCAAATATATTATTTTAAACTTAAATATATGAAATTTACCTTTTACAGATCAAGTTTTTTGAAAAGAAGAAACACAAAGTGGATACAATATTTTTTTCTAAACCTCTACAGTTTTCTATATCGCTATCTATATCATATCATTCATATGGTTCATCTCAAATTTACATATTTTAAATTTTTTGTAAAGTTTAAAAATACTAAACTAATGAACACTATATTTGACAAATATTTAGTTGCAAATTTATGAATAAATTGATCCCTAAGTCAAAAATCTTAGAGACTAATGTGGTTTTGAATTGCCTGGTGATTTTTTTTTTTTAATTTTCAGGGTAACAAAGTTACAATGACTGAGGAGCAAATGAAAATGGCTGAAATGCTTCATAACAACTGTGTTAAGGAAACCGGCGTTAGTGAAGGTAAAATATGAACTAAGCTATGTTCTGAAGTGAGTATAAGTCTTGAACGTTGGAACTTTAATCAAGCCATCACCGAGTTTCAATATTATATGACAGTAGATCGTTTGAACACAAATTGAAACCCCTACTCGAGAGCAGAATGTATTTTGTAAGTTTAGCTAGTGCATTAAATCATTCTTGCTCTTTCGTTGGTGTTTTTTTTTATTAGTAAACAAATTACTGCCAGTCTGGTACACTTTTGTAGAAATCACATGATATTTGATTTCATTTGCCAAATTGGTGCCAGAAAAAGTATTGGTTAGATGCCAAGAATAACACAGAAATGTAATATTTTCCCCGAATCACCCAAAGTATAATTTGTTTGTTTAAAATCAAATAACAGATAACAGAAACAAATGTGGAAGTAATACAGCTAACATCTTAATAGAGAGGCCCTCAAAGAGTATGGATTATTTTAAAATAATTATTTATGGGCCACTTTACTCCCTACTTAGGTTCTAACAATAACGACTGTAGAGCAATACTAACTAAGCACATTGGATAACTTTGCGAAGAGAGAAGCAGGCCCACTTTTAAAAACGGGTAGACTGGGCATATGCCCAGGGGCGCCGAAGGCACCGGGTTCCCCTCAACCGCCACATGCCCGCACTAGGAAAATATGGGGGCACACGAGATCTTACCGTCAGACCGCCACCGCCCACCACCGCGCCGTGCAGAACGCATCATACCGTGCATAGCCAAACTGTTTGTGGGAAATTGTTATCTCTATCACTGTCGCTGTCAAAACGTGTCGTTTGTAGGTTAAATTTAAATTAATTTAACTGTCATAACCTAACCAAACTTGCTGATAATGAAAATTTCGAATGAAGATTGACTATAACAAGAATAGACTAATAACAAAAATAGTTCTGTTCATAAAATAAAATTATAAATGTCTCAAAATCAATTATATAATGTTTTTAATTATAAAATTAAACTATCATAACATAACCAAACCAACCAAACTTGCTGATAATGAAAAAAATCTAGTCAAAAAGTTAATACCTCCGGTGGGTTTCGAACTGGCCACCTACGACTTATTAGCCTGGTGCGCTATCCACTACACCACCGAGACCTACACCAGCTTAACGTATCGTTGCGGTAATGATGTTCGCTCGAGCAGTGGTGGGTGGTGGTGGGCGGTGGCGGTCTGTCGGCAAGGGTTAATTGGGGGCACTGCTTTTGGGTTTGCCCAGGGCCAACTGACCCTTAACGCGGCCCTGGAGAGAAGAGTGGAGACAATATTTTCTAAGATTATACAAATATATTTTTTAAAGTGCTTATGCTCTAAAAAACATTTTATTGAGGTTATAGTGACAGTGTAAGCAAGCTAAAGAAAGGTGAAACTAAATTTCTTGTTGATTTGTGTGATGTAGTATGTATTGTGTAATTGCTTACGGATAATTTTTCCCTGTACAATTAATTTCACAAATACTCTACTCCCTGCAAAACTAACAACCAAATATCACATTTACAACAAACTTTGAAGCATCTCTAACAATATTTGCTTGGACCAAGTAAAATACAATATTTTGGTCTAATTTCAGACGTCAGCTAACTTAAGTTAATTAGTATTCAATTATTGGAATTAATTAAGTTTCATTTTTCCAGATTCATTTTCAGCTGCTGCCAAAGGAGATTTCAAAGAGGATGACAGTCTTAAGGTGAATTTCATTTCTATGCAAAAAGTACACAGTTATAAATATGACAACAATTGAACAATTGTATATTTCATTTCATTAAGTATCTTTCTCAAATAAATATGGAAGTAGGAAATGAACAGAAAAAACTTTAAACGATCAGGAAAGTCAAATTGTAATTGTACCAAAATATTAATAGAGGAAGCTATTGATAACTCGATGGACACTTGAAAACAATTAAATTAGCAATCACATTTTAACTTTAAAAATACAGCAAACAAGAAGTTTTTTGAATTGGATACTTCAGATGTTTGTTAAGATGTTGAACGGTGGATGTTAATAAAACTTTCCCTAGAAGAGCAGCAATTACTGACGTTTTTGTGGACCTTGATCTAGATCCTCTGTCATTTTTGTTTCAAGGTCACACAAATACTGAAGCATTGATCACATTATGCATTGACTAACCCTCTGTAGATCGTATAGACTAATGGTTAAATAAGATGACATTTTGACCAAATGAGTAAATCCTCCTAATCAAAATCGACTTTTAAATAAAAAACTATTATTATCAAATTTTTTACTTTTTGTTTCAGTGCTACATGAAGTGTCTTCTGGTTCAAATGGGAGTGGTAAGCCTTTTATTTATTTAGGATACAAAACACTCTAGGGACCAAAGAAAGTTTTCTCCAGCAAGCAGCAAGATTGCTGACCGAAAAAAATTTGTTAGTAATGTGTTTTTCCGTAGACTTTTGGATACATCCCTTATGGACCAGCTGTAGCCATTAAAAAAGAATATAAATTTCAAGGAGCCACCACACTAATGGATAGTCCACACTATTAGGAGCCATGAATATTATCATTTTCTTTCAGTGATTATATTTTGTCCAACTTGTAACAACAGGGTGTGTATTATAATGCGAGGATGGGTGTTGAATGAATGAAATGTTAGGTTTGTTACCGACTAAGATACGCTAATTCATTAGTCATTTGACGCTTGCCTCACAGCAGGTCTGCAACCAAGTAGAATACAATAGATGTACAAGAAGTGCCCTGGGTCAAGTAGCACTACAGTAAATACCAATTTTTTTACTGAATAACCAAGGACAGCAGCTGTGTTTGTTTCAAACCATAAAAAATCTTCTGATATTCTCATAATTTAACTTGTGAACCCCTGTTTGCCAGGCGAGCACTAAGCCACTCAGCTGAAAACTATTTGGCTTGATTTTTTAAAATTTTCAGTTCTTAGTAACACTTCAAGTTGTTTTATAATTTACATCAGTCTCGATTCTTGTGCTTTCATTGTTGAAAATTATGTATGCATGTTTCATTTGAACGTTTTCAATTTAGTTTTCAGAAGAAGACATGAGCCTAGACAAAGAAGCTATGATTGAGATGGTTCCAGATGAAGTTAAAGAACAAAGTACGAAGGCTGTGGAGAAGTGTACTCCTTTACGTAAGTTCCACCTCATGTAATCTGCAACTGAAAATGCTTTCAATTGTTAATCTTGGTCGACTTTAAATATTTTCACTGCAAACAGTGAGTTTGATACAAATCCATTAATTTCAGTAATGTTGAATTTACTCTACCCATGGAAAAATTGAGAGGACAAACACTCATGACTGCAAATCTGTAGACATTTTTCAAGATAATTTTTTGTTCTGTTGGTAGTTTTTAAATAGGTTCCTTATAAAAGGGAATTTACATCAAAATGCTTGCAATGTATAGAAAACACACAAAGAGAAATCAAGGAACACAGAGAAACTCATTTTGGTTGAATCTGAAGAATAAAGAAAATTAATAGATATTATTAACATGCTATTAATCAAAAGGTCGCCGGTTCGATCCTGAGAAAAGTCAGTAGCTTTTTGATGGTTCGAAACTGGACCCAGCTGTTCCTGATCATTGGGCTTTAAATAAATGATCCTGGCTAATGAAACAGCTGATCTTAGTCAGTAACAAAGCTACACAGATCATCTCACACCATTCTACACTCATCCTTCACTCATATTTGGGTTAAAATACGCACCTAAGTGGCGTCCCCATCTTAATGATTGATAATTGATATTAAAAAGCAAAGCAATGATTGTTTTTCCCTCCATAAGACTAACATAAAAAGCATACTACAAAATTGTTAAATTTATAAAAGTAAACATTCACTTAGGGAAAAGCCCTGGGGTCCGATTTGTACCATTTCAGATTTATACCTTCCCATGGTTGGTTACTATTACTGCGCTAAATTTCGTGCACATTGCTTCAGCCGTTCAGGAGGAGTATTTGTAAAACAAAAGCAGGAGTGTAATATAAGAGCTTTGCTCGCTTCGCTTTGCTCCGCTACATTAAGTTTCCTATGACAATTTATTTTGTATTTGGGACGTTATGTTATGTAAAAAATCACCCAAAGTTTTTATTGTGTTAAAGTGTTTATGGTCTGTAATTTTCAGATGGAGAAAATGGATGTGAGATGGCCTTCAACTTATACAAATGCTTCTATGCTTTTGACCCTGAGGTACTACATTATATTGTTTATAAGTCATAAGAGAGTGAGTAATTTAACCTTTTTTGATGGTCTTAGATATTCAGAGAGAGAAAACTGGGTATTAAAACTGACTTTGGTAACATTAAATGTGAAGCTTATGGTGGTGTGAGTCTATAGTTGGAGAAAACTCAACTGTGTTCACATTGACGTAATATTTCCGCTTATTTTCAGTTGAATATAAACATATGCTCCTTTTATATTTGGAATAAAACAAAGCGTTGATGGTATTGACGGAGTGTCATGAGAAAGAGGGCGTAGCAAAGACCTCCCCAGATGATATGTAACTATGGGAATTTTTGGGGCCGCCACAGTTTATCTTAAAACTAACCTGGACTTGCGTACACAACTATTAGGGTCCTCCAGCAAGTCGTAATTAGATATCATACAAATGTGTACACTACTTTGACACTTGTTCTACAAGCACCTTAGTAAATTACTATTTACTAATCATATTATTTGTAAGAACTGTTATATTTCCCAAACTTTACTTAAGTAATAACTAGATACCGCAGAAAATATAATGTGTAAAAATTAGAAAATCTTCAGAATTACCTAATATGAAACTGTCTCAAATTCTGTGTATACTCAAGACTAAAATTGTTCTTGTTCATATTTAATGTTGATTATAACATATTTCCTAGATATCAATAAGAAGTAATGAACTATGATTCTGTTTCAGAAATATTTCCTCATTTGAAGAAAGTACCACAGTTGTTGAAGGAAGACTTCAGAATATTCACAAACACCAATCCATCTGCTCCATCTACATGGACTTATAAACTTATTTACCAATTTATGTTGATCTTTTGAATGTGTTATACTACATTAAATAAAATGTTAAGCAGTCGTCTTAAATTATTAACTAGAAATACATTAAGTCCTTAATATTCTAGAGTGTATTTGATTGACTTTCTAATAAATTCGCTATCTAGCTTCAAGGACACAATTTTGCAAAAAGTTACCAAGATCTTATTGATAAATAAACCTTCTGGTATGGACAATTTATTTTGGAAATTTTTATGATTTACATAAAAATAGACAAAAGATATCGCTCCTGGGCACTGAAATTATGCGCCAAGTATTTCTTCTTTCAAAAACATGATTTTAGGACACTAACAAAATAAAAAAAACTTAAAAGCAAATTTCAAGCTTCCAGAACTAGTTTATTCGGTAATCTGTAGTTTAAATGAGAATAATTTATATTGTGTTGTGGTTAACTTTTTTAGACCAAGAAAGCTTTTTAGTACTGTTAATTTATAATTTCCGAAAAGCTACAAAAAATAAGTTCGTTTAATTTTTTCATTCCATATTTGATACTGTTTATTTGAGGATGATTTTAGGTTTCACCTAGCAAACAATTTACCCTTTGTCCAGCTGTAGAAGAATGTTTTCTATCCTTCGAAGAGTTTTGAAAACTTCAAAACTGATCTTTGAATTAGTAGCCATAAAAGTGTTTGGATGACGAAGAGGGAATAGAAAACCACCACTAATTTTAAGTACTATCTAAAAAAGGTTTATTCATAACCCTACTTTTGATACATTTTTACAAATCAACAAAACAACCAATAAGTTAATCTTTGATATACTGGCACAGCACATCTATACACAATCATGAGATGAAGTAATAAATAAAAATCAACAATATAAAAAACTATTAAATAATGAGGAATAAATTACACTCCCTACGACAATGATTTGGTAAAAGCATCATTTGGTTTAGAAACAATGATCTTTCCTGGCAGTGTTTTTGGAAATTTGGAAAGTACAACAGGATGATTGTAAATTAACGGGGAATCGACGTGTTCAACTTGAGTGGAACTCTCTAATGAGTCAAGACACATACTAACTGCTTTGTTTCTCGTCCACTAAACTCGTGGGAGTTTGAACATCGAGGTGAAATGTTTAAGCTGCCTTCAGTTGCTTCATGAGGCCGTCGGTGGACATGGACTTGGGACGCTCGATGGGCAGACCCAACGCTCGGTCCCACACCAGAGACGCCAGTGTTCCCAGGGCTCGGGAAACACCGAACAGAACTGTGTAGTAGTTCATCTCCTTCAGTCCGTAATACTGTCGACACAACAACAAGTTGTAAACGATATTGTTACAGAATAAACTAATAGTTGACTAAATAAACCATTGGAATAAAATACAGGAAGAAATTTTATTGAAAAGCTCATCCAAAATTCTAAATGTTGCCTGACTAATGCTTTAAAATAGCAAGAGTAACTTTTATTGAACAAATACATTAAATAACTATCTACTCTCAGAAATTAAACGTTGTTATATATGACATAGAATTGTTCAGTTAATGTTGGCTTGTTACAGATTCTGGCGATTTTACAAATTGACCACAAAGATTTTGAAGACATTTTTCACAATCGCAAAATTAAAACGAGATATAATTAAATCCAAATACTACTGAAAAAGTCCACCTGGAATTCAGCAGGGTTTAAGCTGCGGTATCAATTTTAGCATTTTGCTATACACAACTTTAAATGCTACATTGTTTTTGCCTCAGGCTATAGGCAAATTTGCTACGATAAAATTGAAGATGTAATGTTCAAACCTGTAATATTACAGATTTTTTTTTCTACAATCGTCTGTGATTTGTAGCATTTTTGGCTAAAACAAATTTCATCCCAGCCTATACCCTGCACAATTAACGACCCAAGTACCTATTTAAATTTTGGACGTCCCTAGTTTGAAGCTAAAAATCACATTTCTCTTTAATGTGGGTCGCTGGGTGGCATTTCGCTTACCCAACTGTCAGTTTAGTAAAAAATCATTTGAGTTTATGGTACTGGGTAAAAAAAAATATTATTGCTCAATTTCTTTTTGCGACCCACTAAAAGTGCTCCAAAACTGGTGGGAGCGACCCATAGTTTGGGAAAATCTGGTTTACATGATACAGCAGAAGCTAGAGTTAACCTTTCAGTTCGGCTTGGCTATTCAACCAATAATTATTATGTTTCAACTAAAACATTGACAACAGAAATTGGTTACTGATAGCAGGACACTATTGGAGCTTCAAATACGTTAGTTTCCATTCTAAAGCTGGCTACAGTTCCGACATGTTAATGGACTGACCTGCAGTAGAACTCCAGAGTGAGCGTCTACGTTGGGCCAGGGATTCTTGACCTTGCCAGTCTCCAGCAGGATGGGGGGAACAATCTTGTATGTCTGGGACACCAGCTGTAACACAACAGGGTTACCAACGTTAATATCTTCTACAGGTAAAATAAGACAAGGGAACCCCCTTGTGCAAATTGCACATTTTAATAGGGTTCAAAACTGATTTCCGAGGCAAAACCAATCCAATGACACCGCTTGTAGAAAATTTTATTCAGAATCTACGATTTGTTTTACCTTTCAAACATTATGTTTGTTTAAGAGAGTTATTAGGCAACTAAAACTAGTAATTTACTTCCCTCAAACAGGTTACAGTTATAAAAAATGGAGCCTATTTAAAATCCATTTTCATAGGCTGGTTTGCCCTTTGTTGACGATCAGAATGAGGTTAAACATTCAACTGAAAGATCAGCTGTTCACATTTTAAATGCACATTTAAACTATAAAAAAAACTGTTTACAATCACTGAGTCTTTGAAAGAGAACTCAAGATATGAATCAAAAGCTGAGGGGGATGAAGTCCTAAAAAATTACCTTTTTCGTTACCATTCATCACTTTGATATTTTATAAGCTTTGAAATGACACCTCAATCGTAAATATCAGTTAAGTAGGGTAGGTCGCATAAAAAAGGTATGTATCAGAGAAAACCCTTATTGTATTAAGTATACAGAAAGATAATATTTTAATGTCATGAATACAATAGGTCTACACTTTGGAATTTTGTAATAATGTAAATGGCTTTAGAATAGATAGCTAACAAATAAATCAATAGAGTTTAAATATGGAAAGTAAACTGCAACTTTATCAAGAAGTATGATTAAGAAATCTATGAGTGGACTTTATTTGGCTGTAATTCAATTATCAAGTAACTGACAAGGCTGATAAGTAAACGAGTGTTACAAAAACACATTTTCTTTAATTGCATACGTCAATTATTATCATTTTCAACAAGTGGTGATTAAGTTTAATTATTCCAAAACATTCATTAGATGGGTACCTAAATGTTTAGACATAAGGAAGTGGTCAAATTATCACATTGTAATATATTAAGCTACACAAATATTAATTAGGTCTGAAACCTAATTAAATCTGTGTCCATGTAGTAACAATGAAAAAACCATGAGCATTTTGTATTGTAATTTTTTAGTTCAGAATCTATAATTGGGACACTAAGTATTTTACTGAAAGTATTCATTTTTGTTTTTTACCTCACAACTTTTTTAAACTTAGCTTTTTTTCCAATGGCAGGCAGTGGGAACTGATTACAATAGTGTACACTCAAGGTATTAAATTTCATTCAATATAAACAATTTTAAGTTCCATAAAACCATTAAAATAAACCTTACCTAAATACCTGATGAGGAGTTTTTAACGTTTAGCCATTCATAAAAAAAAAACTCTCTAGTCTCTCATGCTTCCCAAGGTTAATTAATTAACGAACATTTCCGGTTTCAGGTTTCACAATTAAAAATATGGAAAGTAAATAAAAGAAACGTCTTATAACACTTATTTACACTTATAATCTTACTCACAAGACGGTAAATATACATAAACGATGGTATACATAAATATATGTTTTAAGTGTTATAAGACTTTTTTTAATTTACTTTCCATAAATTGAATAACACGTACAATGCTGATCAAGAAGCTATTCAATAAAAAATAAAGATCACTAAATGGGCGTTGAAGCATTTGCAACCAACCATTCTTTTGCCCTACGTTCTAATGGGGATGCGGAATACTATCCCCCGGAAAACTACCCCCCCAGGTGAAACGTGACGTCACAAAATCTGCTAACTAACCAATATGGAAGCCGTGTCCGCGACTGGAATACTACCCCCCCTAGACAAATCATGCTATGTAATTTTAATTTTAATTTGAGTAATTCCGTTGGATAATAGAAAAGGCATGTGGTGAATATAAAACAGATTTTCGAAATGTTACAGCAAGTTTGGTTGGTTAGGTTAGATTAGATTAGAACTGTTTGACAACTAAATTTGGGTGTCCGTGACTGGAAAACTGCCCCCCCGGTCTCTGACGTCAATATGACGTAGGAACCTGCTTGAGGGGGTAGTTTTCCGGGGGGCAGTCTTCCGGCGACCCGTTCTAATCTCTCATGCTGTACAATGCATTCAATTCGTTTGTCAACATTTTATGTTCCATAAATAAAAAATCTTCTAAAGAGACGATGAGGCATTTGCAAAAAATTTAATTTATTTTTTATTATTAACTTGGTACAGGACATATACAAGGAATTTTCCAATACTTAGGAGCATACGCCTTGTAAAAAAAAAGGTTTATCAGCCTACAGTAAAATTCACGTACCTTAAAGAGAGGGTCGTTGGGCAGGTGCTTGAGGGCGAACTCTCGCTGACAAGTGTAGCGAGGGTCCGTCTTCCTCAGCACGGCATGTCCGTAGCCAGGTACCACCTGCCCACCCTTCAATGTCTTCCAGACGTACTCCTTCAACTTCTCGTCCGTCACATTGTCTCCCAACTCTTTTTGCATCTTGGTCAGGAACACCAACACCTGCAGACAAAAGTCAGTACTTTGAGGTTAAGTAGGTAACATGGAGCACTTATCGTATGTAAAAATGCAATGATCGCATACAGTTGGTATTTATGAGACAAGTATAAATTTAAGGCTTGAGACTTTAAAACTTCTACCAGTGTCTTAAAAGTGGATTACCCAAATTGCTTAGCCTACACTATGTAACCTACAAGCAATTCACTAGATTTATCTGACACTTTCAAAATAACCTTCCTGGAACTGTGAGTTGGCAAATCGTTTAGTTCACCTTAGGATAAGGAAAGAATGTGTGAGTTTCTGGCGGAAGTCGACAGATCAACAATCAGGGACGTTATGAGTTGATAAGTTGGGGTCGACTCATTACAATTTTACTTCTTTTATTTCATTCCTTGAACCCCATTAGTCCGTTACTTTACCACACTAGTACTGTAAAGTAAGTAAACAATGCAGTAAAGTGAATCGTTTGGATTTCAAAATTAAATCTAAAAGTCTGATGTAAAAACAGTTGTAGGTAAAGGATTTTTGAGAGGATAGCGGTAGCAGGCAAAACATCCTGATTGGACCTGAAGAAAACCCTCCAAACCTTTCTTGGTTGGAAATACCCCTTAATTTACTCGTCTTTAGTTCAAGATTCACAACACTGTTTTGGTAAAATAATAAATGTGAGGAAATATGATGAAAAATTTAAACCAACAAATTTGTTGTATATAAATTAATGTATATTCAAAAAATGCCATTAATAATAATATTGTTTTGTTTTGAACACCTAAAATCAAATATTTTAGAAGAATAAGTATGTCTGATTACATTAAACTTAGTATTTATTTGAGGCAACCTCTAAATAAATCTTTTAAAGATACGTTAACTGACACTTTTTACTTAGCAGCATTTACTCCATAAAATTTATCAATCAATATCTGTCACACACAATTTACAAATGCAGAAAACTTTTTATCCTAGAGAAATTCAATTCACATTGTTGAACAAAACTGTATTCTACCACAACCAATTTGACAATCTAACAAGAAAATGCTTGTGTAAAGACACCTGTGCTAACAATGTCAGACAACTGCTCAAGATTTAAACTGTTTAAAGAGCAAATACATGCTGCCAAGGACACTGAACACAGTTAATTTACTTTATGGAATCTTTAGTAGTAACTAAATCTCAATCTAATTCTCATCTTCATCTCGTTCTAAATCTTACTTTTAGAATAAAGATGTACTAGTCAAACTGAGCCAGACAGTTTGTTCACATCGATTACTGGTATCTGTCAAGTGTGACTCTTAAATAAGACAAATTGACGTTGAAGCTTTCACTTTGTATCTGTAAAATTTGACGCTTTAACATTTCTTGATGAAATTGTAATAAAGAAATTGTCTATTGTCTATTGTCTTTTTATGTCACATAAAATGTTACCATTTCAGTGATTTTGAGACAGTTTAATTTTAACAGCTGCACATTCTGTGATTGGCTCATTCAAATGTGTTCTATTTCAATAAAAGAATTGGCTACAGCTGGTCTTTTTAAATAGGACGTTCATTGTCCAAAAGTCAAAGGTAGGAACGGTAGTAATTCAATGTTCAAAATCGGGAAATTTGAGAAATTTGTTTTCATGTTTTATTCTCTAGTGGTGTTTGAATTTACCTCCTGATTGGCCAATCCGTGGAGGGGGCCGGCCAGACCGTTCATACCCGCAGCGAATGACAGGTAAGGATCTGAAAGTGCTGAACCAACCAAGTGAACAGTGTGAGCGGAAACATTGCCTCCCTCGTGATCACTGTAACAAACATAGGTTACATTGCACAACTTTAATCGGAAAACATGAGCAAATTCAGTCATGTAATTATGGGCTGCCCTGATAGATTGTATACTTGGTCACCAGCCAAAACAAAAAATACTCACAAGTCCTGATTGAGACTACATGGAGGTTATCGATGAGTGTTTTACAATCTTTAAAATCTTGCAGTTGAAATAAAATTTTAATTTGAAACTTAAAAAAGTAGTTCTTAAATACGACACAGTTTTAATTTACTAAGACTATTTACTTATTCAATTATTCAATATTTGTAATTATACATGCCTAGCTTTAAACTTTAACATAAACTAGCTGATATAATTATTCTTTACTCTTTAGCAAGCTATTTAATAACTCTTACTATTTAGACCTTAAAACATACTGTGACAAAGTTGCTAAAACGATGATATAATTTTAATAAAAAACCCATACGGACACGTTTGGTAAATTTTGGAAATAGGCAATAATGTTATCAGCACTAGCACATGGCAAGTGGCATTTTATTTTTTAAATTTTGGATAGGTAACGCTGAAAAAACATATTATTGGATTTTTGCATATCACTCGGTACAATAAAACAATTTTATAATTCTAGGATTAAAATATAAGTTAACAGATCCATTAATGGATGTAAATAGGTAGCTTACTGTACCAATGGTAAATATAAGCTAAACATGGTGAAGTACAACGAGTGGGTTATGTAACGTAAATACAAAAGAACACCAGTTCATGGCCAATTACACAACTAGAGTTGACATGCAACCACACTGCCAACATCCAACATGCCACTACACTACAAAGACTTCAAATCCTTGGCATATTCGATGAAGAACCACATAATTTATGAGCAGGATATATTCACCCTTTGAAATGAGCTGTCAATAAATTATCTATAGCCAAATGTAAATAGAAAAGTTGTGAGAACTAACAAATCATATGTTTGGATGGCCATTTTTTGTTCATTTTGACAACACTAACAAAACATATTTGCAAAGTGAAAAACTGGCTATTTTTGTGTTTTTAAAGTTTTATAAAAAACGTAACTAAAATAAAACCCTACAAAATGTTGTGTACGAACAAACTTCATATTTGTTCATCTACCAAATAGACGCCTGAATCATCAATGAAAATAATATTTATTTAATAAGTTGTTTTACTATTGAACACAAATTGATAAAAATATATCAATTTAATTTCTATGAAAATTTCAAAAGGAGATAATGCTAATTTCTTAGAAAGTTTCAAGGCAGACAATGCCAAAACCTGTGAGCCCAATTTCATAAAAATATTTGTTTAGACAATTTTGCAATAATCATATCCAGAGACGCAGAAATAATTCAATTCTGTACCGTATCTACAAAAAAGTACTTGAATTACATCCTTAACTGAAAAAAAAAAAAAAAAAAAAAAAACGAGAAACAAATAGATGATTTTGTTAAGCATTTCTAAGTTAATGATTGAACATGGGGAAAGATCCTAGGTATTTTGATATTTTTAAGGGATACAGTAGAACTCCAATTATCCGAACTCCAATTAACCGAATCGCCGATTATCCGAATCGCTTATTTCAACAATTTTAATAATGTAAAGCTACAGTAATAATAAGGTTTGGAAAATATCAAAGAATTGTTATTAAGAACAAGTTTAGAACACTTGTGCTAAGAGCATTGTATACTGTAAAAATGTTCTGATTTAATTTATTATTAATTAAAAATTCATTTAGTACCGGAAATGAGGATTTTTCTTGGAAATTTTTCCCGGAATTTCTGTAAAACTCCGATTATCCGAATTTCTTGATTATCCGAATGGGGTCTGGTCCCAATTGATTCGGATAATCGGAGTTCTACTGTAGTAGGCTTAAATCAATGCCTACTAAGTATTGTATTAAGAGTACATTCTGACTCCATCCCAACCTTGCAATGATTAACTCTCATACCTGTGGATGGTGAGGTATAACCTCATGAGCTCCGTGAACTCGTGGCTGTCGAAGCCCAGCATCTGAGTGAAGTTTGCGCTCCAGTCCTTGCTGGGGTCAATAGCTCCAACACCCTTACCGTCCTGGTACGTGTTGCGGTAGATCGTCGCGGCGATCACAGGCAACTTGGCGATCAGGTCCATGGAGTCTTCGTAAATGTACTGCAAAAACATACAATTATGTTTTAATCCTAACCAAGAGTTGAAAATTTCCGTCCCATGTTTTTCCGGTAGGTCAGATAAAATATACAAAAATTATGAATCCCAGGAAACCTTAATTTTGTTACATAATTACATCGCCACCAAGGGGACGGATATAAGTTTAATTTCTTCACCAAATTAGAACATTCATATTTTAATAAAATATCTACATGTTAGGTCTACTTTCCATGAACCCATAGTAAAATGACTTTTCTGTGACTTCAGTGACTTCCATGACCAGTAGACACCCAGTTCAAACACATAATTTTCAAATATAATTAACTTAAAACTTTAAAAGCTTTCAAAAAAAGTTTTCAATAGAATTAAAAATTTTACACTAATATCTCCTTCACTTCTCACAACAGTCGCATTAACTTCAATGCCTACTACGACCTTGTTTTCTATAGCCTTGTTTTCTTCTTTTGAAAACAAGTTTACCTGTGGTTTTGATGAAATTCCTATGCCTGTTTTAAAAAGTGCTAAAGATGTTTTAGCTAAACCATTGACTCATTTAATCAACTCTTCTTTCATTTCAGGAATATTTCCAAGTAAATTAAAAATCTCTAAAATTAAAACATTACATAAATCTGGTAGCAATAAGGACCCTTCTAATTACAGACCATTATCTATTTTGCCATGCTTATCAAACATCTATGAGCGTGCCATGCATTCACGATTAATGAATTTCTTAGAAAATAATAGCTTATTTGATACTGAGCAACATGGATTCAGGCCCGGTAAATCTGTTGTCACTGCAACAATTGATTTGATAGAAACTATAATTGATGCTATTGATAAGGGTGAGAGCACTGTCGGGGTGTTCATGGATATTAGTAAAGCCTTTGATAGTGTCTGCCATTCAACATTAATTTCAATTTTAAAAAATTTTGGTTTTGCTAACAATGCTTTAAATTGGTTTCAATCTTACCTTGAAAACACCTCCGGTTCAAGATGGCGTCGAGATCAGTTCGCAATCCATGTAGCGAGTGTAATAAAACGATAAATAAAAGTTATCCGGGTACTCAGTGTGATGGCATGTGCATGAAAATGTTCCACTACGAATGTGTGGGGCTAGGAATTGACGACTATCAAGCAATTCGAGGATCTGACGGTAAAATCAGTTGGATTTGCAAGGACTGCCATGTAAGGTTAGACAAACTGAAAACCTACAATTTAAGTATTGACGATTATTGCAATCTCATTGAGAGTGTAGGAAAAATCTTTAACATTCTTAGCGAAATAACTAAGAGCAACGTAGAATTAAGGGAAAAGATAAACCATATATTTAACGATGATTGTAGGCTAAAAAGTAATGAAACTAATGACGCACCGGAGGTCACGCATCAATCATACGTCATCCAAAATCAACGTCAGCAATACGTCATCCATGATGTCATGCACGATCAAGGAAAAAAACAAAGCACGACCAGTGTTACCAGAAATCAGGGAAAGAAAATTATCCCAACAAAATTGAGCAAACCTATTGGGGGCAACGGTCTACAAATTAAGGAGGGAAATGAAAAAAATGGTGTTGGTAGTACTGTCATCGACACTTCTTCAAATCTCACAGACGACGCAGCTGGCGTCGGCACAGAAATAGAAAATGGCGGCATTGAAACAGAAAATAGTGAATATAGTAACTGTGAGGAAGATGACAAAGTGTTAGATGGAGATCCATCAACGGAAAATAGGTTAACTTATGCAAGTGTTGCTTCTATGTCAAATTCAAAACTTAATGATGTACAAAAGGACACTGGTGACGATTTTATAACCCAGCGTTACCACAAGAAGACTAGAAACCATCAACATAACGTGAAGCAAATAGGCCTAGCCCTATCGAGGACCAAAGCAAGTTTTAAGCCTATGATAGGTACTAAGAAGGTGGATGGGTCCCAATTGGGTGCTGTCAGTAGGACCAAGTGGCTATTTGCATCAAGATTTGAAACAACTACAAGTAGAGAAAATGTTGAGGAATATATAAAATCATTGTGTGATGGAAAAAATGTAATCTGTGAAGAACTCCGAACAAAGTATCCTGGCTACAAGTCTTTTAAGGTAGGCTTCCCAATTCAGTATTCTAATGTAGTAATGGACTGTGAAAACTGGCCTGAAGGCATATTTATCAACAATTTCTTGGTATCTAAGAGAAATGTGTCTAGGCCTAGGCCTATTAGCGATACGCCAATGATTGACACTAAGAAACCGGGGGAAGAATAATTGGCTCTGATTTGTATGGGGGAATAGAGTCATCAGGAAAAAACCCTAAAAAGTTAAAAATGTTATTTTTGAACATAAGATCCATTTTTAATAAAGTTCACCTGTTAGAGGCACTACTTCAGGATAACACTTATGACATGGTTTGTGTGGCAGAAACATGGCTTAACAAAGATAAAAGTAAACACTTCAAAATAGAAAATTATTCTAAGGTATCTGATTATTGTAGAGAAAGTAAAATGGGAGGAGGTGTTGCAATCTTTAACCATGCAAATAGTTCAATTAAAAGTAGTCCTATCAGCATTTTGAGCACACTGTCAGTTGAAGAAATTTTTGAATGCTGTGGGGCTATTGTTAAGTGTAAAGATTTTAAATTTATTTTATTAAATGTCTATAGACCGCCATATAAATCAAACTTCTACAATTTCATTGAACTGTTAGAAGATACCATCAGTACGGTTAAGAAGAGTTTCTGTGACCTGCCTTTGGTAGTTTGTGGTGATCTGAACATAGACAATTTGGAAAATACCTTTGAGAAGGACTGCTTAAATGATGTACTCAGTTCAAGTAACCTACATGTCACCTTTAAACATTATACAAGAATCGATCAAACCTCAAACAAACATAGCCAGCTTGACTACTTAATCACCGATCTCCAAAACCAGCTTTATTCAACTGTTATTCTACCACCTCTCTTATCAGATCACTGTATAGTTGTTTTTAATTTAAATTTGAGTTGCCATAAAATCAAGAAAAAAGTTGAGAAGCGAAAATTAACAAAGCCTAACATCTCTACATTTGAACATCTTCTCAAAACCCATTTGGTGCAAACCCTAGACGCAACTGCTAACACAAACGATGCGTTTGATGAATTCTATTCCTGTTTTGTTTATCTATTTGATATATGTTTTCCTAAAGCAATTTATAATAGTAAGGACGATTCTCATGTCAAGTGGATTACCCCAGAGGTCACTGATTCGCAAGAAAAACTCATAGATCTGTACTGGCGAACAAGAAATGTAAATAGGCCTAATGTAAATAGTAAATTAGAATACAATAATGCTAAGCGTCTACATTCCGATCTTCTTAGCAGGGCAAAGAAACAATTCTACAAGTCAAAGATTGACAATGCTAAGAATATTAGTAAAGAATCATGGGCAATTATTCGAAACTTGACATGTGATGACAATGTAAATAGTTGTAATATAGGTCTTAAGTTTGATGACGAGCTTGTTACTCACCCGAGTACTATAGCAAATATTTTTAACAATTACTTTATTTCTGAGATTGACAAGCTGGCGGGTCCAGCGATTAAGATAGATATAGACCCAAACCAAGTCCCCGATGAAGGTGATTTCCATTTATGGCCTACAAATGAGAAAGAAGTACTGAGCGTAATAGATAAAGTTAGCAGAAAGAGTAGCGCTGGTGTGGATGAAATTCCTTGTAGCCTTCTTAAATCATGTAAAGATATCATAGTTAAGCCACTAACAAAAATAATAAATAAGTCGTTTTCACAGGGCATTTTCCCCAACAAAATAAAAACATCAAAGGTTGTACCTATATATAAGAACAATGAAAAAGACATAGTTAAGAACTACAGGCCAGTAGCAGTACAAAGTGTTTTTTCAAAGATCTTTGAAATCATATTCTTAAAGAGATTGTTCCCTTATTTGGAAGATAATCAGGTATTGAATCCTGATCAATATGGTTTTAGAAAAAACAAATGTACAACTGATGCAATATTTAATCTACTAATAAATATCTATGATAATCTTGATATTGTTGGCGAGCAGCTCTGTATTTTCTATGATATGACCAAAGCATTTGACCTCATTTCCCATGATATTCTTATAAAAAAGTTAATGGCTATCGGCATTAAAGGTAAAGCCTTAAATTGGGTAGCATCTTATTTGAAAGACAGGAAACAAATTGTTAGTGTCAGGTATTCTGGGCAAGATGGTTTAAGTCGCCATTATCGATCGGCCACCTCATCTCCTGTAAACACCGGTGTACCGCAAGGTTCCAACCTAGGCCCTGTACTGTTCTTGCTGTTCGTGAACGACCTACCTGAATCTGTCTCAATAGGAAAGATTTGGCTATTTGCAGACGATGTTAGCCACCTGGTGCAGGACAGAGACGAACAGATGCTTAGGCACAAAGCTCAAGATGGGTTAAACCAAATGAACAATTGGTGTAAGGACAACAAGCTGATTTTAAATAAAGGAAAAACCAAAGCTCTTCAATTCCACAACAGGAAAATCCCAGATAACTCACCATTACTCAAACTTGAAGGCACCAGTATCAAAATTGACAATCACATAAAGTATTTAGGCCTAACCATCAGTGACAATCTTAAATGGCAGGATCATATCCAACAAATTTCGCCCAGATTAACAGCTGTGTGCCATATGGTCCGTAGGCTTAAGTCAATTGTTGATAATGATGTTTTAATGAAAATTTACTTTGGTTGCTTTCAAAGTATTGTCAACTACGGAATCTTATTCTGGGGAAACAGTCCTCTCGCAAGCAGAATACTACTTCTTCAAAAAAGAATAATAAGAACAATTTATAATGCTCCATACCTTGCCCATTGTAAAACCCTTTTTGTTGAAGCAAAAGTCCTTACGGTGCCAGCAATATTTATTTTGGAATCTGCACTAATAGTTAAGAAGAACCCGAACACGTTTCCACAAAACAATACAATTCACAACTACTCAACAAGGCAAAAAAACAACATTCATCTAAATCAAGTCAACTCAAGTTTAGTAAAGGACGGACCAAAGTTTTTATCAAGCTTAATCTACAACTTGATCCCTCTAAATATAAAAAGCATTGAAGATCAAGATGAATTCAAGAGGAAATTTAAAGAATATCTATTGAAGAGGCCATATTATTCTGTTGAAGAATATTTAAAAGAAAAATAGGCCAAAAAAACTGACGACCACGGCGCAGCTGCGCTACCAGTGGGAGATCACCAAGTATCAAGTAAGTATCAAGTAACAGATTACAATATGTGGAAATTAATCATATAAATAATTTCAACCAATTAAGAAATGTAAAATCCTCTTTGAGGTGTATCAAATATGGTGTACCTCAAGGTTCGATTCTTGGTCCCATTTTATTTCTTTGTTATATTAAAGGTCTGCCAACAGCATTAACAGATAATATGGCAAAATTGTGTCTATATGCTGATGATGCAAATTTGTTGGTTTCTGGTAAATGTTTTAATAAAATACAAGAGTCGGCCCAAAACAATCTGTTATCTATAAAAAACTACTTAAACTTCAATAAATTATTTCTCAATTTTAATAAAACCAATTTTATGTCATTCAGTACAGCACAAAAGAAAAATCCAGAATTCTGTATTAAAGTAAATGATCTCCAAATTACTCAAGTAAAGGTAACAAAATTTTTGGGTTTATTGCTTGATGAAAATTTATCATGGTCACTCCATACGGATAAATTGTTACATAAAATTTCCTCGGGTTTATTTGCCTTAAGAAATCTGTCAAAATTTTGTTCCCTTGAGATATTGCTTAAGGTTTACCATGCACATATCAACTCACACATTACATTTGGTATTGAGTTATATGGAGCTACAAGTAATCAAAATTTACAAAGTATTCTAATCCTACAAAAAAGGGCAATAAGAATCATGTTAAATCTGGATGATGAAGAATCGGCCAAAAAATATTTTCCTAAATTAAAAATTTTAACTGTTTACAGCTCATATATATTGCACACTATTATGCATGTGAGGGCTTCTGAAGACAAGGTGCCACTGCTGGGGGATAATCATAGGTATAATACTAGGCATAAAAATTATCCATCCGTAACACAACACAAACTGGAGTTTTATAACAAGAAACCAACAGCTGCAGGTATTAGGTTTTTGTACCATCTACCAAAAGAAATATTTGATATAAAAAACATTAGGTCTTTTAAAAAAAAACTTAAATTGTTACTAATTGATAGAGCATTTTACTCATTTGAAGAGTTTTACAACATGTAATTACATTAATTAAATTTTCCTGTTTTATTTAGTTTAGACAAGTATTTTTAATTAGTAATAAGCTGTTTTGACGCCATTCTGTATTTATGCATATATTTCATGTAGGTATATAATGTATAAATCTTGAATAAAGCTTTTCTGATTCTGATTCTGATTCACGACGTTACAATGCAATTATGTCATCTCACCTCCCAATACAGCCCCTTCTTGACTCCGTCTGAGTAGGCCTTGGCAAACTTGCTCTCACTGTTGAGGGCAGTGATGGCCGCACTGAACTGTGACATCGGGTGCAAGTTGCTGGGGAAGTTGTTCAACATGGTGACCACGTGGGATGGCAGACCTGCGCGGTTCGCCCACTCCTTGGATATCGCTGCTACCTAAACCAAAATGAAAACTTAAGTAACAAATTTTAAACAACACCTTAGAGTGAAACTGATTTCCACAAAATACCTCAAAGTTGGTTTAAATTTTCATAGGTAAATTGCTAAGTGGTTATAGCACTTGCTTCACATTTGTGGGTTGTTCAAATTGTACACTAAACTCGGACAGAGATGACTTGTCATTGGACTAGCAATTAGTGAGGGTAACTTTGTTGTTGTTACTTTGTGTGTTTTTTATGCCATAGCTTAGCAAAATATTAATCTCACACAGCAACAAGACCAGGGTTTAGACAATTTACAAACTAGCCACATAAAAAATCTTAATCCTGATTATCGGTTTGGGTTTTCCTTTCCTGAATGTGCAAATCACAGAAATGTGCTTTGTAGAGACATAATTGGGACTATTTAATGGTCATTTATTGACAGTTCATTCATATTTGGGTTAAAAGCATACCTGAGTTATGGACTCATAATTGTTTTTCTAACCTCAACTGCCACAACAGAGACAACTGGTGGACTGGTCTGTCCAGTGGATAAAAAAATGATTGTGATAGTGTAAATGATTGTGTTCATTATTGTGATATGAATATGTTGACTGTTTCGGTGTGCTAACGTAATAGGTTGCATCTCAGTGCGAGAGAAAATAATCCCATCCCAGGATTCGAGGCAGATCCAACAAATGTTAGTTGTTACCACTTTCCTTAAAGGGTTTCACTTTTAGAACGTTACCTGAGCTTCAGTAGGAATGTCTCCAGTGATAAGGAGCCAGAAGAGACCCTCTGGCAGAGGCTCCTGGCCTCCCTTAGCCTTGGGTAGCAGCTTCTGACACTCGGGGATGGAGTAGCCTCTGAACCTGATACCTTCCTCAGGGTCCAGCACTGACGTCTCACACACCAGACCCTTGATGCCTCTCATACCTCCGTACATCTGCAAACATCCACATCGTTAGGTTATTGCTAGGTCTACAATGCTACATTCCTAGTTTATTTAGGGAGCTATCAAAATATATGACCATGAGTTGTTTATTTTTAAATGCTGTTCTAAGAACCTCAAGAAAAATCAAAGATATTTCCACAATCGCGGGAGACAATCAATGTATTGACATAATGAAGACCATAAAAAGTAGACCTACACTGTTTTATTTGTAGCTTTACTACATTTCCAGATAGGCCTAATCCAAACAGGGACCTGTCCCAATTAGTTTGGATAAGCAGGACTCTGGTGTACAATGTACTTAAGCCCCTTCACGAGAATTGTGAGGACAGTTGGCACAACCCATCTGACAATAAATACATGTGTATAATATTTCCAGTATTGTGGATCTCTCTCAAAATCTGTTAAACATGATAACCGCACAAAGGAGTATAGGTTAGGTAGGACAGTATAGCCAGTACAGTATATTTGCAGTGCAGTATGATTATTGAGCAGCAGCAGTAGAGTATGATACTTTTTAATACTTTTAATACTTTTGAATTAAATGGCGACCATACTAAAGGTATTTTAAGCCAAGTATGAATGGAGATGAGTGTAGATGATTGTACAGTATGATTTTGAACATTTGAGATTATATTTAACTCTTAGATTGAATTTATGCTAACATATAAAACTGTTCCAAAGAACAATCATACATGTAGGAAGTGACTAAAAGAACATTTATTCCTGAAAAGTGCCTAAAAAGTATTTTAAAATAAAATAAATGTTTTGCTTTTGTCACAAACACATTTCAAAATCACAAATGAGTTCTGATGTGCAACATTTTTTAAACAAATCAATTCAAAACTCCTGTCTCGTACTGTTATAAAGGCCGATTATAAGCATAGCACATTGGCTGAAAACCAAGTACTTTGCCAACTCATAATTAGCCACAAAACACCAAATTTTGACGGTAAATGCTTCGCTCCGTTATTCTAACCGACAGATGGGTTACATTATTATCTGAATCACTATAATTTTGCAATTAAGTGGGCTTCACGGCAGGTCAGTTCATCTCAGGACCCAAGGTTAGGAACTGGTTTTCAAAAGGACACAGGCTAGCATGTGACTGATAAAATACAGGATATGGACGTGACTTGACTGTTTCTTATGTAATAACCCAGAAAGCATTTTTATTTATTCCATATTGTTCTAAACAACAATGTTCTTGAAGTGGATGAATTTAACATCTACCTACCGCAGCTATTAATTTTTTTACGAGACGTTTTAAAACCAGTATTAGCTATCCTAATATCCTAAAAGGTATTTCAAAAAGTTAAGGACTCTTGGGTGTACAAAGAGGCCTAAAGAAAACTCATATAACATGAAATAAAATGTACTAGGTAAAACTGCAAAAAAAACATTATAAACTTTAATTTTATATCTGTTACAAATATGTTCAGCTCATGAATTTATAAGTAATATTTTTCAACAAAAGCCGTTTAGAAAAAGTTCAAACTATCTTTAAAAAAGTAATATTCACTTTTTTTTACAAATAAATCTATATACTGTACATTATTATCTAGTTTAAAATTCGTAAACCGTTTTTCAGAACAAACGTAAATTAACTAACCAAATAAATGATCGATTTAAAAGGATCCTCACAGTAAATTCATTTTACTTATATCTAAAACATTACACTAATAATATCTGTTGGAGTGATAAGATTTAAACTGCTTCTGATGAATCATGACCACTATTCCCGGGCGACAAGTTGATTGTAGCATCTAAACTTATTATCTCTCATCGGTACAGTTGTATGGCCTACTTGAGATGTTCAAACCCGAAATCACTAAGGCAAAAATAGAAAGATAAAGTAAATGGAAATATATGTCAAGGTAATCCAGATAAAAACGTTTTGTGTACAATTCAATACTGGGTTTAAACAATGCTAAAAAATATAGAGCAAATTTCTGAATTGAAATAAATGTTAAATAAGTATTGTATTTTATTCAGAAAAGATGTTCATTTACAATGTAGAACAAAAACAGATAGGTACTCTAAAAACAAGGTCAGTTCTTTACAACAATGTCAAGGCCACTTGGTATCTCAGCTTTAAAAATCCTCACATCTCTAGTGTTTAGAGAAGATTTTTATGATTTAGATGATACCTCTACTTAGGAGAAAGAAAGGTGAAATGAAATACAAAACTTAATTTACCACTCTTTTTTTAGAACTCGACTATTATTTTTTTTCTGAACTAAGAAGTAAGCCTACTGAAGTGTTTTTTTAATCATGTGAAAATTGAGTAAAGAAAGGTGGTGAGCAGTGTACCCTATTAATCAGTCGCTGAAGGTAGTGTATCAATGATTGTGTGTTGTAGTTTCGGGCCTTTCTACATATAGATTGAACAGTCAATAGTCAAATCAGCTGACCTTGAAATCTAATGAGTTCCTTGATGGTAAGACAACCTAACTGTCACCAACTATCCACAAAATCTGACAAATAAAATGATTATGAGATCTTACTGCACAACACCCTGTTATCATCATTACAATCATATTACCACTTTTAACAGGAATCATTTGATCTGGGATAATTTTTACAGAATCATGAGTCATTTAGCTCTCAATAAAAAAAAAATGCAAGCTCTTTATATAGTTTCACAATTATTGCGTGCTGATGGATTTGTAAAAAAATATTGTTCCTTAATTTAGGGAATCTATCGTCTCTATCATATTTACTATCATCAAAAGTAGGAATGCTAAATGTTTGCATTGCAGATATATGCTGCTAACTAAACAAAATAAAAAATGCCTTTTATAGTTTTTTTAGGAATGTCAGGTTACATCTTTTCTAATAAATAAAATCAGTAACAAAAGTAAAACCATAAAAAGTATTCTCATGTAAACTTCTAAAATCACTTTGATATTTAATTGTATTTAAAATAATAATCAATTGTTTAGGTTTTTAAAAGACGTCAGTCCGCACATATTTGACTTTTGACTGTTGAACCGTTAGAACAAAATTAACATACCCTATTTTCAAATTTACTTATATGTAAGTGGCAACTATGGAATGTTTGAGATATTTGTGTCTTGTTACAGCTTATTCTAGTACAGAAATGTCGCAACTCACCATATCAACGGTGACCTCTCCGACCTTCTGAGCTCCATAGTTCTTGCGGAACTCTTTCACTCTTTCTTGTTCTTTGGGAATTTTCTTGGCCAGAATACCTTTAAGATCTGTGGAGGCATCTGTAAGGTTCCTGGCTATGAGAGAAAGCACAGGGAAAACCTGAAACAATTGTGATGATTTAAACATCAATATCACATACTACTTGTAGAAAACCAACTAGGCCTAATTAGATCCTACTACGTGTCACAGTTCTAATATCGTACTGTAATCCAACTACTATTTATAGACATGAACTATTGATATGATACTTCCTGGTGTGGATTAACGTCCGCACTAGTGAGTTTTATGACTATCCTGATAATTAGACCAATTCGTTAATTTTACAAGGCAAAAATGTGGTTTGGATTCCACTATAAACTGTAGGTCCCTTAGTTGCCATTGGCTGTATGGGCTATTAATTAACAGCTGTCTAAGGAACATGTCGGCCTTAGTCACTAACAAGACTTCAAGATCGCACCACTCAGCCTACACTCATCTCCATTCATACTTGGCTTAAAATACCTACATTCGTACGTCGCCATTTAATAAAAAAGTATTTAATGTTTAGGGTCCTCGAATCATTCAGCTTTAGGTTTCTGTCGAGTATTGAGAGAGTAGTAAACAAAATGTCAGCTAAAATTAAACCTCAGTTATCTAAAAATAACAGATGCCGTGTTGTACTCCATGTGTTTGTGTTTACAACACATCTAGTAGGAAAGTTTTTTCATCTTAAAATAGGCGTTCTAAAATTGTACTCCGTTCATAAAATTCAGGCGGTTTGAGGGGAAGTTCCCCCACTATTTTTTCTTAATCATATATGGTGCAGGTGATTATATTTTGGAAAACCTCAGCTGTTGAGCTATTATTTTTAAAGGTAGGTTTAAGTGGAGGAGATAGATTTCTTCCCCTAAAACCACCAAAATTTTGTGACAGACTATTATAATAAAATAATACTGCGTAAAATTCACTAAGTGTACACTGTGTACTGTGTTTTTTCTTTTCAAATTCATTGTAATTGTTTAACTCATTAGTTTAAGTCATTAATAAAGGATTTTTTTTATACCTGTCAATTCAGTTAACCTTTATAGTCTTTGTAATTTATAGATAGAATTTGTATATCTTGAACTATATAAATAAAACACAATAATAGGAACCTCCTAATATTCTTAAGTCCTTTCATTCTAGTATATGGTTTCTCTTTATAGAGTTCAATTTTCAGGTACATTGTGTTAGGATTAAGAAAAAACAACCACAGACATTTTGTACAGATCTCTAATCCCGTTAGTCACACAATTTTAACTATTAATGCATAATTATTCATTACAAAATGAGTGTTTTTCAAACTGGGATGATCAGTATTAAAACTTGTACTCCATCTTAAGTTTTTATTTAAACATTCAAGGTCGGTGCTGAGGCTTTATCTATGACCTTGACCTGTAAACCACTTTTTGTCCAATGTCTTCAGCAAAATTGCTATCTATAGTTAAATGAACAGATAAGATTTTTACAAATTCCACTCAAGAAGTTGAGCAGAGAACATTGTAGAAATATGATAAAATTGTATAATCTTATAAATACAAAGTATTTACCGATGATATATTTTTGTAAACAGGTCAAATGGGTCCTATGTTTTTTATTATATGAATGTATTTTTTGCGATTAGGCAGGAGAAAGAGTGGGCAAGATGGCTGATGCAGTTAGCTAAAAGCTAATTTGATGTTTAGAAGTAAAATTAAGCTGTGCATTACTATAATAAAATAATGTGCATTTGTTCTCAGAAATTGCTTTTGCTTCTCAGAAATTGCGTTTGCTTAACTCAGAAATTCTTTTTGCTTTAAACCCCTCCAGAAATTACCTTACACATATTAGTTAGAACGTTTTCAAATAATTGTTTCAACATTAAACGAATTGAACACAACAATGCAGTGTATTACTTTTGCTGACTATACACTATAGTACTCGTATAAATTTAGATGATTATTTTGTAATGTGCCGGTATATGACGTGTCCTATTTCTTTGTAAAAAGATCAATGGAATAAATGATTCTTATTCTTATGACCTGAATATAATACAATAATGCAAAAATGAGAAAATATTTTATATAGAGTTCTTATCATCTGTTAAGTAGGTAATAATGAAGTGTTTACAGCCTTTCAGTGTTGTATAATCATAAAGATAGACTGTGTTACGTTCATTGTCTAAAGGTAGTAAAAATGCCTTATCTGAAAAACAAATCAAAGTTCATAAGTACTAGGTGTTTTTAATTTTTTTTTTATCCAGCCCTACTTACTTAAAATATATAAAAACCTAAAATTGAGATGTTTTTAGATTGTATTGCATTGAAACCCCATCAAATAAAGTAAAATATGTTTTATTGTTTTATTCGGTTTTATTCATTTGAGAACATAATTTAATTTCACAAATTGTATTCATAATTGTAATATTCTATGGCTAAGTTTTTCACTAAAAAACTACTATGATGCCTTATATAGCCTAAATGTATTTTTTTTTAATGGTAGATAGTAAATAGCCTGTCATAACTTTTTAAATTCTACATTTAATTTACATGCATATGTTTTTTTTGGAAATGTTTAGAAAGACAAACATGTGATTTGTTTTTAGTATACTGTACAAATTAAAATATTACCGGTTCACAAATTATTTTAAACAAATAAAAACAAGCCCATGGGGCGTAGCCCAAGGGAAATATGAAAATTAAATTATATAATATTGCATTGTCTTCCATTTGTGAGCTTTGTTTCAAGTTTCAAGTCTCTAGCTCATCGGGAAGTTAGTATAAAATTGATTGCAAAGTTTGTACCGGACAAGAAAGCGAGCTAATAAAAACGTTTTAAAAACTTAATAAAACTATCAATAATCATATGAATAAAACAACCAAGAAGCCAACAATGCCCTCAATGACCCTTTAGTGACGCAAGGTTTATCAGTGTCCAACTAGTAATTCGATTGCGCATGCTGCACTGAACTAGTAAAAACAAAATAAATAATGACAAATAACAATGCAGTCATAATTAGACATTTTAATATTTATTGTATATATTTACTATCCAAATTATCAATTAAATAATTGAATTATTATATTGTAATTCTAGTTTATTTTGCGTAGTCAAAATTCACATTGCAAATAAAACATTTCTTGTTAAGTCTGACATTATTTTCTAGATTTGTGAATTTTAAAACTTGTATAAATACACCTTAAGGTTCTAAAGCAGAGCTATAATACCCTTCTGTGACATTGGACCAAAAATGATTTTTTATCACAGCTTTAAAAACTAGGTAAATTATAGAGGTGAAGGTATAGTAAGGTGTGTTTTTAAACGATTGTAGAAAGTTGTATAGGCTATATAGTAATTTTCAAGATCTCAGGGTTGGTAGGCTACTAAATTTGGAAAGTAAAATTCCTTGACTTTTCCACGTTTTTAGACTGATATTATACTTTCTACAGGTATATGGTAACTTGATATCGATACAAAATCAAGAAATTAAAAAAAAAAAATTAACTTATTTAATACCAAATACAAAACTTATTTTAAACTATATACATATCGATACCTCCCCCGTAGTGATAACTATCGATATAAAAATGTGCATCAGTGCTTATGTAGTTTTTTGCCACATTAGTCATCACCCTGACAATAACATATTTTAGAGCAAAATGTAGCATATCTGTAAAAAGGTAGTCTCTCAGGAGAAATTCCAGATTTTTTTCATAATTCCCTGACTTTTCCAGACCAACAAAGTTTCCTGACTTTTTTAGGTTTTCCCTTATCTACAAAACCCTGTGTTGTTTTCCTGTTGTGCTGCCTGCAGCCTATTTAAAGTTATAGCTAAACTAGATCCATTCTGAAGAATTTTATTCAGCAGTTTCCTCTATTTAGCCAACTGAATTTAAGGTGTTAAATTTGAGTGTCTATTTCCTGAACAGTTTCTTTTAAATTTATTTACCGGATTATTAGTAGGGCCTAAGAGCTAATAAAATTAGTCACTCGGACAACAAATCCTAATCACAATTCCATAGGAGACGGGCTAATCGGGTTCAGGAATCAATCTAAACAGGCTTCAGATTTTACATGATATAAGAATTCAACTAACAATATCAAAAATCAATCATGATATTTGTAACTCCTTAAAAGAAACATTATTTATTACTTGGTTTAAAACCGAAAAATAGTAACTTTGAAGTGGATTTATTTAATTTAGGCCTCTCTACAGCTTTAACCTTGGATTAAGATCTTTGCAGCCAAATTTTAAAAATATTGTTTTCACATATTACAACTAGAGACAAGCGTAATAACCAAATTGTAAAATATCTCTGTAGGCCCTAGATATTCACAAAATAATATCTTATAAACTATACTTTTTTTTATTATTTAAAGAGGTTGGCGGCCACTTTTAACCATGCATTTTCCCATCCACATAGACTACAGATCTGTACGTGGAACGTATCCAGCAAAGCAAGGGACGCTACCAACTGAGCTACCGACTAACCTTAATAAATACCTACGTTTTAATGAAATTATATTAATTTTATTTTTCCTAGTTTTAACGTAGTCCTAAGAGTTAGTAGTACTTTTTTGTCAACTGTAATCTGACTTTCAAAATTAATTTTTGAATGTCATGTTGAGAGAAGAAGCTCATGTAGTGTACATTGCTTGTTTGCTTGTTTTTTTTAGAATAATTTAGTGTGTATTGCTAGCCTAGTGATTAGCATTTTAGACATTGGTACAAGATGAAAGGGCAAGATCACGTTGTGAAGGCTACGATGTATCCAACTTGAAAGGTGAAAGTAAACAAATATTCTATTCTATATCCAGAAATTAAAACTGGAGAGGTTTGGACTGCTTTCCATAAGTGTTTGAAATTAGTTAATACAAAATGACACTGGAATAGACACTGACAAAAAATGACAAATTTACAAAATTTACAGATTCTAGTACAAAAATTGCAATTTTTATATAAAAAATCTAATTATTTAAAACTTGAGCCACAACTTGAAACATCATTCAAGCCCTATAAATACATTGGGAGTGTGTGGCCGAAATGAAGGCTCGTCTGTTAGTTGTTCACTATTTCAGTTTTGGCACCAGACCCCAACACAGTTGGCAGCCATCTTGTTTACCAAGGTGTCAAAGGGGCAACAATTTAAACGACTTACATTGTGATATTAGAATTTAATCGATCGATTGATTAGACGCTAACTGCATATATGTAGTTGGACTTGTTTAAGTAGGTAGCTGTATCTTTATTCATATAGATAGGCATACAATGATATACATTAAATTATATCATTTAACACAGTGAAAAAGGTTTACATTGTTATATAAATAACTTCTTGATCAGCATTGTACGTGTTATTTACTTTCCGTATTGTTATACAGTATACGCTGATTATCGGCAGAATTTTTAGTCACTTGACTATGAAATATGAGGTAAAGCACAAAAACTTCTATGCACAGTTCCAAGTTTAAAAGGTACCTATTTATTGATAATTATTTTAATAACTATTCCCAAACTCTCCATGGCCTTATAAGGTATCATTGCTCGACCAAAACAAAAATGCTATTTAGAAATTTTAACAGTCAGGGACTCATTTTTAAATAGAATTTGCACTGATCGGATAATAAAAATGAAAACAGCTGATTGTTATAGCCATTATTTGCTTCTTTGTTTAAGTTACAGTATGTATGATACAGTACCATATTTTAATTGACTGCAAAAAGCTGTTAATTATCTAATAAAAATTGTTTTGGAAAAAAACAAAATGTCCCTTTGAGTTTTGGAAACAATTATAACAATATTTTAGTTTGTATTTGGTCCAGTAATTATATACCTTACAAGGTTGATAAGAGATTTTGAGGCCACTCATTGTGTTCATGCATGGGTCAAGTTATAATTACATTTATCTCAAATTGTTTGTTTTTCTTTAAATGTTTGTGTTGAACCTTTTAACAAGTTTTTATAAGTAATATTTGTAGAATTTCAGTAAATATTTTTTAAAGCCTAGCACTTCAAAGGCCCTTCCCCTGCTTAGTTGATAAATTTTACTAGACGTATTATACAAAATTGGACATTACTTTCTTTAAACACTCTTTTTATGTAAAATCGTTTTGTAAAGTCTAAAATTAGTACAGAGGTTTTCAGGGGGGATATCAGCCATAATAAGGAGGGCCTAACTTATGTAGATTTTATCCGATGTCTCTTGATGGATGGACGATTTTAATGGCTTTGTTTCATATTAAAATTAATATTAACTCGGGCTTTATTAATCAAACAATCAGGTTATTTCAATTAAGTTAAATGATCATCAATTAATAGTGAAAACAATAAACAATAGGCAGCCTATAAGTAGCCTAAGTTCATTAAGCGTAGTATTGGTTTAATCCTGATAAAACTTTAAAAAAGTAGGCATGTGATGTGCTTTACAAAATACTTCACTTAAATGTCAGTCCGTTTAGAACAGACTAAGTACGTTAAGTACAATGAATTTGTTCACTGATATATTTACAGTCAGCAACTTTTTTTTTGGTGGTTTTAAGTTATTCCTAATCAAAAATTTACTGGTACCTAACTTACCAATGTTGTTACAAATAAGTAAGTAACTTACCTATCTAAGTATTACAGCTTAAAAATGCACGGTATTGGAAATAATTATGATAAACTTACCTAATTATTTTTATAGATTGATTAACTTATGTAAAGTTAAGTTAGGTTTAAGTTAGCCGTTTTGATGAGTTTAATTAATGATTCAGTTAACTTAATGAGTTTAAACATTAAGTTACTTAATTTTAACTGGATCTTTTCTTACGTCTTAATTAAGGTCACAGAGAGGCAATATTTTATAACACACAATTTTGGGAACAGTAAAGTTACAGTGTGCATGACAAAAAGTAGTGAATTGCTGTCAGGTGTGCAACTCTCAAAAAATCCAGTTAGCCTTGTTAACTTAAATTTCCAAACAAGTTAATTTTAGAAAGGCATCCCTCACAAAATCTACCACAGAAAGGTGAATTTTACAAGAATAGTTCACAGCTCATCATAAAAACACCTAAATAGATTGGCTAACTTACTAGACCGGACTCATCACTCTAATTAAAACTTCAAATCAAAAGAGATGGGTACACCCTCTAAAACTGCTTAATCATCTACTTAAGGTAAGTTAGCTAGGCTAATAAGTTACCACCTTTTTAAACTTAGTTACCTACATAACATTTCCGATTGATCTCAATTCCATTCTTTGAGATAAGTTTAGGTAGCGAAGCTCACTTGGGTGCTTAGTTTAAAACTACGGTACCGGTAAGATAAATGAATGAGAACAAATCATCAACATTCAATTGAGGGGAGACTTTAACCTTTTGGGTTAAATAAGTTACTTTCTGCGCACAACTGGCAGTTTAGATGTTAGGCCGGCAAATATTTACCGTATTTACACTGGGATATGATGTAATTTGTATATGTCTACTTACAGTATTTTTAACGCTGAATCCAAAAATGCAATCAGTTTTGGTCGGAGAGATTCCTAAGTGGCGGTAGCGGCCGTAAAACGAAGGTTAGGATTACGAATCTAACAAGGATAATTGAGCGGTACTGAAGATAATGGTAATATGGCGTGGTCTGGGCGGGTCCGTACTGAGTGAAGAGTGAGGAGTGAGGACTGAGTGAGAAGAGCAAACAACTGTTTATACTTGATCTAATGCGGAATGAAATCAAATCAATTCGTTTTGAAACCAAATGATCAGTTCTTATTTAGGCATGTGAGGAAGGTAGGTCGGGTTTTATGTGGATTCGTGACTGTATTAAGTGTTTTGAAGTGAGGTTAGATTAGGAAGGTAAAGGTTAGGTTATAATGAACCGACTCGTTAATTTATGCATTTGGGTTAGGTTAAATTAGATTAGATTAGATTGTGTAACATCATTTATTAGTTGCTGATACATTAAATTATGCACTGTGGCACGTTTTCACTTTTAGACACAATGGGATTATGTACTATGGGATTATGCACTATGGCACGTTCATTACCAGACGTTGAGGCCATAGTCAATGGTTGAGGATTGGAATGAGGACGATGATCATGTCGGCAGTGGCCTAGCTTCTATTACTGATATTATACGTGAATAAATTCTATTTTGTTTTATAATTTATGTTCATGTGATTAATATTTTATGTATGGTAGTTGATTTATTGTATTTTATAAATTGCTGTCATGGCGTCATGTGTGGTTTTGTCTGTTTAGTATAGAATGTAAACAACTGACAGCTGTTTCCACTCCACAAACCTTCCACCCCTTTTAGTGTTAGTCGCCACTAGAACTTGGACTCGTCCATACCACAAATATGGTAATATATCAACAAAACCGAAGCTTATTATTAATTATATAACTGTACGGCCACTTAGGAATCTCTCCGACCAAAACTGATTGCATTTTTGGATTCAGCTTTAAAAATACTGTAAGTATACATATCAAAATTACATCAAATCCCAGTGTAAATAGGGTAAATAATTACCGTTAGGCCTATACATGTGTTTGTAGGCTACTCTAACTGCCTTAGTTTCGTTAAAACCATGTTAATTATTTTGTACTAGAAAAACAAAAAGGTTCTGCTGTCCATATGAAGAGTTTAAATTGGCACAAGTTATGTCACAATGCATGTCTCAAAAAAACCAACTAAACTCATCATAACAGTGATAACTATATGGTTAAGCAAGCATATGGCTAATCAAATATGAAAACTAATTTTAGACACATTAGGCCAACCTTTAGTAATGCCTACCTATGATAGAGGAATTTTCTTTCAACACTTAGGCCTACCTACCTGCTTAGGTAAGTAACTTGGTCAAGGTTAACCTATTAGTAAGGTTATTTAAGTTAATAACAAGCGGGTCGGCATAAGATATTAATGAAATTAGTAGATACATTTAAAAAATAATTATTACCTGATTTGATTCGAGGGTTCGTGTAGCTGTTATTCTAAAAAGTGCCATCCTGTCCGTAAATAATCAACAATACCAGATGAAGAGCTTGGTAAGCCTCCTTCACGACCTCTAGAGTAAAGAGGAAAAGGTAAAAGAAAAGAGGGAAGAGCCTTTTCTATATAAACTTCCAGCTTTTTGCTGTCATCGGAAATCAATGCATGTATGCCAACACTCAGAAAGAAAATTGCCCTTTATAGCATGACATGTTTTTCAAAGTCGTTAGCTATCAAAATATATATACATTACATGACAAAGTCATACTCCACGACTATATTAACGAAGATGGTCTATTTCTGATGCCATCGAGATTGAAAAACATATTAATCATTGTTAAAAATATCAAAGAGAAGACTTAAAAGACAATTAATAAATTTGGTCTGTATTCAACAAAATGGACAATGACAATATTCCCAAAGTCATAAATAATAAAGAACTTAATATGTTGCATAAATTAATCAGAAAAACCAAGACGGGCAATAAGTTAAAACATATCCTCCCCCCCCCCCCCCCCCAAGAACTGCGACCTTGGTAAGAGGGCGCCGGCATGTACCCTTGTTTGCTGTTTTTATGTCCACAATTCTAATTACCCCATCTTTACTTGGGTAACGGTAAATGGCTGATTTGTCGGGTCTGACTTACGGGAGGTTTATTAGGAGCGTCAAAGTGCTACGACGTCAATATGCCTCCAGAAAGAAGAAGAGGTTTGAGGTGGCGGGTTGTTAACGTGGTGGTTTCTTGCTGGGTGGCACATATAGACGTGAACATGTACGACAACTCGCCAACTCGGATAAATGTGTGGTGGGTTGTCATGGTAGCACGTTGTTGGGGGGGGGGGAGGGGCACCTAAACAGGTAAACAACCTCGGTATTTTTGTGGTGGTGTGGTGGGTTGTCATCTCTGACAGAAACGTCGTGGTGGCGAGTCGTCGTCATAGAACCTAGAACCTGATGGCGACCAGTTTTATCTATGCTAGCATTTAATTTAAAATAACAAGGAATAAGGGAGGAACCATGCTCGACAAATTACTTTTGTGTGGCATCGCATCATTACGGTCTTTTAAAACAGCTGATGACTCAGACTCACTTCAACAAACTGTATAGCCCATGGTGGAAAGAAACGGTGTTTTTTCCTTCCACCTTGCGTGATGCGTCTAGCCTATATAATTTTGTAAAAAAAGTAATTTTTTTGCATTCATACATAAATTATATAGGCAGGTTATGCTTTCACTTTCGCGGATGTTGGTCACACTGGTAGTTAGTTACCATAGTAACTGATATTGTGTTGGTTTTGAGGTTTTCGTTTTGTACAATTAAAAACAAATACAGGCAGACATAGAAACTAATTAATTTTATTTCCTCTATTGGATTCAATGTCATTTTACAAATTTTAACTACCATAGGCATATTTTTTACAGCCAAAACAGAAGAAAAGTCATGTATTTAAAAATAGTATTGATTGGTCCATGTAGGGTAAGTGTGTATTTTTTATTTCACCAAATAAAATAACTGTTGACGATGACATGTCTGAACAAGGGAAAGCGAATGGGAACCGTGAGAACTCGTCTACTATTACTAATAAGTAATGGTTTCGACTTGATGAAGGCAGCGGGCCTTTGAAATCGATATTTAGCCGTTCAAATGCAGAAGTGGCTTTAATCAAAATCCCTTTGTGTTTGAAGAATCTAGGTTTCACAGCAGCACACACATTGCAGGAGTTTGTTATTCGTCTGATTTCATCAATCGAGTAGGGCAAGTTTTTACTTCGAACCCAGTGGTACAAACGTGTCACACCTGGATGACATAGATTCGCATGTAAATCAATCAACAGTTTTTCTTGATTTTGGATTGAAGAACATACTCTATAGTCAGGGCATCTGCAGCCATATTATCTTTACCGGGTCTATTAAACAATATCATAATGAAAGCATGACAATTCCAGTTTCCACCTCATTATCTTTTCATTTTTCACTTTGCCATGACGGTTGTTATCGAACATAAAAGAAACCGACCTCTGGTCAGTAATCAGCTTGAAATGTTTACCAACCAAATAGTGACGCCATTTCGGCAGTGCTTCCACAATAGCTTGTGCTTCTTTTTCGACACTTGAATGTCTATGTTCTGCTGGAGGAAGTATCCTTGAGAAGAATGCGACTGGACGGTTTGATTGAGTCAAAGTTGCAGCAATGGTACTCTCAGATGCATCAGTTTCTACGATGAACTGTGCTTCAGGGTCAATGCAGCTTACTACAGATCTGATGATTTCACTTTTTATAGTTTCGAAAGACTGGAGCCCTGCTTTGGACAAAGGGAATGTAGTACGCGCAAGTGGAATCACTTTGGTAGCATAATCTGGTTTAAGTGATGCATAATGTGAAAACATACCAAGGGTCCTCCTCAGTGATGCTGTGTCTCTGGGTGGAGGTAAATTTTTCAAAGGATCTAGTCGACTGGGGTCAGGCTTGATAGTTTTGTTTGATATATGATAGCCCAACAAGTTGATTGATCGCAGTGAAAATGAAGACTTCTCATTATTAATCGTTAGGTTGTATTTGGATGCAGCTTCGATAAACTTTTTTAAGTTTATATCGTGTTGTTCTTGTGTTTTTCCACAGATTGTGACATCATCAAGATAGGCGTAAGTGTCTTGTAACACATATCCGAGAAGAAGTTTCAGAAGCAGAAGACCTCCTAATTATTTAAATGACTACGTTCATTAACATTAGGGAGGAAGAATGTAGTAAAAAACATGTGTCTTGTAACTGTTCTGTTCGGATGACTTGGTCAATTACACGTTGGAATGCTGCCACCCCATTAGTGACCCCAAACGGGATACGCTTAAACTGGTAGAGTTGACCACAGGCCTCAAAAGCTTTGTAGTGCTTTTCTTCATTTCTTATCTTTACTTGGTGGTACGCACTTTTCAAGTCGATAGTACTGAAAAACTCATAATTTGCAACTTTGTTAACAATATCATCGATTCTAGGTAGTGGGTAAGCGTCCAGTAATGTAAAACGATTTATAGTCCTGGAGTAGTCAATGACCATTCTTTTTCTATGATTTTCAGTAGTAACTACTAATGCTTGAGCCCTCCATGGAGACGTACTAGGCTCTATAACATCGTCTTTAAGCAATTTACTTACTTCGTTTTCAATAAACTTTAAATCATCGGTGCTATGGCGATGATACTTGATAGCGATTGGCTTACATTCCGGTTTTAAATTAGAAAACAAAGATACCGGTTCTACAGTTGAGGCTGCCACGCTACATAGGCTACGGTTAGTTGTGACTTGTTGCCACCAAAGACTACTTTAATACTTGCATAGTTTTTCAAAATATCATGTCCAACAATTATATCTGCACAAAGATCTGGTAACAATGAAAGATTAACTTGCTTGTAAAAGTGATCAAGAATGAAAAGATTTACTTTGCACTGACCTGTTATGTCGGATGTGATTGATGTAGTAGCCATTGAGACAGTACCCCTACCTGGTTTTATAGGAATACCTAAATTAAGAGCAGTAGATTTGTTTATAAAACTTAGAGAGCTTCCCGTATCTATCAAAGCAGAGACAGATTTACCATTAAAAACTAGGGCTTGTACTGTACTCTTTGTTAACCCACCGGGCGAAGCTGCTAGGTCAATAGAGTTCATTACTTCTTTAGATTTATCCAATTGCTTGGTTTGTTGTTTACCTGCCCTGCAGACCTTAGCAAAATGCCCCTGTTTACCACAGTTATGACAAATTGTATTTTTAGCTGGACATTTGACCCTAGGATGTCTTAGATTACCGCAAAAGAAACATTTTTCAGTCACAGCAGCTAGAGAACACATTTCTAAACTGCTTGAAGTTGCATCAACATTCTGATTGCTCGCTTGAGTTTCTTGGGACGAAGTTGCATTTACTATAGATTGGAAAGATTGAAAAGCTAATGATTGCTCATGTGCAAGTTCTAGGGATCTGGCTTGACTATATGCCTGATCTAGTGTCAACGAAACATTTTCTAGTAAGTGCTGGCGAATTGCAGAAGATTTTATTCCAGCAATAAATGTGTCACGGATATAATCATCCCTATTCTTTTCAGCTGTGACAGCTTTAAACTGACAGTCTTTACTTAGTAATTTTAAAGCCTGGAGATATTGGTCAATAGTCTCCTCAGGTAGCTGCTGACGTGCAGATAGTTTATGTCTGGAATATACTTCATTTACAGGTTTTACATAGATACTTCTTAGCACAGATATAGCATCGTTATACGTACCGCTTTCACTTATGTACTCGTTGATTTCCGGAGTAATAAAGTTTATAAGTATTTTGAGTTTATCGGAGTCGGATGGTTGTGGTGTGATGCTGGTAACAAAATTCTGAAATGTTTTGTGCCAATGTGTCCAACCCTTACTTGCAGATGATGAGTTTGGATCTACACTAAACTTGTCTGGCTTTAGGATCGTATCCATTTCACAATATCAAGTTATTAAAATTGTAATGAGAGTAAGAATGAATTAAAAAGAACTTTTATTACCTTTAGAAAGGTTTTTAATAACTTGAACAATACTACATTGAATTATAATGGACTTGTTTACAAACACAACAAAACAATAATAAAGAATTGAAGACACATGTTTTTTACTACAAGTTATTTTAATTAATTCTAATCTACTAAAAGTAGTTTACACTATTTTACACAACTATTAGCCTATCATTAATTACAGCCCAAAGATTTATATAAAAATAAGATTTTCATCAGGAAATCACTGCTTTTTATTTCAATCTCTTCTCTTACCAAACATTTTCTTTAAAACTGGTACCATTGGCTATGCAAATTTAATACTTAAGTTACTTGTCTTTGGTACTTGTAAGTTTCAAATCAAATCAAATCAAATCAAATCATTCTTTATTCATTATACATAAAATAACATGTATTGAATAGAGTCAAATAGGCTATAAATACATATAACTACATATTACAAAGTGCTTAAATTAAAATATACTATTAAGATAAGTGAAGAATTTCTAATTGAATATATTAAAAATATAACACTATTGCAATCACATAACATTAGCAGTTATTAAAATAAAAAACATATACCCATTTTCCGGGCTTAAGTAAAAATATACACAGAAAAGAAAAAGTATTACTAATCATTGTGATGTGAAAATTTAAATTGTTCCCCTAATTTTGCTATGGAGTTCAAATTATGTAAGCTACTAATTTTTATTGTTTAAAAATTCTTCTATGGAATAAAATGAAAATTTAATTAAAAAGTCTTTTAGTGTTCTTTTAAATTTATTCAAATTGTCTTCCGTCTTTATATAAGCCGGCAGGTGTTGCAAAAAAATCAAACCTGAATAATAAGTTTTCTTTTTGAAAAATTCCAATTTATGTCGGGGTAGGTTAATTTTAAACCTAGTGTTATAGTCACCAGTATTGCTTGAAGTGGATGACAATTGAATTTGTTTTGCATAGACAGATGCTTCATATATATACAGACTATACACCGTTAGGATTTGTAATTCCTTAAAATATCTCTTAGCTGATTATTTTCTTTGCAGTTTCATCATTAGACGAATAGCTCTCTTTTGTTTGATAAGGATAGAATCCAAATTGGTCTTTGATGTTGCTCCATAAATAGATATTCCATAAGCTATGTGACTATGCAGTAATGAAAAGTATATTATCCTCAAAGTGTCTATGCTGCAGATCTGAGACATCTGTCTTAAAGCACATACACCAGAAGTCAATTTTTTAACAACATGTTTAACGTGATTGTCCCATGTAAGATTTTTGTCGATAATTAAACCAAGAAATTTAGTCTGTTCAACTTGGATTATCTTGTCATTGTTTATACAAATTTTTGCTTCAAATTTTGTTGTTGATTGTTTGGTTGAAAAATATATGAAGTTTGATTTATTTGCATTTATAAGAAGATTTTTTTCTTTTAAAAATTCATGAGTTACTTGAAGATTTTTTGAAGAAGATGTTTCAATTTCAGAATTAGAATTTCCATTTAGTAGGATATTAGAATCATCAGCATACAGACACATGGATCCGTCACTCCCAGGAATAGTCCCAGGCAAACCTCTAATATAACAAAGAAATAGTAGAGGGCCCAGGATCGATCCCTGGGGGACTCCATATCGTAGTGTCTGATGCTGTGATTGAATTTTTTCAATGTAGTTTATTTTATAATGTTCTATGATGTCATCCACTTCAACAAACTGGTGTCTATTTTTAATGTAGGATTCAAACCATTTAAGTTCTTTACCACGGACTCCAAGTTCATTTAAAACGTTAATTAATTTATTGTGCGACACACTGTCAAAGGCTTTACTGAGGTCTAAGAATATTCCTACCACCTTTTTCCCTTTATCAATTGCATTTATTATAGACTATAAATTCTATACCAGCTGTTACTGTGGATTTTCCTTTTCGAAAGCCATGTTGCTCTTTGTCCAGTAACTGATTGATTTCAAGATATCTAGACAGCTGAATATAAACTATACGCTCATAAATTTTGGAAAAGGCAGGTAAAATTGAAATGGGACGATAGCATGATGGATCTTTAGGATTACCTTTTTTAAATATGGGAATAACTTTAGCCAACTTTAATTTGGATGGAAATATGCCTGAAATGAGAGAGGAGTTTATTAAATGTGTTAATGGTTTCGATATGAAAAGTAGTGATTTTTTAATTAGAGTAATTGGTATTTCATCATGCCCAGAAGAAATTTTATTTTCAAATGACAGCACGACTTTTTTAAGATGGTCTTCTGTTATTGTTTCAAATTTAAAAACGTTTGTCATGGCAGTCACTTTTTTTTGGGTGAAAATGTTGTGATTTGATGTTGAATCAATGTTTGGCAAAATAAGCTTTTCAACAGCAGTTGTAAAGAAATTGTTGAAAACATTACTCACAGCAACAGGATCTGATATTTGGTTATCATTTTGAACTAAGATTATTTTGGAGGGGACAGTTTGTTTTGATTTTAGTGAAATCTCATTTTTTATTATATTCCATGTAGTCTTTGTTATGTTCCTAGATTTTCTAAATTTATTTTGGTAAAATTTTTGTTTAGCACTGTTTATGGATTCCTTTAACTCTTTTTTCTTTACTTTTATTGTTTTATATAACAGTGAATTCCTTTTTGCTCTAGTATATGTTACTAGTTCATGGATTTCACTTTTTTTCCTTATTATTTCATTTGAATTCCATTTACATATATTTGATACTTTTTCTACACACATCATTTTGGGGAAATTAGTGTTAAAAATGTGACTGAAAGTAGACATAAAGACATTAAATTTTGCATCCACCGAAGATTGATAAACATCATACCAGTGTTCATTACTTAAGTCCCTAAGGAACATTTTAAAATTATTTTCAGTATACTTTCTGCATAACCTCTTCATTACCTTTTTGTTTGTACTGTTAACATTTTGTATTTCAAGCAATTGAGCATCATGATCAGATACATGAGTAATAACGCCTGAGACATTTAATTTTGTTTCAAAAATGCTGGTAATGAAGTTATCAATTGCAGTAGCTGATTTATCAGTAATCCTAGTTGGAAAGTCAACCCTATAAGACATGTTATATATATTTATGATATTTAAAAATTGATGGTACACATTATCATGATTTAAAACATTAATATTTATATCACCTGCTAATATGATGTTCTTGAACCTTTTTGTTAATAAATCTAGAGTAATATCCAGTTTTGCTAAGAAAGGTTGGATATATTTATATTCAGGAGTTCTATATAACCCTAACAATATAAACGACATACCATCTAGTATGATTTCAGTCATACAGCACTCAAATTCTTTCTCCAAAATAAGTTTTTGAATTCCTTTAATATGTACTGTTTTAAAATTTACATAGTTACTAGTAAGTATTAGAACACCACCCCCAGTGGTTGAAGATCTGGTCCAATAGGATGCTATTTTATAATTTTTCAGTTTAAAATGAAACAAATCTGTCTCTTTCATGTTAATTTCTGTTAGAACAACAATATCTGGCTTAATTTCATCCAAGTTTACTTCCAAAATGCCTATACGGGTTGATAAATTTTGAATATTTTGATGAAGAATTAGAAAGTTTTGAGTGCTGTTTACAGAATGTGTTAATTGGTTGCGAGATCTTGGCCTATTTTTCTTAAAAAAGTGGTTACATTATGACATGATGTATTAATAGAATCACAGGTTAGGGGTAGGGAATTCAAGACAGGAGTGAACAATTGGCAATTTAAAGGTACTTTATTCACTGCACCAACACTATCACAACCCCTGACAGACAGCCCCCCATCACATGACACAGGCGCTGGTGACTCCTCCACAGGCTGGGTCATTTTTTCATTTTCCTTGGGCCAAAAGAAGCAGCTACTTGATCCTGGTGATCTCAAGTCTGAAGTAGAGGTTCTACAAGCTGAAGGGGTTGACACGTCATCGTTTAATGGGCTACTTAAGGATGTTTCCATAGCAGATGAGTGTTCCATGGATTCCTCTACAATTTTAGTCCTAGTAACTGAAGCCAATTGAAGTTCTTGATTAACTGGTGAAGACTCCTGCTCATGATGATGATCAATAACTTGCTGTAAGCGTTTGATGAAGTATTGGTAGGGAACACCATTGTGTAATGGGCGGTTCGAGTGTTGATGGTAGCAGATTATTTGCACAGATGCTTTGGTTGCCTCTTGAAATTGAACCAGATTCCTGATGAAGTGATCTGGCCACACCTGATCCCTCACACAACCCATTGCAGAGCAAATAAGCACTTTAAGGTTTTTCTTCTTGAATTCCTCAGTTAACTGTTGGAAAGCATAGTCGTAATCGTAGTTTGTAGGTTTAAGATAGTATTTTGGTTTTGTTATTAAGCTAAAGACACTAGCTCCCTTATTAGTCTTCTGATAAGCTAGGTGACTGCTTAGGCAGTCTGAGGGCAATGGTTTACCAAACTCCTTACGGAAGGTAACTGCCACACCAGCACTTAGACTCCTTTCATGTTCCAGGTCTGCAGATATGGTGTGAGCAAAGCCAACAGATTCGTCGTTTTGAAATTTATTAATCATGCTTTTCATGCTTGTCTGAATTATACTTATTGGAGGTAGACTATGGTTGACTTTTCCTCTTATGTTTGATATTTCTTTGTTAGGCCTAATAGAATTTATAATGATATATGATAGCTTTTTCTTCCCCCTATGATTTAGATGTAGTCCATGACGTGTAAAATGAAATCTTTGTAGTTCATCCAGGTCAATAAGATGCACTTTGTTTGTTCTTATTGCTAATTCTCTGATATAACTATTTAATAAGTTGATATCATCATGACGCGGATCATTTAAGCCTATGTCATAGCGATTTGGTATTGTGGTAATATGTACAGATGATTTATCCTTACTTAGTTGTGTCAGATACTTTTCCAAATTGCTATAGATGTTTGAGGTTGTTTTTTTGATTACATCATTGGTTCCAGCAATTATTACTAATGACTGATGTCGAGATCTGTTTGCTTGGTTATAAATCTTCTCAGTTGTAGCACCGGACATGACTTGACCACAAACTGTAACTGCACTTCTGCTACACTGTTTAATCATTTCAGGGAGTTCTTTTCCATGGCTGTCAGAAAACAATTCTATTTTAAAAGAGTGTCTATCTGTTTCACCTGTATTAGATTAGATTTATGACACTGACACATCTGATGGTATTTATTGACCAAAATAAATGAATAGGCCTACCTAGTGATTGTTTTAATGAATGAGAAACTATGACGGCCCTGAAGGACATTCAGTTTCTTTTTGTTTCCATTTACTTTGACTTTTATCTTGAAGTGCTTTGACTTTATTCTCGAAGTACCTACTTTGACTTTATTCAATCAATCAATCAAAATATCCTTTATTAATTTAAGTACAATTGTACAGGAATAGAGTCAGATCTTACAAAATAAAATGTTTTACATTGAACTAAAAATAAGACAGAATATTTAATTTATTTGTTCTCCCAAAACTCTTCAAGAGAATAAGGGGTAATTTTAATCAAATACCGTTTCAGACATATTCAGTTGTAGGCCTATTCTCGAAGTACTTAAGACTTTATTCTCCAAGTACCTCGATTTGATTCTCAAAGTACTTCAATTTTATTATCAAAGTGCTTCGACTTTATTCTCGAAGTAGTTTGATATTTCTAATCTAATTTCAACACACAAACTAAATGTCCCTTCACGGCCGTCGTATTATAATACGACAATTTTAACAAACAACGGTATACCGTTGTTTGTTAAAATTGTATGGCAACTGCAACCACAACTATTAACTGTTGATGTTGGAGTGCTTGTAGACATATTTTGATCAGAATTGGCAGATAGAAAGTGTTTTTAGCACACATCATGGAATATGACATTTATTGAACAATATTTTAATTTATGCCTTCAACAGCCTGAAATTTTTAATTCTTTTAATGAAGCATGACATTTTCATAAGTGAGTGGACATGTAAGACAATGACAGAAACAGAGAGAAGTTTTGTGTGTTAAAATTAGACTAGAAATATCGAAATACTTTGAGAATAAAGTCAAAGTACTTCGAGATAAAAGGCGAAGTAAATTAAACAAAAAAAAACTGAATGTCCCTTCAGGTCGTAAGAAACTTTGTTACCAATTAAGATCAGCTGCTGATGGTTTTATACCCAAAATAATTACCCATTAAAAGACAAAAGTCCAATGATGACACCTATTTGGTCCATTTTCAAGCCATGACATCTAAAAGCTTTTGACTTTTTTTTTATTTCAAAGTTTTATGTTTTTCACACTTTTTAGTGTGAAACATGTAAGTTAATGCTTATTATGTTTACAGAGTGGGAAAACAGTAATTGCCAACTTTTTGTCCGATTGCTCCGACAGTGTTAGTGGTGAATACAGACCAACTCAAGGGGTGCGAATTGTGGAATTTGAAACACAGAATTTGAATATGAGCAGCCGAGGACTCAAAGCAGAGGTGGAATTATGGGATTGCAGTGGAGATACAAAGTGAGAGGACAATACATTAATCTATACTGTATTATAGATTATAGATTAATGATTTATAATAGGTCTACTTGGTTTCCAGTTTTAATTTATATTTCTAACCAGTCATGCTTTTTTTCAAATTGATTTAATCTATTTTGGGTTATGGCCTGTACCATAGGCCTACTCTTAGTAATTGTGGTCTAGCTAAAAACTAAAAAAAGTCGAGATATTTTTATCATGCAAATACATTTTTGAACAAAAAAATAAAAAATATATACCTAGTTATATGACAGGGTGTCCACACAGAAAATATTTCAATAATTTTCATGACCAATATATTACTATTGATTTACATGACTAACGAACTTAATAACACACATTCACAAATAATACTGTGAAAATAGGTAGGATAATGCCTACTGAAAAAACTGAAATATGTATTAACATATAACAATGGAGTAATCAATTTTGCTAAAATATGGTAGGCCGATTCAAAATAAGGAAGGAAAAAAGAAAACCCAGCCTCCTATGTCCCCATAGCTGGCCAAGTTCTCTCTCCACTTTCTTTATTCCTTTCTATACTTTTTATTATATATTTTTTATTGTGTTTACAAAATTTGGCTTAATTTAGAAAAGACTAGGGCCTAACTTAAAGGCAACTCAAAACATTATAACGATATTTGTATTGGAGTTTAAGTTGTAATAATTAAGTTGTAACAGGGAGAGAGTGCAGCCATGGAGAAAGCACCTGTCAGTCTGTCTGAAGAGAAGGCGGTTATATCCGCTTCCCGTCCGGAACATCAAAAACCATAAGCGGATATTCGTCACCCGTCCGGGAAGGGTTAATTAATACGCTACATTGCAACATTATCCTACAAATATTAAATTTTAAGATAAAGTAGGGACGGATTATTGAACTGGAACAAACTCAAAACTCATAAGCTAATACACCATAATAAATTGTCATGTACATTTGTGAAAAATCCTACAATAGTTGGGGTAATGGCCAACTAGATCATTGAAAAGTCCCCTCAAATCCCTCCATCATTGGGGATTTCCATGACTTTTTGCCTATTTCCGTGACCAGAATTTTTTTCTATGACTATCCCTGACTTTCCAGAATGTGGACACCCTGTATGGTCATCCTGATGTATTATTTAACAAAATTTTTGTTTTTAAGAACCATAATCAAATAAATCCATAAAAGTAATATAAAAACCAGGTAGAATTATTATCAAACTCTTTTCTTGCCCCCCTGCTATGTTTTTTCTAATTTATTTTAAACACACTGCATGTATTGTATACACAGTGCACCTGTTTTCAGTCTTTGCTTACCTATGTTTTTTATAAACTTCAGTATTTTATTTTTAAGATGACTGTGATACTTTTTGCATGTACACTGCACTTGTTTATATTTTATTGTTTATATTTATTTAGCCTTATTGCCCGTAAACTTTAGGCTTATGACGTTCATCCATTGCATGTGTTGTACATAGCGTTAACGATGAATAAAAATTCTTGATTGATTGCTTGATATCAGTTTTTAAGTCAACATTTAAAAGAGGAACAAGAGCACATGTAAAATATTGTAGATTTTATTTAATTGCTCAGTAAGAAAACTATAAGTAAATTTCTGTTGCAAAAAAACTTGCCATTTACAACAATCTTATTTTTGATCCAAAGGTTTGAACCTCTATGGCCAGCTATGTACAAAGATGCTCATGGAATTGTGTTTGTCTACGACCCCTCTTTACCAGGTGTCGCCAGCGAACTTGACAACTACTTTGAAGCTTTTATCAACGAAAGCGGCAACTTAAGTTTGACAAATACTAAAAACTGGCTGGTTATAAAACATACAAAAAATAACGATTCAACGAATACAACACTATGTAAGTATAGATCATATTAGCCTACATTAAAGAAATTTAAACCTTAAACCTTTGTGGCCACTCAAACCCCTTAAAAATTGAAATACAAAAATTCTTAAATTACATCAAAATAAGCACAATTTGTTGTACATACAGGGTGTTATATTTGTTTGTTTATTATTTGTCGATTGTTTGGTAGTAGTAAAATTAATTAATTTCGTGCAATTCATCTCAAAAATGTGTTTTTCAGCAAATAACTTTGCCAAGATTTCCCAAGTTACTGCCAATGTTGAAGAGAATGGTCAAAAGCTTCGCAGTGACTTCAGCAACTACCTAGCAGGATTGGTAGTTGGTGTCAGGGATCGCAATGAACAAGATGAACTTAATATTCTGACTGTAATATAGTAAAGAGAGTTTCATTTTTCTAAAAAATTATTATTTATTGCCTAGTAATCATTTCCCTAAGATAGTCTTTTTTGTTTGTATCAACACCAGTGAAGAGATTATCAGGATTGGTAAGCCTGACTGACATGGATTAAGTCATCAGTTAATGTGTCTTAAGATTTGTTATTATTTTGACGGAATTATTGCAATTGACAAGTGAGTGTTGTACTTAATTATAAATCTAGTAGCTGAGGCATAATTTTTGTTATATGACCTCAGTCTTTATTAACACAACGTAAAGTAAATAGCCTACTTACAAGTCTCGTCTTTAAGATAGGTTAGTGCAGATCTTACGTTTTTACTCAGGATCGCCGTTAAATTCAACTTTGAAGTTCGCGCATGCGCACAAAGCCTCCAAGCTTGCAATCGGTGGGATCAAAGCGACGAGGCGGTAATCCAACCAGGAGATCACCAAGAGTGCATTCCCACGCAACCTAGTGGCTATCGGCGGAACTGGCCGATATATGGCGCCTGCATACGCAGCCTAGGCAACCACGCAACACACACTTTTCTTCTGTTGGTATCCCGATACTGCAGGAACCGAGAAAATGACTGGCGTTATGACTCGACGAGGGCGCGTCAATTTAATGCGTGAGGAGGAGAAAGATCTCAGCAATTTAAAAGGTGACCTTATAAACGATGAAGTGATTGACTTTGCTGTAAATCTTCGTGGAACGCTCTCGACTCTATCTGAAAAGTACACCAGAGATGCCATAGTCGACTTGATTCCTGACATTACCATGGTTTTAAATAAGTTAGACGCCTCAATTACTGCAATTAACGTTATAAAAACTACTAATATTGCTTTGACAGAGGAAAACAGACTTCTCACAAAAAAACTGGAGGAGAAAACGATAAGGAAATTAAACCTAGAGGACATATCTTTTTATGAAGGAAGAGCTGAAGAGGAAGTTCAACTTTTGAAATCGGAAATTGAAAGCCTGCAATTGTCACAAAGTGGATTAAAGGAAGAGTTAAAAAGTAAAAACGCAATAATAAACATACTTCAAGCTGAAATTCATGAAAAAGTGAAAATTACATCAAATACAATGCCGGCCACAGCTTCAACAAACTCAGTATTCACAACACCAAGAAAATCAGTTAAAGCGAGCCTTAGCGTTAACACGTGTGATACAATTAAGTTAAACAATAGATTTTCTGTGCTGGCATCGGACAATTCGCCGCCGTCATCAGGTACAATTGGTCATCAAATGCAGGTTCAGGCTGATGTGCACAGGTCAGCGTCACCTCAAGTTAAACAAGTGAACAATGGCCAGTCGTGTGTAAGATGCACAGGTGAAACTAAAAAGAAGAAGAAGCTTACAATTTTGGCGGAAAGTCAAGGAAAGGATCTTGATAAATACTTGAAAAGCATGGGAAATGAGTATAGTACATTTGTTTACACAAAACCTGGCGCTAAATTAAAACAAGTTATTCGAGACGGGCTTAGAATGATTCGAGACTTCAATGAAGACGATTTTGTTATCGTACTGGCTGGCACCAACGACCTACACCGCTACGAACCAGGGCAACTCACTATTTCTCAAGGAATAGAACAACTTACTTCATTGCAACTTAGAACTAACGTTTTGGTTTGTAGTGTGCCCTATCGTCATGACGACCCCTCCCGCAACGATGATATATTTTTTGCAAACCGTTTATCTATGAAATTAATCAAGAATTACAAGGGAGAACCCAACTTATTCTATGAAGACATCAACTACTTTCTCAGGAGGTCTGACTTCACCAAACATGGGCTCCACCTTAATCGACGGGGTAAAGAGCGACTGGGAGAGTTTCTGATGGGATTCATCGGAGATGCAGAGCGTCGCCGCAGATCAACTACCTCGACACCCGCGACTGAGTCTACAAGTGCCAAAGCGGTGAGTGAAGTGAGGCGTGACAAGCCTAGTGAGAGTGTTCCTGCACCTACTACCGACACCTCTCTGATCGAACCCTTCCCTGATGTTTCCTTGAAAACTTCCATACACAGTTCTTCCCCAAAACATTCAGCCTGGCAATCACCTACTAAAAAATCCCTTCCGGTTTCTATGTTCCGTATTGAAGATTTCCCACCCCTTTCACTCACAACCTCAAAACCAGACCAAAATATCCTTGGCAATAGTCTTTTAGGTGTTAATGGCTCCAATGTAAATAATTCTAATCTAAATACTAGTTGTTCAGCTGTTAAGGATTTTTTAGGAATTCTACTTTCTCCAGAAGTTTCTGTAAAGTAAAGACCAGTTGTAAAGTAATCTCTCCTAAAATTTTTAATCTTGGTTATTTCATGTAAATATTAGGAGTATTGTCAATAAAATAGACGAGTTATTAGCTTATTTGGATTCAGGCCAATACAGTGTAGATATTTTATGTGTAACAGAGCATTGGCTAAGTGAAGATGACTTTGAGATTCTTAATAGGCTTGAGGGTTGGAAAATAGTGTCTTTTTTCGGAAGGATTAATGGTATAAGGGGGGGAGTTTTTGTGGCTGTAAAAGACAACATACCTTCAAGGGTTAGAAGAGACTTTGTAAGTCTCTCTATTGAAAATATAATTGAGTGTGCAGCAGTAGAAATCAATTATGAGAAAACCTTAACTGTAGTGGTGGCGTTATATCGCCCACCCTCTGGAGCATTCAGTGGGCTTTTTGATCAGGTAGAAAAAATTTTGAATTTAGTTAGTAAAGATTCAAAACAGAAACATGTAATTATATGTGGTGATTTAAATATTGATGCACTATCTGACTCGGCACAAAAAACTGAGCTTTTTAGTCTGTTAGACTCTTTTGGGTTGTTTTCACATGTTAATGAACCAACAAGGGTGACAGAGAGGTCGGAAACTTGCATAGACTACATAATAACCAACCAGGAGGGAAGTGAAACAAGGGTAGTTGATTTTGGATTATCTGACCACAATGCTCAACTTTTGAAATTGAATCTTACAGACAAGGTAAAAAATAGCAGTAAGTCATCAAGTCAACTTAAACGTGTTTTTTCAGAGAGAAACAAAATTAATTTTAGAGAAGTTTTGTCAAATATTGATTGGAATAATGTGTTTAATGTCAAAGATGAAATAGATGTAACTTTTGATAATTTTTTGAGGATACTATTGTTGAATTTTGAAGAAAACTTTCCAAAAAAACTTGTAAAAGCTACTAATTGTAAAAAACCATGGCTTACTAAGGGCATTAAAAAATCATTGGATAAGAAACAAGAAATGAGTAGAATTGTGAAAAGCTCATCAGATCCTATATTTATTAGTTATTATAAAAGTTATGTTAAGTTATTGAGGAAGTTAATTTTAATCTCAAAAAAAAGATGTAATGATGAATTATTATTGAAGTCTAAAAATAAGCCAAAAACTGTTTGGAATATTGTAAGAAAAGAGACTGGTAGGAATAGGAAAAATAGGGATACAGAGTTTTTGCTTATTAATAATGAAAAAATTTCTGACAAAAAGTTAATGACAGAGTATTTTAATAAGTTTTTTATTGAGAATCCAACTTCTCTAGCTCCGATACCCTGTGGGACTGGATCTATGCGAAGGCTGCGTTCTTTTTCCCCACAGGTGGCGTCTTCAATGTTTCTAGCTCCAACCAACGAAGTCGAGGTGTTAAATGTCATCGGCTCGCTAAAGAGTAAGAACTCATGTGGGTGGGACGGTATCTCTCCAAATATTTTGAAATTTTGTGGTCATCAGTTGGCTTACCCTGTGTCTATTTTGATAAATCAGTCCCTAGAGCAAGGAAAATTCCCATCAAAACTCAAATTCGCAAATATATTCCCTCTTCAAAAAAAGAATGACAGCCACTTGCCAAATGACTTTCGGCCTGTTGCTTTGGTGTCGGCATTATCAAAGATCTATGAAAAGGTTGTTCTTAGTCGTCTCTCTAGTCATTTGTCAAGGTTTAATATCATAAGTCCACATCAATATGGTTTCCAAAAAGGGAAGTCCACTCTTTCTGCTCTTTATGACTTCACGAACCGGATATTGCGATCCCTGGATGAATCGCAGAAGACGATGGGGGGTTTTCTGCGATTTATCCAAAGCTTTTGATTGTGTGGACCATTCGATCCTCTTGGATAAACTTTTTCATTATGGTGTCAGAGGCATTGCTCTGCAGTGGTTCCGCTCTTTCTTGTCTGGCCGTTATCAAAAGGTTTCCATAAATAGTTCCTCAGGTCCGATCTCATCGTCCTACATGCTTTCTCAGCGAGGGGTTCCCCAAGGATGCATTATCTCTCCTATTTTATTCCTATTGTACATCAATGATCTCCATTATGAAGGAAATGACTGTCACATGAATTTATTCGCTGACGATGTAGCACTGCTAATCAAGGCCCCAAATGCAACCAGCTTAGAGAATAGCTTCACTTCGGTCATCAAGAGCTTAAATAGTTGGTTTGAGTACAATGGTCTTCTCCTTAACAAAGACAAAACACAATGTCTCAATTTTGGTCTGATTGGTTCGTCTCAGAATAATCAAAGTAGTCCTGAAACGCAGCTCACTAATCCCTCATTGACCACAAAATTCCTAGGTGTCATTTTTGATTCCTCCATCAAATGGTATGGTCACGTGCAAAGTGTTGTTAACCGCACCAGTTCTGCTCTATTTGCCATTCGAATTCTCAGTTCAACTTGTAGCAGGGAAGTTCTTGTGGACGTCTATCGTGGATATTGCGAAAGCATTTTGCGTTATGGCATTGCCGTTTGGGGAAGCTCTTCTGATTTGGAAAGAATACTTAAGCTCCAAAAAAAGATTCTGAGGCGCATTTTCGGTCTCTCCCATCACCATCCTTGCAAGGAAGTGTTCAAAGATTCTGGCATCCTTACAGTTCATTCGTTGTACATTCAGCAGGTCCTCATTTTGACCTTTGTCAACAGAGGGGTCAATTTCAACATCTAGGGCATTTCCATGACCACCGGACGAGAAATGGAGGCATCCTCTGTTATCCGAGGCACAGAACTGCGGCCTTTGAGAGGAGTCC